CTCGTTCTTTGCGATACGGCTGTTAGGTTACAGGTACCCGAGGGTAGGTTAATTGGGAATTGTTTACCCGGTCATTCGGTCGTATCATTGGAGAATGATTGGTGAGTCCTGTCTCGTAATAGCGTAAAATGCATTATAAATTTGTAAAAAAAAACGTAGGAATAAAGAACATTTATATGAAAATCATTGCTCTGTCAAATGTCATTATAACGTTCTTTAATGTTTTGCATAAATGAGTCACGTGCTGTGTGGGCTAAGGGCGGTATCATCTCCGTTAAGTGTATCGAACTGCGGAACTGAAATAACAGATAGCGGTACCGTGAAGACGCCCCGAACCTTTGATTTACTGAGCGCGATGCTGGATTATAGGATTTATTACTAGAGCTGGAAAGGTATTTCTTGAGGTGTTAATAGTTTGTTTATGAAGATTTGGTTTTAAGTGGTTGTAACGAAACAAATGGAAAGGTGATGAGCAGTCAAAAAAGACTTGTTTGCAATTGTCACTTTTTTTCTATTGATAAAGAATTTTGTCACTATTTTCTATTGATAAACAATTTTGTCACTATTTTTCTATTGATAAACAATTTTGTCACTAAATTTTTATTGATAAACAATTTTGTCACTATTTTTCTATTAATTAACAATTTTGTCACTATTTTTCTATTGATAAACAATTTTGTCACTATTTTTCTATTAATAAACAATTTTGTCACTATTTTTCTAATAATAAGCAAATTAAATATTTAAAGGCAAGGTGCCTTTGTAGCGTGAGCGAGTATTTGGACCCTAAGTTAGACACCAATTATAAATACCTTCACTTATTATTATTACACTATGTTAATGTTCTTATTATATAAATATTATAATATAAAAATTTATACGACATTTGCATGCCTATTTTGACTGTGCGGATTTTTATAATTAATCGATCTAATTGTACCACTTTCTTGGCAAATAAGCGTATTAGTATTATTTAAAAATGGTGTCGTGTTTTGAGATATTTCTTTTCTATTTTCATTCAATTAAAATTTCCTAGTTTTTGATTCATAACTAAAATAATAATAGTTTCAGTTTTTTGTTATTAAAAAATAATTCAAATCAAAGTTACTTATTAAAATTAGAGCACGAAAAAAATAATATAATTTTTTTCCTTCTAAAATTCTAACAAAATATGACGTTCATTTATCCGTTAACCACTAAATTCGTGACTTTATACGGATGTGTTATGCATGATTCATGTTTCCTTGATGCATAAAAAACTTGTAAGGATTTTGATATTCTCGTGTGAAAATGCATACAAGATACCAGTAGCTGTGCGTGACTGTCGCTCATATACAACATGTTATCAACGTGATTATCCTTAGATTATTTTAAAATGCCCTTAAAATCGCAAGTGTTGAGAAAAATTTCTTGTTTGGTGTAATTCTTAGAGCTTTTTTAATATATTCATATAAGGATAATGCTACCCTCAAAAACTAACGTCAAATTAAGACAATTAATCGCAACCATACAGTAGCTTTGACAGCGTAACACACTGACATATTCCAAATTTAAAAACACTGCACGTATACTTAGTACACGTAGTTTTTTCTTCTTCAGTAGTTTCTCCTCTTCAATTATCTCCTCTTGACCACTAATACTCCGAAAATATATTTTAAAGTTTACTCTAATTATCTTTAACATTATGTTGTCACTACCTTGTAGAAGGGTTGCTGACATTTACCGTTTAGTTATTATATAATGGAACGTCACAGTACAATATAAAAATCAGATAACTGTAACGCAAGATTATATGCAAGTAGAAAACGAATTGTAAATGCACGTGCCAATTCTCTTTCGCTCACAGGTAATGAAAAGTTTCAATAGAGGTACAATTTTGATTGATTTGACCCACCGCAAACCGTTACCTATTGTTCTAGCGAATAGTCTTCACAATCTTAAAATGAAATTTACGTTAAAATATTAAAGGAACTTTAAACCATTTTAAGGCTTTATTTAACTTCCATTGACGGGGAGAAAATCGGACTACTGACCAATAAGAGTGTGTGGCGGAGTTCTTCTCTCCCGCACGCCCTTGATTTAGGAATTCGTAGTAAATTTAGATCTTTCTTTTTCAATATTAACGTTCATAGTTACCAATATGAATAAATTAAATTTGATTTGATTCATCAGAGATACCGAAACCCCGCAGTGCTACATAAAAGGGGCAAGTTCTTTTTTGACAAATGGGTGAGCTGCCGGACCTTCTCAGAGCTCACATTTGAGTTCAGACCCTCAGCGTGGTATTTTAATCTTAAAATTTTGCTCCGAACTTAGACCTGTTTTTTTTCCTAAATATTTGTACTCATATCTTGCTTTATGGATACAAAACTTAATATACTTTGCTGTAGGTGAGAGATTTTCAAATGTAATTATTTATAGCATATTATGTGTGTGACGTACTTTCTTATCATAATAATATCTAGAATGTAAAGATTAAGGCACTCATTATTGTTTATTACTTTCCATCGCTATTTAGTTCAATCAATAAAGAAACATCTCTCTAGAAATTCTATCGGCCATAAAACATAGTAGACTATCTAATCTATGGTAGCAATTCCTATGATTTAATAGACTAGAATCTAGATGTCTCTAGGTAATCTGACTGGAACTGGAAACCACTTTTTGCTTGTACGAACTACTTTTAAACGGAGAGACGAGACCTGTTTTGCCGTTTTATATTAGGAGAGACATTCTTATGAATTACTTTAGTAGTTAAATGTAGTAATATAATAAGTTATTATACACTTACACACACAACTTATTAGTATTATAATAACTAATAAGTTTACATTTTGTTTAGAATTATTGTCATTTAATAATTTTATAGAGTCCTGTCATAGTACGATCGGCAAGGTTAATATATTAAGTTATGTTTATTAGATTGATGTATGCTTTAACTTTACTGTTAAATATATAGAAATACGTAACTAGCTGCACCCGCGAGTTTCGGTTCGCCTTCATATGATTTTTTTACTTAGCCTACCTTTTTAGTAGTTACATACCAACATATGAAACATTTCTATGCTTCCCCATAGATACTGTTCGCTTTTCCGGATAAACTCTGAGTAATAAACTAAATTTTATTTTTTTTCTCTCCATAAGAGAAGCTTTTTCAAAGTTAAAGGGATAAATAAAAAAATACTCGATTCATTATTACCTATATGTCACTCTCTGAAATCCCAACTATCTCTTTACCAAAATTGACTCAGGTCAGATTAATCCTGATAGTTTGAATTTACCGTCTTTCTTATTTTATTACAAAGAATAAGGAATTAACAACAAACGTATTATCGAGAAGTTTGATGTATCTATTATGGATGATTTAATAATATTTATGTGTTTAAAATATATATATAATAATTAGTTATACATAAACATTTATATGAAAATTAAATTATGTAAAACGCTGATCTATAACGCACTCAGTTCGCAATCAGCTAAATAAGCTGTAATAATGGACGATTAATGTTACGAATGTAGCATGTAAATTGCTGCAGTAACAGCTTTATTTCCCATAACCCTTCCGCCTATACTGCTTAAAGGTCGGAGGAGAATATATAGAAGAGATCAGACAAGTATCGCCGACGTTTAATAATAATTATATTTTTTTGCAATTAATAACATCTGAACCTTCCTAGTTATTCTGTGTTTATTTCTTAAGTGTTTTGTTCAAAAGTTTTTACTATCAATTTTCTTTGCGACTTCTTATTAAACTCTAGGGTCCCATAAGTGGGTTGAAACTAATACATTGTAGTTTTGGTATACACATTTAATAGATTAAAATGAGTATTATCAGTATTAATTTATTTAAGTGTAAGTTAAATATCAGAGCAAAAATCAGTAAAAATATTAATAATTAAATAACTACGAGCAACGGATAGCTTTCTAGCCTATTTAATCAAGGCCTCAATAAATAATACGAAAAATTACCATTTTAATCATTTTTAAAACGGTTTAAAGCTTTGGGTAGCTTTAAGTCGTAAGCGTTAATCTAATCTGGCAGTAGGGAAACCTCAAAACGGCGATATAAAATCAGTAACATCGCGTAAATCCAAATCCCCTAATTACATTACATTAATAGAAACGGATTTGTTTAAGCCTCGCTAAGGATTTAACTTGCTTATATTGCGCTAAAGTCTTTAACGCCCAACAGGGATGTTTCTGCATTTACTTTGTTACGTAATATGTACATATGTCGGAGCAATGGCATTACTGTCAGCTGTCATTGTCATTTTATGTCACAGAGCATATATTAACAACGTCAAAGTCAAATCAGTTAAATCTTGTGGTTTATTCGATTTGCCAATATTAATCTACAAATTAACGACTATAATATGATCAGTATTATTGTGATTCCATAGTCATTATTATTATTAACCAAACTTTTGTACCAACCCCTTGCTCTGTCAAACCAATACTGATTTCTATAGCTAAATAACTTAGTTTTACAAATAATAAAAAATGAAATAAATAAATGAAATGAAAAATTACATTAATAATATTCATGTATAGAGCTGTTTCGTGATAAAAATCAGCGCATTTTTGTCATCCTATATTTCGATTCGTTGACACTTTTAGATGATAAACAATATATGAGACTTATCTCATATTATGTTTATGCAAAACACAATGCCTTGACTATTCAGCGAATGAAGTCTTGTTAGTTGTCGTGAACTGTTTAATATTTAACAATCAAATTAATTTTAATTGGGTGAAGCCTGTCATTACGAAGTTCGTGTTTTTACGATATTTAAAAATATCTCTAGATCTTCCAGTTAAATTAGCAAAAGTCGGATTTGTTGATTTTATTTAGACTAAACATTCGTCAATATATTCTTCAGACATAAGCCAATCAACCTAATATTTTTTCTTTACTGTTTTAATTCATTTTTTTTTATACCAACTTTTAAATAATAAATTACATAAATACAATGAAGTTTCATTCTTGTTTCAGTGAGATGGCGCGGTGGAGCGCGCTGAACCAGCAATGGACGATTTGGTTTCTCGTTTTCCTTCTGCATGGAGTCCTTTCTACACCTGGTAAGTATTATTTCTCTTACGTATACTCTCCTAAACACATGCTCTAACAAGACAGAGGGAACCCGGATCTAAACCCCGTCAATCTAATATATAAAATTCTCGTGTCGCGGTGTTTGTAGTTAAACTCCTCCGAAATGGATCGACCGATTTTCGTGAAATTTTGTTATGTATATCAATTTTTCATCCCCTTAAATGTTGAGGGTGGTCCAGCCGTAAATTTTTATTTTTTTAGACAATTTTTTTTGTTTTATATGATACAGCATACAAAAATACATACAACCCATAATTTTCAACCCTCTACGATCAACTCCTATTTTATATTATAGTAGATAGTTATTTTTATTGACTAAAAAAATGTTTCCTAGAAATAATATACATGGCAAAACAACGTTTGTCGGGTCAGCTAGTATTTAATATAATATGTAATGTGTATGTAGCTTATAAAAGATGAAGAATGATTTCCTTAATTGCCTTTTTCCCTAAAGCATTGACGATTAAAAATTGCTCTACAGAAAGTTTATTTGAATAAAGCTTTGAATTTAGTAGGAATGTAGAAAATTATTATTAAGCGGGAATATATCGTCATATTGTTGCAGCAGCATAACACGAGTGTCATTTATATTATTTGTTTCAAAACAATATTTTGCAGTGAAAGGCTGACGTGTTAGTAATTTTCTGCTTACCTCATTCAATGGTAATATACAATGGACAATGAATTTATTTATTAACAAATCGGACAATCAGAATTGTTTGTATTGTTATTGGCGTTTATATGAAAATAACTGATGACTATTCGCATTCCATCTTGGGAAATAAATAAAAGAGCTTCGCGATAATATATATTTACAATATCAATTAAGTAATATTTATATTTATAAAGATAAGTATTCAACTTAGCCGATTATAATGTTCAACTGTTTTGTTCACTTCATACATTTTAACGAGTTTTTTGCTATTTAACAAAGCTTATTATACAAAAATTTGTTTAAAACATAATATTTAATTCCTTTTATATACAGGGATTACTATGTTAACATTTGATCTTTCTTTTATTCTTTTCTGTTTAAATATTTAATTATGACTTTTTTATTATCATATAATCATAATTCTTCTATTTTCAAATGAACCCTTTACATGTTTCTTAAGTTTACAATCAACTTCTATTTGCTTAAATTTCTTAATTTAAATTTAAACATCGTATTTACCAGAAACATATTCTATTAACTTTCGAAAGCTTTTTCGCCTTGCGTTCGTTATCTATTGGAACGGGAATCTTGTAAATCGATAATTAATTACATGATAGTGCGGCTAATGATTGCAGCCACGCAATTTGCCAATCGATGCTTAGTACCAAAACGGAAATAGTGGCGCTAGTTATCTTTAAATGGCACTTCTAGAAAGAATTCCATATCGCCTGTCATCCGTAAAATATCCTTATAGGGCGTCTATTAATTATACTTTTCGACTAATGGGATTATTAATTGACATACTTTATATTTAGTTTAGATAGGCGCGAGCTAATGAGAGGTTTAGTGACTTATAAAGTAGTGATACCAGACTAGCTTATTCTCCATACTGTACGTAAAAGTATAGATTTATTTCGAGAAAAGATTATATAGTTTGTTTACATTAGCACTACATATTTAAGTAAAACTCAATAAGTAAACTTATTGCATTATATACTTAGCTCGGCCTACGTCTACTGTAAATCATTTTCAATCAATCGACGTCGATAATGTAAAAGAATTCTTTTAAATACGACAAAGAAATTTAAGAAAATAGTTCCCCTCTGATCTGAATGTCGAATACATGACATGTTACGTTACAAAATCCTTGTCCAAAAACATTGTTGTACTCTTTGATTGTCAACTATCAAAATTGAAGATGAATGACGTTTGACGTTTAAAGTTGTAGTTTACAGAAGTAAGAGGCTTTCTTGGTATTTATCTAATCATAATTATTATTTCATATCTATATTTTTTCCAACCAATCAAGTCGATTTAATTAACGGCACACCTGCACTTGTCTATACTTTATGCTCGCGTTGACGGATAAGTTTTTAATTGAAAGTTTCTCAGGCACGCCTTAAAGCTGCTTAAGACGCGTCATGTAACTGTGATTTATATTATCTATTACTTGGCGGGAAAGACATTTTTTAACGCTAATGAATGATTTTTTAAAGCAAAATTCGCAAGATTGCTACTTGTTGTAATGGTTCACTTTAATTTGCGTTTTAATGTTTATGATTAGAATTTCTTAAATATAATATATTGATAATCTTTTATATCTGTAGTCCAAACTATAAATGATACTATATGATACCCCATCCTTGGGGCATGTAATGGATACCTCCACTCCTGTCTTCGCGATATGACTGTGTAGGTACGTTAAGTGTTCATCACGAAGACGGTGCGCAGTGTATTGTCTTTATTAATGTATATTATTTACAAGATTAAAAAAAACATAATGCAACTGCCTTGTTAATCTCTGATAGACAACCCTTCCAAATTTCACATATCGAAAATTATTTTCATCAATTACACATGGAAATTTGTTATTAAATTTGAAATATATTCATGAAATATATTATCTATTCCGACATTTTCGAATTTACTTGACATATCATTAATATCTCTAATTGAACAAAGGTGTATCAAGTTTTATTAATTATTGGCTAACCTTTATTGCGTTAGTTTCCGTTATTAGCATATAATATGAATTATTCATTAGGCACTATTATTTTCGCAAAGTACGTAATTAAAGGTATATATGTTTTTCCGGTCAGTACATTAAGGCCTATTACGTTTAAAATATAGCCTTAATGTATGTCGTTATATAAACCAAGGATTTAGGAGTAATTAATTTATATTTACGAAAAAAAATAACAAGACTGAGAAGAATGAAAGAGTAGACGTTCCGTTTGATTGCAATTGAAAATCTCTGGTCCAATCACAACCAAACGCAATAATGTGAAGTCTTTTGTTTAAATTTTAAACGGATCGGTCAATTATTAGAATCAAATGTTTTAACAAACATGGTACTAGAGAAGCGGAAAGCGATAAAAAATAATATGACCATAGTATGGGTGCACTGAAAATCAGTGTTGCTGGTGGCGGCAACGTAAATCTGAGTTGATTTGAGCCATTCTTGAGCCCTTTTTAATAAAAGTGATTGTTTTTGTATTTCTTTTTTATATTTTGTGTGTGCTTATCAAATAAACGTTTCTTCTTTAATTCAAAACTTTTATGATCCATTGGCAAGTATTTCTCGAGGTAGCGTAAAATTCTATAAATGATTTCCCAAAACCTTCACTGTTTATCGCATAATAATTTAAAACTTAAGTTTCCGTAACACCCGTAGTTCGCACATAAAATTATAAATACGCACCATAAACAATGTTCGTTTTACGATTATGACTGATTAGAAGTCTATTAAATTTACATCGATTTGGTGTAATTCACCAAACGCAGTAAAACTATATTGCTTCTTATAATTTATCGGCATATGTTTATGAGAAACGTCTTTAGAATTTATTACAAACGTTCAAAGGTTATATACTATTAATCATGATAATATCTTATATAGGATTTTTTATGCATCAACTATGACGAGCGTTACTCTTCATGTTAGGGTAAGATTCAGAGTCGAGTCTCAACGTTAAGGATTACATCAGTGGCGTAACTGTACCGTCTGGGGCCAGTGGCAAATTCTTTTGATGGGGCCTTATCAGTAAAAATCGTCACGTTGTACTCAGTTTAATTTTAATAAACTTCGAGATTTTCAGCGTACTCAATTACACGTTGTATATGTCCCTCTAATGGGCATAGGCCTCCTCTTTTAGGCGAGAGGGAATGGTCTGTAGTCCCCACGCTAGCCCAATGCGTATTGGAGACTTCATATTCATCCATAGAACATAATAACTCTTGGGTCGGGGGCCTGTGGCATTTTTCCAGCCCTGCCTATTGTTACGCCACTGGATGACACTAAGATAAAGGCTTACAGATTAATCTGAAACATTTATAATAATCGCTTATATGGCATTCAAGTTATAATCTGTTTACGTTCCTGAACCTAATAAAGTATTTGTGTTTGCGCATTCACCTAATATCCGCAGTATTTAGACGGTATGGTGATCGGTGAATGCAGACTTGAAACAGTATTTTTATAAACCTTAGTAGGCTTACAAACCTCGCGCTCCGTGGCCGAGGTTAACTGCAGTGGAGTGTATCCTTTCCTGAAAAGGGACTTTTTAAATAGTAAGGCAAGCTATTAAAAAATGGTGCTCACTCGAGAAACTAGTAACCCTCTTGTCAAATCCAATACGTTTTTTATGTAGAAGGCGCTAACTCTCTTTTAGTAGAATGCCCAAGCCCCCAAGTTTCTTCAATATTATGTTGGGTATGTTTAGAGGGTAAGGTGGATGTTAATAGCGAGGAGACTGCATTTCTCCCGGTAAAAAAGCACTAAGTTCGACTCTAAATGATCTTACCCACTGACAGATAAAACTTTTGTAATTCAAATCCATAATTGTTTGTTAGATTTTTGACTGATGTTGATTGTATTAATATTACGAAAACATATTATAAACTAAAAATAACAAGAATATTTAAGTGAGTGACGAGTGTATTATATGTTTTGATATTTCAGGTCCATGTGAAGTCGAGACGGGTCAATCCAGCATCATAGTAGATATTGAGGAAAGCAGAGGAGACCGTATGTATTGGCATTATATTTTGAAAGAATAATTAATCGCAATATATGTTGCTAAGCGCCAAACTCGAAAAGACCTCTGAAAGAAATTCTGTTTTTTTTTACTTATTCCTTGAACTCTGAGGAAGGTTTTCATGGAGATAAAAATTTGAAAAATATTTAAAAAACTAAAAAAAATAATTTATGACTTCTTTTTATTCCGGAAAATCGAACTGATGGGGTAGCATAACAAAAATGTTACTATGTTAAAAATCATAATCATAAGTAAAAAATCATATTTAGGCGAAACGAAGTTCGGGGCAGCTAGTGTGTTAAAGAAGAGGACCTATCCTTCAAAATTTGAATAAGTTTATAGCATAGAAAACAATATCAAAAAATGTTGTAACTCATAGGTTATACATATTTATTCAATTAAGGTTACATATATTTATTTAATTTTAAACTGTTTTTGAAAACTATAAAATAATATAAATATACAAAAAGTTCACCTTTCATAGTTCACAAGTTCATAGCTATCAATGCATGCCCAATATACAGATGCATAAATTGTTAATTTAGTTTAAAATTCTATTGTTCTTATAAATGAAATATCGCTACTAAAAATTGTGCCTGGTGAATATTTAAGCACAACAAATAAAAATAATCAACCAAATCCTTAAATGCAAAATACCAAGAAACCATCTGATCTTTTGTCATTGAACAAAGATCTATCATCAATCATATACGATTAAACCAAACTTGTTTTGCTATTCAAAAACAAGGCTTTTTGCTTACTTTTTTATGCAATTCAAAAGTTTACTTAACAGGTTTTCTCAAAAAAGGAGATACTTTTAATAATTCAAGATTTAAGTTGTATCTTTCCGAGATATTCAAGGTTATCAGTGCACCTAAAGACTATTTTTAACATTGTAATAATTGGAGTTCTTTTTCATACTCGTATTTAAATACGTCTGTCAATGTTCTATCCATAGACTATTTAATCGCTGTGGATCATTACAAAAATCATTTAAATGTATATAAATGAAGTATTCATTTGAAAAAGCGTTCTGGTAAAGCTTTATTTAGAACTACAGCGTTTACTTTGAAACACCAATATCGATATCATTTATTGATTCTTCAGTCAGTGATTGGCACTCTCTAATGAAAAGATCGACGTCGCAAACTTGGAATTACGTGTTTCATAAACTAAACTTTAAATTTGGAATCTGTATCGCTTAATTGTCGAAGCTTTCACTGCCATCTTTTTATTCATACAAATTGTCGCCTTGCGATGCTTTCGCCTCACGATAGATGCTACATATGCCTAAGTCACATAAAGGCTAATTTAAATAAATATGCACTCCGTTTGTACCAGTTTATATATAATGTATCTAACTTTGCAGAAGTCAACCAAAGCACAGTACCAGCCACTCTGCCAATAGTCGGCGAGCCTGATGTAGACATATTGTTGTCTACCGTCTTCCCCAAGGGACCCACACTGTTCCAGCTTGATGGGAAGAGACTGCAACTTCTTCAACCACTAGATAGGGATGCAGATAATCTATCGCATATGGTATTCCAGGTAGGTTAAAGGTCAAATATATTTCCCAATATTATATGAAGGTTAACCTATATACATTATTTTATAAGAAATTGTATGGCTTAGTTTAGGCACAGTATTCGATTTATATTTCCAAAATATCATGATTAATTTTAGCAAAAAAATATAGAAACTTGGCCCTGAACAGTGTAAAAGCATGATAAGTTGACGCTTACATTACAAAGATTTTATTTTATTTCTGTCTATAAATGTAAAATTAGAAGCACTTCATATATATTTATTTTTTGACGTTCATAAGTGTACATTTTGTTACCTATATGAATAATTGTTTTTTTTAAATCACGAAACATACTGCAATCAAGATGTATGATTTACAAATGTAATATTTAATAATCGCCAGAAAGTCGCTATGTGGTTATTGGAGAGCCCTGGTATGGTTTCGGTTTTAGTGGTCTTAAAATTATTAATACAGAAATATGCCTCGTTGAGTCGAATATAAGATAATTTAATTAATTCCAAGTAAAATTTATAGCCTATAGATATTATTAGGTGTAAATAACACTCGTCTATCTGTTACATAGATCTGAATCGTTTATATTTTTAATTGCCCAACCCGTCGTTAATATCTCACGATCTATTTATATCGCCTTAAGGTATATGATAATAGCTATTTGTGTTGGTTAACAATATTTTAATTAATAGAGTGGGTAGGACGAGAAATATTTGGAGGCTTTGGTAATTTTAATACTTTATATAACGACTTTAAGTTTGAATAAATGAGTAAATTACTTGTGGAGGTTTGGTCAAAGAAAACAGAAGAGCGTATCCTTCGTAGCTTTCCTCAAGAAAAGAAAGTACCAATTCTTAAAAAGGCCGGCAACGCACTCGCGATCCCTCTGACATTGAGACCGGCATGGCGGCGGGATCAAATAACATCAGATGAGCCTTCCCGTTTGTTTAAATTTAAAAAAAGCGTGGCTTCGGAAATTAAAGTAGCCGTGATAATCGCCAACCTTAGAAAAAAGCCGGCACGATGAAAGAAAAAATACTTGTAAACAAATATTTTAAGAACAAACACTTTTAAACTAGTTCAGTAGAAAAACCGTTAACCGTTAATTAGGTAACAACAACCATAGCTAATTTCAATTCATACGCATTCCATTATTCAAAATCAGATTTAAAAGAAATAAGTTTTTGAAAATCGAATAGAGTTTTCAATGGGATGGAAATTTAACAATAGGCGTATAGGTCGGTTATCGAAAGCTGGCGGGTTCACAGTACTCACACTAATGCAATTTCACATACAGTATGTTTCAAAATATGATTTTTTTGCCATGCTATACAGTTTAGTCCACTCATACACGACGGACAGTCTATTCATGATGTATTTATGATTGTATTTCAGTTTGACATCACGTCTCGCGCTTATTCACAGACACTACACAAGCACAAAGTGTAAATGTGTTGAAGCCGCCAGCTTTACTTAACATACCTATATATGAGTAGACAAACGGTTTTAATATCACTAAATTTCCATTTTCCTAATCATGTAAATTTTTGCAAGAAATTCACAATACTATTTAAAACACAGCTAGATCATCCTTTTACAATCTTAATTTTACTTACAGTAACCATTTCATTTCAGCTTGTTTGTCAAGTGAAATCAACGAAAAAGCGACGCACCATACCAGTTATAGTACGAGTTTCGGATATAAACGACAATGCACCAGCTTTCCAGGGAACACCGTATGAGACTAGTGTCTCTGAGGTGAGTATTGTATGCTTTTTTTTTATTTAAAGTATAACATAAAACATTAGCGAACCGTAGTCCCCGTAGATGACACTGTAGCCTAGTTTTAAACCCTAAAATGCTAAACTGTTTGAAAAAAAATCAATGGCGCTACAGCCTATTTAGGTCTGGGCCTTAGATTTCTGTATCTGTTTCATGATAATTTGGTCATCAGCCTTCTGTGCCTGACGCACGCCGTTGACTTTTTGGGTCTAATGCAAGCCGGTTTCCTCACGATGTTTTCCTTCACCGTTCGAGCGAATGTTAAATGCGTACATAGAAAGAAAGTCCATTGCTGCACAGCCGGGGATCGAACCTACGACCTCAAGGACGAGAGTCGCACGCTGAAGCCACTAGACCAACACTGCTCTGAAATTAGAAAAAAGAACTGTTTATTCGAAAAATAACTCGACGTACCTCGCATACATATTGTCAAAAAGAAGTGTAATTTAACGCCTAACTAATTTGTATAGGAATGACTTTAGCGTACGCTGATCACGTGATTGATATGTACACGACAAATCAATCAATATAGTAAATATACCAACAAAGAGAATAGTAATGATTCAAGAAATATTCCAGCTGAAGTTTACAAGTTTAATAAATATGTAAGGACTATTCGTCTACCTTATAAATCACTGATTTAGCTTTTATCTAACGGGGGGATCTATTTTATCGATGTATAAGCCCTCACGCAGACTGAGGGTCGTATAAGTAGAAAGTAATTTGTCTTTGGTAGACGAAAGGTTTAAATAACTCTTAACGGGATTTTATTATTGACTTATTTAACGCATTGATAAAGTATATTTTATAAGCAGTCACTTCTTTCTTGTTATATGTGATCTTGGTAATTATTCTGATACACAAATTACATAACTAAATCGTATGAAGGGCCAAAATTTTTAGCAAAAAAACAATATTATTTGATATCACCGACAGGTCTAGTTCAAAGCTACTTTACATCTACGAATGTAACTATCTTTTCTGTAAAGATCATAAAATCATATGATGCTACGTATGGTTTTTACCTTAAGTTTAATAACGTGAGATAACCAAATTTAATCAAACGTGAATCTATTGAATTTATTACAAAGATACATTTATCATAGGCTACACGGCACACATTAGGTATAGTTGAGATTTATTGAAATATTCATACGACACTTCTGAGCATCTAAAAAGTAAACAATCGTATCCTATTAATCTTAACTTGTTATGATTTCGTCACAAGTGAACTTAGCGATAATATTTACGTCCCGGTCGTAGGTATTCTTTTGATCGTTCCGAACTTACACGCCAATGTCTAGTACAGTAGTATAATAAATTTGCAATGGTGTTAAATTCATCGACAATTTTATTCTCAATTTGTTTGTATGAGAACGTATATTGCTTACAAACATTTAAAGCCCCTTAAAATACATAAGACCAATCTATTATTATTCTATCTTTTCAGCTCGTACCGTTGGGTACTACAATATTCGATAAAATTAGAGCAGTCGATATCGATGCTGGTGTGAATGGGTTATCAGAATATTTCATAGTACCAGGGGATAATAAAACAGTGGAGGCAGCTAATGCGGTTGACGGATATGGCTATTTTGCGATACCAATACCTCATCAGGGCCAGGTCACAGTCAATAGGAGCTTGGACTACGAGCGAACTCAGAAGTATCTAGTCACTATTGTTGCTTCTGTGAGTATATATTTTTAATACATAACTTTTAGTAGTTGCCTGAATTATAGCGTTGCTTGATACATTTATTTATTTACGTGTCAATAGTTGTGTATGATGTTCGCAATTTACTTAAATCGATTATTCTATCCTTGATGCAATTATGATAATGAAAAAATAAATAATTAGAAATATTCCGTCCAATTAACATTATAGATAAAAGAATTTAAATTTCTCAGTCTTTGTGTCAATATTGCCAAGTTATGTTTTCAGATATCCTTTAGACCTCAAGTCAAGTCGAAATCCACAAAATTTCTCAGCTAAAATAGACTCACCTACACGTTTCTTTTTTCAGGATCGTGCCCGTGACACCAAGCGGCGTATGTCAAGTACGACCACAATGACCGTGAACGTTGAAGATGACGATGACCAAGACCCTTCCTTCATATACAAAGGCTGCTCCCCACACGAGGGCGCTTGCATCAATCCTGAATATTCTAGCTATGTAGGTTCCAAACATTAAAAATAGAAAGAAATAACAATTTGGGTCACATCTGATAGATCGCAAATTTGTCATAATTAAAAACCGGAAAAACATCTTTATTGTATATAATTATTACATCATTAAATAATTAGTTAGTTGGTTATTTATTTAAAATAAATATATATTTGTTTCACTTCGTTTGTATATAATTTATTGTAAACGTTACTGAAAAAGTTTTAAAAGGTGCCTTTATATCGCATAAAACTGCAAGAAAATTATCTCAACACCATGTCTCTAAAACCAATTGGTACCACATACCATTGCCACAGACCTGCAATAATAATTTTCCTATGAATATAGTCTACATCTTAATAAATGGTATCTATAGTAAGAAAACAAAAAAATAAATAATTAACATTGATATTCATGATGTAATCAAATGAAATACCAATACTTAATCCATACCACAGATTGTATACGTAAAAACCCATATGTATTTCCATCCAATCCATTTATATTTATCCATATAAATTTAACAGGTTAACAGCGGTGTGCTCGCTGGAATCCTTACAATAGAACCAGAAAAGGTCCAAGCTGTTGATATGGACACATTGAATGCCAGAATAAAATATAGTATCGAGAGTGGACAGCCAGATACATGGAGTACATACTTTGAAATTGATGAGAACTCTGGTGCTGTGAGGCAGATATTACCAGTTGATACTGGCATTGCTAAGAAGTTCCAACTGGTTATTAAGGTATTTACTAAAAATATTATTCTTCACACCTAACGATATTTGATGAAATATATCTTGATAAACGTCCAGCCTTATAGTATGTACCTAGACTTGCAATATGAATAAACTTACACTAATACTGCATAGATTTTGCATGAAATAAAATGTTATCTAGCGTCGTGATGCGAGCAGATTTTATAATTGTCTGGTCCATATATACCTCATATAGTAATAAAGACAATACACGATCATTTAAACTTATTTATTAGCAGCACTGTTATATAATCTGTTTCATCATCGGACGTCGAGGCAAAATACGAAATTCCACCCGTATCACCCGTTCCACAACTGAGCGTTTTTCACGGCAGTTTTTGCCGCGCACCACCTCTATGTGGAACCAGCTGCCCACTAAAATATTTCCGAACCAATTCGACTTAGGGTCCTTCAAGAAAAGAGCGTACCAATTCTTAAAAGGCCGTCAACGCACGTGCGACCCCTTTGACATTGAGAGTGTCCATGGGCGGCGGTATCACTTATCATCAGATGAGCCCCCTGTTCTATAAAAAATAAAAATAAACTCTAAAATTGATCCCTCTGGGATTCATTTCAAAAGATGGAGCGACCACCGATCACGGAATTGCTGTCATAGTCTTCTTTATATAATACAAATAGTTTTTCTTGTCTTAGACAGACCTAAGGTGTTATTTCAATGGCAGTACAATTGTCATATAAATCTCAACTTTACCCGTTGTATGAGAGGGTGTTAAAGTCCGTCGGATATTGTCGAACAAACTGCTAACTGGTAGAGAACGAATATCCAAACGGGAGCCGCTACTCCTGGCACAACAAAATCATATTTATGTTAATTTAATAAAACTTATTTTCAGGCGGAAGAAATATCTGAAGCAAAACGATTCACAACCGCAAAGTTAACGATAACCGTTCGTCCGGTTGACGCTAGCCCACCCGTGGTATCTGCGACGTCTGATGAAGGAAGGGTAGAAGAAAACTCTCCTAAGGGAACCAAGATTTTGGGTTCAGACGACCAAAATATTCGCTTCAGTGTTTCAGATCCAGACCTGGTAAGTATCACTTAAATATTTGTTTCCCAACATTAACAAAAAAAATATTAAAGAGAGATTTAATATAGAAAACTATATGAACTTATAGTTTTAGACTATAAGTTCATATAGTTTTAGACAGGAAATAGTTTTATAATCGGAGAAGTTCGCTTTATGTTTTCTTTATTATGTCTGTTATACACACAAAGCTTTATTATAATCAAAATATTATACAAAAATATAAATTTGATAATATTTAATGTTTCAGGGCCCTGGTGATCCAATACCTAAATACACATTCGAGTTGACTAATAACTTCTTCGATATAGACAAGGATGGATACCTCACAGTCAATGATGACCACTTGGATAGGGATCCGCCAAACTTAGGACATTATAGATTCCAGGTGAGGAAAATTTATATTCTTAACATTTCTTATTATTTAGAAAAATTTCGTATATGGCGCCATCTAGTAATAGTATAGAAGTTAAAAATTATTTCTGTACTGTTTGTGTAATTGTCAATGGTAACGTTTTTTGCCATCGTTTGTAACGACGTAGTGGGTGTTTAATAAAAATCTATCTAGTAATTTGCCTATTTTCTTTTAAAATTAGTAATTTTTATTCCAGTATAAAAGAAATTAGAGATAAGTAAACCCACTTATTAGGCAAAGTTGTAAGTACACTGAAACTGAACTGAAACTTCTTCAATTTTTTCTGTGTCCCACTAAGTCTGAAAAAAATCTCTATGCAGTTATAAATTTTAATAAAAACTCCCGACTTTGGTAGTATCGGGATATTTTGTTCCTGAGAAATGGAATGGCATTGAATGTTATTTTTATGTAACAGATCGTAGCTCGCGAAGTGAATGGAGGTGCAGCATCAGCTCCATACTCGGTGCTGGTCTATCTCCTGGACCAGAACGACAACGCGCCTGTCATACCTAAGACACAGCCCATCAATGTGCCTGCTAGCTTGGAGCCAGCTCCGATTTATAAGGTACCTTAAATCATATTTATTTTTAATAAAAATAAAAATCTAGTCAATATGTAAATCTCTTGACTTTGTAACAAAGTGACACATCGATCCCGTTCATTATTGTGGAAGTGGAACTAAGAAAATCTGATCATTCAGGTTTCGTTTTTTTCTCGTGTTTAAATTCCATAAAATACTTTTGCCACTAACCAGAAGAATTTTCTAAATTAGGAATTCGGCCTCCGATAAGTATCTACTACAGAATATTTTTTATCTTGTAAATTCTATATTTGTTGTTGTTTAAATGTAGTATTCGCCTCAAATAGATTCAGAATACCTGGTCACCTTAATAACCACACGAGGGTGATAGACAATTGACAATCGCTATTTTAGAATATCGCTAACATATATACAATATAAGCCTAAGCTATTAGCTATCAGTCTAGTTGCACTTTTTAACCAAAATATTCTTTTTTCTCATTGCCTCAATTTCTGTTTACGTAATGAGGAAAAGAGAAGAAGAACTTCAGTTAAAACGGTGCAATAGCCTGAATTATTTTTTATGAATAGGAGGGTTAGTGCATATTACTCCTAAAATGCAATTGTAACCTTTCCAGGTGGAAGCGACGGACATAGATGAGGGTGAGAACGCGCGTATATCTTACAGTATTTATCACGTATCTAACAACGGCGGTAACAAGTTCACTATCGACCCTAGCACCGGAGTTATTTGTGAGTTGCACCTACACTTATACACCGTATTAAAACCTTATAATTTATTTTACCTCATTAATTACAAATTATTATATTACGAAGTCTCAATGATTTTATTTGAAAGAGCATAGTGTAAATTAAATATAAAATGTGGGTAGCACTATGAGAATAACATAGTAGTACCACTTAATTGAAATTAAAAGAAATTAGATGCAATATTTTTTTAAGTTCTTTTTATGCATTTTCATCACTGATATAATGGAGAATGCAAAATTTATAAAATCCAGTTAAACCAACTACTTATATGGAGTTAAGTTATGTATATAAATTGGCTACCGAAGATTTTTATATAATAATATATTTTGAGTATAATCCTTAATTTAATTTTTGTTTATACAGCGATAATAAAATAGTAAGTTTCAAATATTATTAAAACCACGTTAAGGTCTGCATGGCACCAGTTATTTTTAAATATTTAATATATAATTAATATACAGAAAACCACTTTTTAAATTGCATGTTTACACGTTTGGATACACCAAAACACGGTTTTGATTAAACAAAATCTGTTTAATCACTCGGATCAAAATAACACCAATCACACTTCTTCAATACTGGTGCTCTTTGTACACAAATAGTCTCTAGTTATTATATTTTAATGTTAATGTTATATCACAGCCAGTACCGGTCGTCTTCAAGCCGGAGAACAATACAGTGTAACAGTCAGAGCGACTGATTCAAAAGGACTCAGTTCGCAAGGAATTGTCGAACTGATGGTTGCTCCAGGACCAAATACAAGACCACCTCAGTTCTCGTCTAGAGATTATTACGCGCCCGTGTCCGAAGGAGCGGCTATTAACTCCACAGTTACCACTGTTACGGTATGTAAGCTATAATCTATTATAAAACAAAAGAAGTAATTGTTCAATGACATATGTATGTTATGTTATATAAAGACATTTTATAGAAAGCTTTTTGGACATTAATCAAACCTACCTTTATAGTTTGCCTCGTAATATAATACACGGTTTTTAAAACAAATGGTGACTTTCACCAGTATAACACGCGAAATAGAACTAATTTGAGTGTACGACCAACCAGGCTCCAGAAGATAAAACACTCCTTATATGGAAATTGTATTCGTTTTTACAACAAACTCCCAAGCCAGAGTACAGAATGATCACTAAACAAATTTAAAGCCCTTGTTAAACGTAAATTAATCAATAAAACTTTTTATAAATTTGACAAATACTTAAATGATCCTAATCCTTGGGATTGATTTGCTCCAGTTCAAACAATTTGTATAACTCAAAACATAGCGATTAAAAAGAGTGGCGGGAAGTTTCTTGCCAGTTCTTCTTGCCCGCTTTACGCCCTTAACATGCGAACTGGTAGTAAATGTAAATTTAAAATTAATTTAACTTTTTTGACGTTCATAAGTGAACTTGTTTACCTATATGAATAAAGATAATTTGAGTTTGAGTTTAAATTACTATCTTATTAACATAAGGTATCCGCTTTACGTTACGCTTAGGACGCTGTTCATACATTTAGAATAATGTATTTCGAGAAAAAGATACTGTTTTGTATTAGAATATATGCTTTAACATGTATATATTTTTTGTAATGATGGTTGACGTGCATTTTACAGGCGAAGGATCCAGAAAACGAGCCCGTAACGTACTCCATAGTTTCCGGTAATGATCTACGTCAGTTTTCGATCGGCGCGAACACCGGTATTATCACTGTTATACGTAGATTGGACCGGGAAGTCCTCACTCGGTATCAGCTGGTAAGATTAAAGTTCTACACTTCTCTATTTATTTATAATTTCCTCCTCCGAGGATCCTCCCTTTAGGTTGGAGAAACAGTACACCCTCCTTCTTCCATACACAAAAATTATTCCATGTCACATTAGAGATACAATTTCTAGCTTTAAAACTTCAGACTTTCAAAACTAAGAGGTCAAATAAGGATTTTTTTAAACTAAGACCTTTTTAATCCTGATGTAACAAATTTCAGATGGTAAGAGCAGAAGACCCTGGCAAACTCTCGACCACAGCAACTGTTAACATTAAAGTGACAGATATCAATGATAACAATCCTAAATTTGACGAGGACTCATACACGTTTCACGTTAAAGAAGGTATAAATTGTGCTACTGTGTAACAAGAATTTTAGATTTGCCACCAATTCACAAAAACAAATGACAAATGATTGCAATTCACTTCATTCGGTTTTTTTTATAGCTTTACGCAGAGCGTATTGCCACAGACAACCTCATTAGGTTTCCAAAGAGTTCTAAAATTTAAATTCAAAAAAGTTTTCAACTGGCTAGATCTAAACATTTTCACTGATACCCACGTATAATCATTCCTTAGCCAGCTTTTTAAGAAATCTGTTTGAAAATTATTTGCATACAGTGTATCGTATAGACTGTCTATAGACAATCGTATAGCTCGATGATGTAATAACGAACAACCAACTCGTGATCTTATCTATTTCTGAAATACTTACTAATAATAATATATATTAACTTACTTTTCTTGAGAGGCTGATTAACTAACCATACGTGTAAAGGGCGAGTTACGAATAAGAAATGTATTTAGCAAGCAAACGCACTTCACACTTGAAAGTCTCACGATGAACTATTAGATTTTAAGAAAATATATATTATTCCAGGTCTTTTGAGCGAACAAGTGGGTTACGTACACGCAACGGATATAGACGAAGGAGTGAATGCAATAGTCAGCTACAATATCCCCTCAAATCTACCATTTTCGATCGACAACGCGTCCGGTCTTATCACCACTAACACAGAACTCGATTATGAAGAAACCAAGGTAACATAATAAACCATTCAATGGGGCAGGAATCTTCTGCGCCATTGTTTTGGGTCAATAATTGATAATATAAAAGTCATTTGCATATTTAACATATGATGTATTATGAAGATTATTTAAATGATAAAATGTTTACATAAATAAATAATAATTATTACGAATATTTTTAATATATGATGACAACTACATTGATTTAAAAATTGACATTTCTTTCCTAAGATCTATTATGTTAAGAGCGGCCAACCCGTCTATCTTTTCATACAAACGCTCGTACGTGATTATGACAGATATTTCTTTGAAACTTTTGAACTAATAGGCACCTTGTGCACTATATCTAGGTTTCTATTAAAACGCGAAATCAAAATTTTAAGAAGCAAATTCAGTACAAACCTCCAAAAATCAGCCTTTTTGCACAAATTTTTTATGAAGTTTGGGCGTTTATAATGTACTCATTAATTGTAATTGGAAAGAAATATTTGCATAGAAACCTTGCAAATGCAATGGAGTTTCTAAATGTAAAACTTTTTTTCATAATCCTGTAAGGCTTACGAAAAAACACGTATTTCTTGGAACCAGTTTTATTTAATTACCGCACACTATTTTTCTTTCAATGTTATCGCGTTCTCACTTGCTTGTTAGGCATTTTTAACAATGGCTCGCTATCTATCTATACTATCTCTTTTCGCTTTTCCTCTTGTTCTGACATTGCGCTGGATGAAACAACAAGCTTTTTGGCCATGCTCGCGTTGCCGTTCGTCGGACGGGGAAGGGCGCTCTTAATCTATGATTACGGTGCAACAAAATGTTTAGTACCAACGTACAATTCAAACTAATGTTTACGCCTTACAGGAGTATGCTTTCGTCGTAACTGCAACAGATGGCGCTATAGACAAACGTTTAGGCACCGCATCAGTCACCGTATTAGTCGATGACGTGTCAGACGAGCCTCCAGTCTTCTCTCAATCTCTATATTCAGTCCATGTACCGGAAAATGCACCTAATTACCCTGTCGTTAAGGTTCATGTAAGTAGAGATAGCCACTTATTGAAGATAAAGACAAAAAGTCGATTATAAAATCGTTATTAACTTTTTCAGAGAGCATTTTTTAGGTTTCTGTGTACAAATATATTTAATAGATAACGTTTTTTTAGGCTGATGACCCTGACACGACACCAGAGATAACATACACGATCCTAAAAGGTGACACAGATTCCTTCTCCATAGAACGTAAGAGTGGTATGATTCGCACCGTCAAGCCTTTGGACCGGGAAATGATAGCGAGACACGAACTCACTATTGGCACTGAAGAAAACAATGGCCAGGGCAAAGGGGCCACTACTACTGTGGAAATTGTTGTTGACGTAAGTATAGTTTTCTTACCATAAACAATATATACAATATACATATATCATATTTTTTTAAATTTGTCAAAAAAATCGTGTAGAAGAAATAATACATACTGTATGGCAAACAAAGCAGGTAATTTTTTAATAATAGTTTATTTTATTTTTAAGCAATTTTAAAGTAAAGCTTTTATATTAAGAACAAAAAATTAAACAGTGTACTACTAATTCTGGCACTAATTTTTTATATGTATTCCAAAACTGCCTTATTCATAAATATAAGATAAGGCTGCTTTTTCATGTTTCATTTGCAAAGAAAAATATATATAAATAAGATGTTCTTTTCATATATATTGAATAATCATATGTTTGCAGGACAAAAACGACAATACTCCAGTATTTACGTCAGCCATACGTCCTGTTACAATTGAAGATACTGCGTCCATCGGCTCATTAGTAGAAACTGTAGTAGCATTAGACGCTGATTCTACTCCACCCAATAACAGGATAAGATACGCGTTAGTAGGACGCGGAAAAGCATCCATATATTTCCACGTGGAACCTGACACTGGTGCTATAAGGCTGAGGGATGATTTGAGAAAGGAAACTGATAGTGAATATACTGTGAGTATTTTTATAATAGTAGTTTTCGTAAAAGTCCAGCAACCTCGCAATTTAAAGTTTTTGCTTAAGTGTCGAAACTATAGCTAACATATAATCATGCATAAATGATAAATTTTCCAGGTGGAAGTGCAAGCGTACGACGAAGGAGACCCGGTACTGTCGTCAGTCACAAGCCTTACTGTTTACGTCAGTCATTCCGCTACTGTGCCGCCAGATGTAAGTGTTTTTTTATTATTGTTTCAAAATCAGCCTTCCATTTCAGTACCGAGCTTGTTCCATCTGCAAATATTTCTATAGATACGTTCTTGAACATGTTCGTTAATATATTTTTTACATATCTAACGAATAATAAAAATCCAATTGTAATGCTTTGTTTTATAATTCTACTAGAAATATACATTTTTCAATTTCAATAGGATGCTGAACATCTGAGTCTATACATACGTTTTATTGTTAGTTAATGTATCCGTTTTATTAAGTGCGGTGCTCCACATTCAAAGTGGTTTAACGACTTTTCATCGCAAACAGTAAAAAAACGCACAAATAAAGACAACATTTTAGTTTTTAAAAGGGTTGACTAAACCTGGAATTAGTAGGCAATGATGCCAGCTAAAGAATAAAATAAAGTAATTAAAGTTAATTCGATATATTGTTCGTTATATTGATAAATACTTGTTATTTTTATATTAGGTCACATGATTAAGTAAATATTATTTACCTTTTTGTAGTGGCGCGTCTAAACGGGCCATGTTTTGCTGCAATTGATGGCTGCACTGTTGGCCACTAATTGCCCGGCCATTACAAAAATATTTTAATGCAGCTGATGGCCGAACAATCTATGGCTGGGCAATGTGTTGCAATAGTATGGCCCATGATGCAGACTCCTAAACGGGCTACACAAACCGGCAACAATGGCTGACGAAATCACACTTGTCGCAGCAGCTTATATTGTTTTAAAAAAGAAACAGAAAAAGAAGAGATTGTGGATTCGACCTTACTTAAATAGGCGTGAAACTGTAGTCAATTTGAGTCTTGAAATAAGTCTTGATAATAAATTATTCAAGAACTAAAATGTCAAAAGTACTCATTTTTACGTAGTAATCTAACGTCAAATACAGCTGATCGCAAAACACAGAATAAAGCAACAGGCACACTTCACTCAAAGCAAACGTCATGTCGCGTAGAAAAGGATACACTATGCCATAACAAAGAGGGTGACTGAAACAACAAGAGAACTGGCTGTGCAATATTGCAGTTGAATTCGATAGCCTAGCGATCGTCCGGCCACCCATCGGGGCAACATCGGCCATATGTGGCTATACAAAACATGTTTGGCTATATGGCCGGGACATTACTGCAATATTGCATAGTGTGGCTGCTATTGTTTGCAATGTTGCCGGCCACAGTGTTGCAGCCATCAATTGCAGCAAAACATGGCCCGTTTAGACGCGCCATAGATAAAACAAAAAATACGTAGCATTTTTTTATTGCCCTCAAATAAGTCAAAATTGTCCCTTTTTCGGTGGAGAACTTTTTTAGTAGCAACACTTACGAAATGTCAGAATTCTACAGAATAAAAAGAGTATAGTATCTATGTATATCAGATAACTGGCGGTTTCCATAGAGTGGCTGATTTTAACAATTGTTTATTTCAGGTAAGACTAGGTTTTGCTGACACGACATACACTGAACACGTTGCTGAGAATTCGCTTAACGGTACCCTTATTCGAACTTTGCCGATTTGGAACAAAAACAAACACTCCAGAGACACACCACTGAAATGCCTTTTAACAAACTCTTCAGAAAAAGGTAAGACACAAAATATTAATAATATTTAGGAGCTGCTCAAATTTATAGTTCTTTATGTATTTTATATAAGAGATAAAATTATAGTGAAGTGCTAGAGAGCAGACACATCTTTCTTTAGTTGTTACGTTTATTTTTCTTAGATAGAAAATGATGATGTCCTTCGAAACTAAATTTTGCTTGTTGACCAACGGTTTAAATTACGAAGCGTACGTTACGTTCGAAGCATGTATTCGTTTATAGTCGCGTCAGTTACTTACGGTTCGGGTAACATGATTGTTATTTGGAACCAAGCACGCATTTGGCATTTTTGTCTGCACGACAAAAAGTCACTACGGCATCTACTTTATTCCTACGATCCTTATTAAATTGTTCTATTGCTATAAATAGTTTTCTGTAAAAATTCTACTATCAAAATTAAAAAATGTGTCCAAATTCTCTAAATCCTTAAATAATATTCCAGGCGTATTCTACGTGAAACTAAATGAAGATAGAGATTGTGCTATCTATCTCAACTCGTCCATAGATTATGAAACTCTTACCGAATACTCACTGGAAGTCCAATTAGAATCCATACAAGGGCATATAAACCCAGAGAGTAGTAAGGCAACCATCAACGTGCACGTTAAGGACGTAAATGACAACGCACCCGTGTTCGTATTCAACGAACAATCGAATATTGCAGCGGCAAAGGGAAAGTACTTCGCCATTGCTACTAAGGATATGCCTTTGGATACGAATATACTACAAGTTCAGGTAGGTACATTTTTATTTACTAGACAAATTCACTTGAATCATTTACATATCTATTTGTAAAGAAACAATTTTTTACCGGATTGAAGTTATGTATTACAAATAAATTTTATAAAATATAAATTTATATTTATTTTACATAATTTTAAATTTAACCGACGTTTCGCGTGCTTTACAGCGTGCGTGGTCTCGGTGACTCACGGTGACCATCTTTATGTGTAAAAGTTATGTCAATAAAAGACAATACTATATCTATTTGTTACTTACTAATTGACACAATCTTAACAAATTATGAATGTATGTCGGTAAAAAACCCCTTTGTCGCTACTCCTCTCTTCGAAGGCAATCTTCTTAAAGCCTTAGCTAGCATCGTTGTTTTGAAAATAGTATCACGATATGTGGACTCATGGCCCTAGTAAACTTAAATAAACTTTGATATTTGAGGATCAAATTCATTGTTATCACACCAATTTATCCCTTTCTAACGCCAGGCGAAAGACAAAGACAGTGGAGATTATGGCAAAGTGGAATACCGCAAGAACGGCTGGACGAAGGTTGCGGAAGAGTATTTCTCTCTAAACGCTGAAACGGGAGTTATTTCCAATACCAAAACATTTGACAATGTCCCCAAAGAAGTGTTACCATTCAAGTTCAATGTCATGGCGAGAGACAATCCCAAGTCTGATAATTATAAGACGGCCAGGGCTTCTGTTGTGGTAAATATTGTTTATTGTTTGTATTTTATTCGTCTGTATTTAACAATATCTAATTCCAAATATATCAATTAAATTTAGTAACTGATTTGCTATGAGACTAACTTAACAATCGGAAGAGATAGATTTTTTTTTATGTCTCTTTGGTATTTCTAGCCTTTGCGAGTTGACGTTAAAAATCAAATATCTTGGCTTTTTTATATTTTTAGAGGAAGTTTTTTCTTTAAATTCTACTGATTTTACATTCTTATAATAAAAATTATATACAGAAAAAATTTAATAGAGAAAATCGAGATTAGATGGTCTTGGTATTAATTCAAGTCAAACACATTTTAGAACTGAAATTGTGTGAAGAAATAAATATCTAAACTATTTTTGTTTGAATTTTTCAGATAAACTTATTACAAAAAGACAACCAGTTAATCATGGAAGTGTCAGATTTGAACCTTAGGTCATTGACAACGCTTAAAGCGCGTAGTCTGTTAGCGGAAATAGAAGAGAAGAGTGGACTATATGCTGGATTGGAGAAACTGACTCCAAAACTGTATTTGGGAGAGAACGGCACTCTTGAAGAAGATAACAACGGAACAGCAGTTTGGCTTTACTTGTTAGATCCCATTAGTGGGCAGATTTTAGCAAGAGAGTCTCAGCCGGTTAAAAAGTAAGATTTGCGGTTCTCTCAAGGTTCCTATTTGTGAACTAAAATCCTCGCTAACGCAATGATTTTAAATGTGTTTTACTATTTCCAGAGCCATAACTTCTGGAATAAGGGTCCAAGCTCCTCTAGTCCCAGCGGAGCCTCCTCGACGTACGCACATAGCAGCCGCCCCTCTGACCACTGCCCTTCCAGCTGCACTTTTGGCTCTCGCGGCTCTTGTCCTGGTCGCTGCTACTGCTGCTACAGTCTATATATGCGCATCGTGGAACAGGTCAGTGTCGATTATATTGATGGTTATGTATGTGAAAAAAAAATCTGTCTGGTAGTTTCTTATTTTACTGACTGTATTATGCCAAATTTAATAATAGATCCAACTGAGGGGATTTTTTATAAACAAATGACAATCGTTGCGTAATAATAGTAACAGAATTTGACCTTTCAACAATTATAATGTTGATAATTTCCCCGATATGTTATTTTCCAGCATGGTTAACTTTAGGAAAAAATATTTTATTGTTTAAACAATATTTATGAATTTAAAATAAAATATAGAAATTTATGTGACGATGGAATACAAATTGGCCACAATTTCTCAGTTCACCGATGCGTCAAAATTGAAACAAAATTAACTATGTAGTATGTGTTAATTACTAATTTCTTTAAATCTATATAATCGTTTATTAACATAACAATAAAAATCTTATCCTACATAGTAATAATAAAATTAAAACAAATTTAAAGAGTTTGTCCTAGGGCAGTGTAAAATATAAAAAATTCTAACTAACTAAAAAGAGTCTTATTTTTTGGTTTACAATTTTAAATTGTTAGGTACCAGTTTCTGAACCTTTAAGTACCCTTTGGTACACTATGGAACTAAACAACCACGACCAAGAAATACTGTGTAAAAGAAATGTGAAGTCTCCACCTCGACACTTTATAGTAACACGTATCTAGGATGTACCAAGTTTCAACAAGGGAGTTATGTCATTTTCATTTTTTTCCAGATACAAGAAACACAAAGAGCAAGCCCTTCAACAGCAGTACAGTACTATGAGTTTAAGTATGCCCCCTCCTAGGCCAGCCTCGGGATATGAATCCAGTGAAGATGAACCGGCACCTCGATACGAAACTCAGGTAATCAAGGATTCTACATAAAACCGCCTAAAGTGTAAATTTTATAAATAAATAATGTTTCTTTCAATAAAAAAAATAGTTTTAAATTATGTTATTATCGTCAGCATATAATCATTAATTTAAGGCTTTTAATACAATTCACATAAGTCGGTAAATATATTTCAAAATATTTGAAATTTTCAGGTTTTAAACATGGCTGTAGATGACGCAGATCTGCAATTGGACTTCAGTCCAAACAACCACGCGTTTAATATTCACAACGTTCAGTACTTATCTAAAGATAACGGTAAGATACGTTTTAATTATCAACTAACGTATGCGTATGTTACGATTCGTATTTTCTAATACTAATTTAGAAAAAACCATCCGCATCCAAAATAATTATAGGTGTATAATACAACTAATTTCTTCACCATCTGTAAAGTACTTTAATAGGAATAAATATTAGGTCCTTACATATGAAATTGGCGTTTTGTATGGGAGGAACAAAAAGTCGAATATTTTTAAATATAATATATTTAAATTATTTAAATATAATTTTTTTTTTAAATAATATATTTAATTAATCAAAGTATGAACCATTGTTTTCTATGCACTTTTGCCATCTCATAGGTAGTTCATTGATCCCTTTACTAAAAAAACTAGTCGGACGGGAATCAATAAAATCTGTGAAGGCGATTTGGACTGCCCCATCAGAGTTAAATTTTTTCCCTTGCAAGAAGTTGTCCAAATTTCGAAAAAAATGGTAATCTGTTGGAGCAAGGTCCGGGTAGTACGGAGGATGTCTTAGACATTCCAATTGAAGCTCTTCTAATTTGGTAGCCGTCTGTTGTGCAGTGTGTGATCTAGCGTTGTCGTGAAGTAGCAGTGGCGTGGAGCGATTGACCAGTCTAGGTTGTTTAGCCGCTAGCTTTTCCATCATGGTTTGCAATTGCTGACAATAGACATCAGCCGTAATAGTCTGGCCAGATTTGAGAAAACTGCAATGAGCAATATCGGCACTAGTCCACCAAACGCTTACAAGTAACTTTTTTGGGGTTAATTTTCGCTTGGGGCAGGATTTGGCTGGCTGGCCAGGATCCAACCATTGCGCTGAGCGCTTCCGATTATCGTAAAGAATCCATTTTTCATCACAGGTAATGATTCGGTTTAAAATACCTTCATTATTGTGCCGGTTCAGTAATGTAACGCAGCAGTCGACGCGCGTTTGCCGGTTTGCTTCAGTCAATTCGTGACGTACCCATCTTTCAAGCTTTTTAATCTTCCCAATTTGCTTCAAGTGAATTAAAACAGTTTTATCACTAACACCGCAGCCTGCAGCTAACTCGGACGTGGTTTGCGATGGATCCGCTTCCACAATAGCCTTCAATACTTCATTATCAACTTGGGGCTCAGGCCGTCCACGGGGCTTGTTCTGCAGGTCGAAATTTCCAGAACGAAAACGTTGGAACCAAAAACGAACTGTGTTTTCTTTTGCAACATGACCGCCATACACATCATTCACCCTTCGAGTCGTTTCCGCAGCACTAGTGCCACGGCGGAACTCGTACTCATAAATAATGCGATACTTTAAGTTTTCCATTCTGTAAAATGAGTGACGCAAACAGAAAAAAACAGAAGAAAAAAAACAAATGAATGACGGTCATCGAAGCACAAATACATGAGTAAATAGCTGTACAAATTTGAATTTGAAATTCCTTACCAAAGAGGAGTACATCGTGATTAAAGTGGCCAGTACGAAAACGCCAATTTCATATGTAAGGACCTAATATATCAAATATCAAAATGATTAAAAAGAAAATAAAAACAAATTTGAAATGTTTGGTCCCTATAGCAGTGTACCTTTAACGCTGTCAGCATTTCCTCGCTGTATTGCGAAACTTATGCGCTTTATATAAACTAAGTATATAATATTGACATAACTAAGGTAACGTTACGCACCAAAAACCACCATAAAGTTTGGGACTGTATATTCTTAGCACATGAAATAAATTTAACAGCAATCAAGACGATAAATATTTATTTTTATTTTATTTGATATCTATGGCGAAGGCGCAATGTAATTTATGATATTGTAGTAAGGATCTTAAAATCACGATAGACGTAGAGTGACCAGTCGTTTTAATAAATATACATATTTCCTATCACAAGCGACTTTGTAAATTTCACCTATTTCTTATCTTCTTTTTGATAGATATCGAACAGATACTTGCACGCACTGGACGATACTGTTACGTTTTGGGTAAATTAGTCTTAAATAATTAGTCCAACTCATTTGAGATATACCATTCTTCCCAGAGCCAGATCTTCTACGTAAAACTTAATTTCAAAAGCGTATTTCATGTATTATCGTACCATTATTAGCTGAGTAGTTACAAGTCACTCACATCAGCTTATAGTTTCCACCTTCAATTTTTAATAAACACAGTAGGAAACAGTAAATATTTTGTTCACGATTATTCACTAATAAAAATCATTAGTGTCGGTAATTTTTCCTATAGATTAATTAATATATTCAAGACATAAAAAATATTATATCAGCTTAAGAGAAACCATTAACACAATTAAATTTCATAAACAGCAGGTGATTTAGCTTTGTGTATCAGCACAAGACACGTATATTTGCTATATTTCATTCATCACAATATATTAATAATAAAGCAATTTATTTCAGGCGAAAGAAGCCCCACATTATCCGAAACAGCGACCACAGCTCGGGCGTCTAGTGTTAATGAAAATGGCGGAACACTTAACAACATGACTAATTTTGATAACAACGCAATCCGCAATACTCAGACCCTTAATAGGCGGTCACACAACAGCCACCCCTTAAACAATGCGATTGGCACTCTGCCAAGGGCCAACAATAACAACCACGGATTGTTAGCAACCACTTTGGGAAGGAAAATAAATGGGAACAATCATAAAAAGAAAACATCCCCGATTATGGCGTATGATGAAATACCAGGATTACAAAGGTATATTGAAGTTTATTTATAATTATATTTATTATTAATCATGACTAAGTAATTTAAGTAAAACCTTGTATATATTGTCTATCATAAAATATTCGAATTGAATTTTTACCATTTAAATGATGTATTTTAAAGATTTAATAGCTACGAATAAGAATTTATGCAGTTTATCTAATGTATCTCTGATAGATCCACTCATTTCAGACGTCTGTCACTGTCAACTGTCACTATGTGTCTGTGTGAGAACTGAATTGATATATGTAACTCATTCTTCCTTTGTCTTTTCTTTGAAATATTCATATTCAGTTGTTTTGAGGAAGTAAAATAAATCTCGCACATTTTACCAGTTAAGGAAAAAAAATTCCCTTTTCTCAAAAAATTTACGAATAATGTTTTATTTTCCATTCCAGAGCCACAGATAATGACAACGTAACGTTCGGTAAAAGAAACTTCAACGGGTTCTCGTACGACCAATCCCCGGTCGAAACTACCACAGAACTATGAGCTTAGTGAATTGTGTTTAATGTGTTCAACGAATAACGACTGAAAATGCTCTTTTATTAATTTTTAATTAGCGCAGGCTAGTCGTGCATAATGTGTATATAATGGCATTATAGGTACCTGAGATGGTACAAATGTGTAAATAATTCGATGTAAGCACCATTCCTTGCCTTAAACGTTAACTTGGCACTTTTTATATCCGTAATGTTTTTGTAACTAAGCTGAATAATGTTTGTACTATATCTAAAACCTTTATTTGAAACTTTTTTTTATCGATTGCCTATTATATGTTGAAAATAGAATAGGTTTATGCATACAATACGAAAATTTTATGAGTGAACTTTTAATACGAATATTGTGCCAGTTAAAATTATAGTTAGAAAATTAATTTAGCGTAATAAATGAATGCTCATATAACCTGTGAATCAGGCTCCGAAGTGATTTGTGCCAAACAATTTTGATCTAAATCTCTGTATATTTATTAAATTGGCTAAGCTAAATGTTACCTTGTATAAATTTGTATAGTTTTGTAAATTTTTATATTTCCTATTTCTATAGAATTGTAATATATTTTCTATTATATGAGGATTGTAAGATTGTTCTAATTTTTATAAATAAATTAATTTTTAATACAGAGATGTTTTATTTATTATTGTTATGTTAGGTCTGTACATATAAAATTGGAGAGAGAGAAAATTAGAGAATATTTTTTTATAGGCTTCTGAGACTTATTTTAAAGTTTGTTTGCTCAGATAGAAAATAGGTAGTAAATATGTATAAAAACGCTTTTACTCAAAGATTCTTAGAACCCAATCAAATGATTAGTGGTCAGCCAACCTGACGTCAGAATGGCTGGCTACTTAATTTCTTTATTACGTTCTTTAATACAGAGGTAGAAAATGCGTATTTGAATGTAGAAAACAGTATCAAATAGATAGAGAAATATGGCGTATAGTTTGTTTGCGATATCAAATTTGATCAGCCAACCTGACGGTCATAAATGATCGTTAATGTTTCGTGTTGTTTGCGCAGAAGTATTTCGACGTAGTAACTTGTATTCGTAAATTTGTACGTATTTTCAGTTTATACATTTCACAAAAACAAAAAGCTATCGAAAAAATTAACGCGGGTTTCGAACAAAATTTAATTGAATTCAAATTGGGCGCCAAAAATGCCCTAACTGTTTACGATTCTACTTTAATTTATTATCAAAAAGATGAACGTGACAAGTACTAAGCATTTATAGCAATTAAACTATTATATGGAAAGTTTGATACTTTTAAGAAGATTAACTAACATAATTTATATTCCCGTCTTACTTGCTAAGTGTAAATAGGCTAAGGCCCTTTCTCCACTGCTCCGTTCCGGCAAACGTTAATTACCGATCCGAATTTTCAGTCGTCGAAGCGCAGCCGTGCGAGTGACACGCGTATAACCTAGCACGAGCTTATCAAGACAATCTAATCATGTCGAAGTGTGACCAATGTAATAAAACGTTTTCTAAATCGATGCCCGGATGTGAATGTGCCCGATGTGAAAAAATGGTACACCTAAATACCAGATGCAGCGGTCTTACGAACAAACAGATAACTGCATTAAAGGCGGCCCCAAGCCTAGATTGGACTTGTATGGAATGCCAGCATGAATCCCCGAAGCGAAACTCCTCTTTGTTTCTAACAGAGGATGCAGAGGAGGATATACCTATGGACACTAAGGGGCTAATACATAAAATCTCCAAGGAGGTGGAAAAAACTATAAAGAAGGAAATAAGCGAACTTAACCAATCTCTGCAATTTCACAGTACGAAGTTGGATGAAGTATTAGGTTGTATTGATGCCTTTAAAAATACCATAAAAGCTTTAGAAAGAAAAAACACGGAACTATTACAAAAAAAACAACAATCTCGAATTGAGGGTAGGCGTATTGGAGCAGCGTTTCCATGAGATGGAACAGAAGAAACTTGCTAATTCTATAGAAATAGCAAACGTCCCCCCTGCGAGCGAAGAGAATGTGATAAAATTAGTTGAAAATGTAGCATTAAAACTTAAACAGCCCTTCGACGGTATCCGTAACTCAATGCGATACAAAGGTAAATACGACCAACCCGGCATTATACGAGTTAAACTTACTGATAAAGCGACCCAAGAAAAGTGGATTAAAGCTGCAAAAACCATTAAAACTATGGTGGCCGATGTTTGCCCCTATGAACCCAACAATAACAAAATAGTATTCATCAGGGAAGCAATGACTAAATCCAACAAAAGCATTTTATGGGAAGCCAAGCAGGAATTAAAGAACAAACAAAACTATAAATACGTTTGGTTTAAAAACGGTATGGTTCGTGCAAGAAAAGATGATAACACGAAAATAGAAAACTTAAGATCTATATTGGATATACAAGTGTTAAAAAAAAAGACAGAATGTCAATAAACTGCCCAAATTAAATTGCATATAAATTATTATTATTAATATGGATAGTTTAACTAGTGATATTTGTGAATTAGAAGACTGTATAAACATAAATGATTTCGTGAGTAAAATACCCAGCAAACATTTAAATCTGTTGTGTGTACACATAAATATAAGGTCAATCATAAAATATTTTGCTAGCCTCGAGCAATGTATATATGCGGCTAACACCATTGACGTTATTGTTGTTACAGAGGTTAACATTTCTGATAGAATCAGTTGTTTGTACAATTTAAATGGATATCAAATGTTCTCAGCGCTCAGAAACAGTAGGAAAGGTGGTGGTATCTTAGTTTATGTAAAAAAGAAACATAAATTTAGTATACAAATTGTAAAAAGCCAACATTTCGAGAATATACTCTTTACCATCACAACTCAGACGAAATACACTGCGCATATTTGTGCTATTTACCGCCCACCTAGCCTAAGCAAGAGCCTGTTTATTGACGAACTTCATAATATCATTAAGAGTAACTGCCAGAAAAATATAGACTTGTATCTATTGGGGGACGTTAATATAAACCTAAAGCTAGACATTCCTATAAAACATAAATATTGCAACACATTACACAGTTTAGGCCTTATGTGTGGGATCACAACATACACTAGGGCAGAACTATACAAAGGAATCGTTACAAAATCATGCATAGATCACATATACGCTCGATCCCAAACACACGACCTATACACTGCAGCGGTTGGCACAAAACTAGCGGACCATCGAGCGATCGTGCTCGCTTGCACTAAAGCACAGCTACAGGATGTTCCAACATATAAAACATTAATTGACAAAAATAAATTAACGACCCTTCTAGAGCAAATTGATTGGAAGCCGACAGTAGAAATGAAGTGTCCTATTGGCATATACAACTTCATACAAAATAACATAACTCAAGCATATAAAAAATCAGAATATACAGTTAAACTTAAATCTAACACTCATCGAAACAGTAACCATTGGATTAATAATAGAATTATTAAAGCATGTCATTACAGAGATAAACTTTTTACACAATATATAAAAGATCCAAACAACTTAATACTTAAACAAAAATATAATAAAACCAGAAATTATGTCAATAAATTAATAAATAAAACTAAAAATAAAACACTTAGAACCAATATAGAAGCTAATAAAAACAATCTAAAAAATCTATGGGATATATTAAACCGATTAACAGGAAAAATTAAAACATCCATTGACGTAGCTATACAAAACTCATTTGAAAATCAAAATGTTACGTGTAAAGATATTGCAAATAATTTTGCAACTACCTTCCACAATAGTATCAGTAATGTTGCAACCAACTGTGTAAATCCACTGTTGGATACAAGTTTATACCGGCGAGCAGAAAATATTAGTATGAGATTTCAGTCAGCAGACCCTAAATCTGTTGCAAAGATAATAAAATCATTAAACGACAAAAAATCTCCAGGCGCAGATAGAATACGAACTATAGACATTAAAATGTTATGTAATAAAATAAACGTAGCCATAGCTAATCTTATTAACACGAGCATTTACACTGGACAATATCCTAATTTATTAAAAACAGGTATAGTACGACCAATATACAAAAATGGTAGCAAAAAAAACTACAATAATTATCGTCCAATAACTATACTGCCAACAATCAACAAAATAATTGAAAAATACATATGTGGACAAATTCAAAGTTATTATAAAAACACAATATTCTTTCTAACAAACAATACGGATTTCAACCAAATAAAAACACCACACAATTACTATCCGCATTCACAGATCATATTTATAAGCACTTAAATAAAAAGGATCATGTCCTGGTAGTGTTTATTGATTATAGCAAGGCATTCGACACATTAAGGCACAGCGTAATCCTACAAAACCTAAATGACTGCGGAGTACGAGGAAACCTGCTCAAGTGGTGTGAAAACTATCTGCAAGATAGAACTTATCGTGTTAAAGTGTGCAACGAAGAAAGTTTCCCAATATCCATAACAGAAGGTACGGCTCAGGGCTCAGTTATTGGACCCTTGCATTACCTTACCTACGTTAACACATTACCTAACATAATAAAATATTGCCAGATATTCCAATTTGCAGACGATACATGCCTAGTAGCCGCTGGGGCTAACATACAACAATTTATTTAGAAGGATTTTGATTCTATAAAATTTATATTAAGCTTGGAACGCAATCAACAAACTAAACCAAATATAATCTCCAAGCCTGGCTACAGCTTAAATATCGAAAAACAATAATTTAATCCGAACGAATAATGGCTAAATAATGTATGAAAGAAAATTACGAAAAGGCAATAAATTTTCTGCCAAGAAACATTAGGAAAAACTGAAGTCGAAGAAAGAAAAGTTAAGAAATACAAAATAATAATCGTTTCATTTCATTGTTATTATCATTAGCCGAGGAATTTTAATAAAGCACTGCGTTACGTCCGTTGCGACGGGGTGACTTATTTTTACTGATACTGTGGATATTGGAGAAGCACAATCCGGCCTTCCGATATTTTTCTCATGACTCATTCCGGTTTCCGACGCCGGACCGGAGCAGTGGAGAAAGGGCCTAAGGCCAACTTATGTATGAGCTTTATGCATTATTAGATTACGATATATGGAGTACTAAATCTGTTTAAAATTGTTCGTTCACAATTTCAAAGACAAAGAGGTTTATTAATAGACATGGTTAGAGAATGGTTTTAATTGAAACAACGTAATTATAAATATAAATTATTTAACAATTGGTAAATTTAATCTACGTCATTTAACCTCTCTTCATCAATTTCAGTCACATAAACTTTTCCTTCTTCATGAATACCATCTAATATGGTCGCCATGGTTCCCTTTAACATCCTGTATTGTTCTAAAGCCTTTGCGCAAAGCTCTCCTTCAGGCGAGTTCCCAGGTTCAATTAATAACATTTCAATCGATCGCTTTAGATGTTTCTCAGCGTTAAGAAGCTCGTCCTGTAAATCAATAATTTTATCAAACTAAAACCAATATTGATAAAGTAACAGTTCGACCCTAAGACAATGTCAAAAATGGATTGGATTTTGACATACAGGTGGCATATTAGCGCGTCTCGATTCTGATAACACAATGTACATTAATGAACGTGAATAGAATTATTTAAATGTTCTCTAAGCTTTTGATCTGAAAACAAACGAAGATAACCTGCACTAAACTCTCCGCCACTCTATAATCGTAATTTTTTGTAAAAAGCTACAACAATTACACCACGAAATTATTTATAGAGATGAAAATGCTTTTTTTTAAGGTCAATAAGTGAAGAGTTTTGACAGTGGTTACCAGTCGACCGCAATTATTATTAATAATTGTTAGTTTATATAAAATGACAGTATTTTATTATAAAATTACAGTTTCACAATTGCTTAAAATGTAGATACTTACTAAATATTCAGGGCCAGTAATCTCACGGCTGTCAAATTCTTTTTTGGCTAATTGGACTATTGCCAAATGCAGCTCATACATAGTGATCGCTGGAAAGTACTTTTTTCATTAATTAAAAGGGGCTTATGCATGCATTCATTATGAGATATCAATGTTAAATAAAAATTCAGAGATTAACAAACTATAAAACAGGAATAAACGTAGGTAGGTATCTAGTGAAATTTACACTTTGTAAAAAGAAATCTATATCCAATAATAATACAAAATGTGCCGACGTTTCTTTAAAACTTGGAAACCAACATTGCCAATGTCTTTATGTATTTTCAATGCATACCTTTCGTTCTGCTTATACCAGGACTCAGAACTTCAAGCATTGGTAGTAATTCCTCACATAAATTCAGTTTGCGACGCATCATTTTCTTTGTGGGTCTCGGCTCTCTATTAATCGCATCCCTTAGAACACCAGCAAGTCGTTGTTTTGCGTCTATCAGCAGATAATGGTTAGGAGCCAGCACTAAGGATACGTTCCTTATATACTCTTCAAGTTCTTTTTCGTCCTTTTTATCTGAAATTAACTTTGTATAAAGCAGTTTTTGTCGACAACATTTGTTAGTATCAATTAGTTCTTTAATCACGATATAATCCGTATCTGACATCTCTCACTAAAACAGTCAGAGTCACGCTGAAATCAGTATCTTTAATATCAAGGCAAATAATGTTACGTTATTATAAAATTGTTTTAATATTTGCCTAATTATAAAATAGAATAGCGCAAAAATCATGCTCATACTTCGTCTACGCTTGAGGCAAATTGAATTCACATTTTTGTTTGGCAGGCACAAAAACATTTTTTCCCGTAACCGAAAACCGTATAGTACGCGTAACCAAGTTGGTGACGAACTGTAGCTGTGAGCTTCAAAATATTTGTAAAATCTTGGTTTGATGCTTCGCCACCAGAATTTAGGTTAAAATTACCTTATGTCAAAAACATATTGGATTTTGTCTTACGTGAGTTCATTCGCATCATTCGCGCTATGATTTGACTTTGAATTTTACCCTAAGATTTATCGTTCGTTAACATTTTATCATATAGATCAACTAAACCGCAGATGTAGCAGAATTGTAAGATACAATATACGTACTTATAACATCAAGTTTATTCTCACAGCACTTGACTTTAAATCCTATAACTGAATCGTCGGTTTCTTCCTTACAGTGATGGCACTGCCACTTTTCGCCAGCCTTTGTAATGAAGCCAGTCTTACAAGCAGGACATAAGGCGGAGCTCATGTGTGTGCCAAGCTCCGTTGCATCCAAACACCGTTCACAAGTGCATTGAAAATATTTGCCCATTAGTAAGTGTTCTTGGCGTAATGCAGTGCCCTGAAGTTGAACAAAAAGCAGAGAATTAATAGTAAAATAATAATTTTGGTTTCATTCAAATTTTTTGCAGTGTATTTTTTTTTCTTTTATTTATTTATTTTAATTTTATTTAGAGCACTATATGGCAGTCGTAAAAGTCGACCTGTTTTTTATAGAGCTACTTTGGTATTAGAGAAAGTACTAAAAATCATATGATGCAACTTGAAACATAGCGGGTAAAAAAGGTTTTTTGTACCTTGAACCAAGTCGATTTAGGAGACCCTAAGTCGAATTGGTTTGGAAATACTTCAGTAGGCAGCTGGTTCCACAAAGAGGTGGTGCGCGGCAAATCTGCCTTAATACTAAGGCCCTTTAAACAACCTAACAATATTAATTAACGATAGTTTACCTTTAGCGGATCCGTATAGTTATAATAGATAATCTCCCCCTTCTTAATATCTTTACTTGAATGACACATTAAAGCATTATTATCGTTAATTGAGATTATTGTATTCCCTGTACAATGATGGGCCATGAGTGCTGCCTGGAGGTACACCCCTCTGAGTGTCTCCGCATATCCTAGAGCTGGGATCGGAGGACCACGTACTTCAAAACTGTTAACGTCAATCGCTGCACACACTTTCTGTACCAAATTCTTGTCATCATCGTCATTAAGAAGTTTCAACTCGCTAACAAACTGTAAATATAATCAAGATAAAATAAAGAGCTTGTAAATTTACACAAAAGTCTTTTAGCATAATAATATACATTCAATTAGTAATGTGGCAACCTGGTGAACGTGGTAGGCCTTTGGTTAACGAAAGAAGAGATTAAAATCGTATTCATTATTAACTGTAGGCAGATACCAATACAGGATACAACAATAGTGGCCTAATTATTTGTACATTGTTATCACTGGGCTATGATTCTTTGTTTTTAACCAATTCGACTCGGGGTCCTTCAAGAAAAGAGCATACCAATTCTTAAAAGGTCGGCAACGCACTTGGGCTCACAAGTCCGTTGTCTTGCAATGTAATCTATGGGCGGTAGTATCACTTAACATCAGATGAGCCAGCCCTGCTCGTTTGCCCCTAGCTAAATAAAAAAAATACGACGATGAAACTAATCCTATTATTTCTATTTAAAGAATATACTTATATACTCCTAAAAATCCTTACATTGACGGTAGTTTGATAATATTCCCATACACTGCTGTTCCTTCGCTGGTCTAGATGAGTTTCTAGCTTCATAAAATCATCCCATGATTTGTTGTCTCTTTGTAATAATGCTCGTAGTGTTAATAAAGAACCCACATTTTGCACCATTTTTATCGGGCTCATATTTAAATTTAATTTCAGTTCTCTGAAGAACTCGCATTCCTTCTGAACATGCCATTCTGAAATAAACGTGAACATGGATAAATAGAAAACTAAAATAAATTTATAAGTATTAACTTTTTATTCTAATGGTCGAAAAAAAGAGGTAATAGTTCAATATCAATTACTGAAACTACTGAAAAATCAAATACAGTCTCAAAATAACGGTTAATAAAAGTAAAAATAAACTTTAATGTTTTACGATCTTGTAGAACAACTAGCGAATGATCTGATCTGATCTCATCTTTACTTACTAGCAATTCCTTCAGGACACCCATCTCCAGGGCATATAGGGGCGACCGCACAAAACTTGCAAACGAAAAACTTATTGATTAAAGGCAGATAGCAGTTAAAACACACCAGTGATGTGTCGCTGCTTGGTCCGAGAACAAATGGTTGTTCTGCAAGTATTCTTTCCCCGGCTCTTATATCTTTTGCTGCCACAAGATACCTAAACATTTAAATATATTAAAATAATGATTTTTTTAATTTTAGTTGTACACATTTCACTTCAGAGATTGACAAGACAATACGTATAAGAAAAATGAATATATTAGCAATAGTATCTTTGGTTTTTTTATATTCACTAAGGTTTGCGAGTAAGTGTTAGACTTAACAAAATGTTACGCTGCTTATCTGAGAATAATTGAGAATAATATGTTAACTTATATGTAAGGGATTTGGGTCATTCAAATGTTATACCACCTTTACATTACTCTCCATCTATCTTCCTAAAACATGATTTCAAAGTTAATTTAAAAATACGAACCTGCCCAATTTATCAGATGTTTTAACTTCATATTTTATATCCATATTGCAATAACACTTATATATTCACGTGCGCGCAACATTCGTGTGGACTGAATTGTTATTTTTAGGCTAGTTCCAACTATCCTATTTATAATCCTCTCTCTGCTATGCGTATTGTGTGAGAAGGTAAAACTGATTTATCTTGAATAAAAACAAACTCCACAACTAAACGGAGCTTCTAGACTTTAGTGCGTGCCACTTTCGAAGTCTCTGTTACGCTCCTATATGGCTTTGGGATTTATACTTATACCGTTTTGGTAGTCGTTTGAAAACGAGTTCGATTATAAGCCTTCTTTTTATAGAATTGCTAGACTTTATTTTTAATTCAACTTTGTTGTTAGCTATGAAAATAATAATATATTTTGGATATTCCCTCGGAATCTCCGATATAAAGCTATGGAATACGCCAAAATAATCTGTTCGTCCAACTCCTCCTATCAGATATTTAAAATATCTTTTTGTGACCTGACCTGTGATTATTGTACTTGTACAATATACTTTGCGTTTATATTTTTATGATTAAGATTATTAAGAGTTATTTTGAGTTTGATAAGGTAATAAATGTAAAGGCACTTGGCTTTAGATTAATAAATCTTAATATGTAACCAATACTGGTAATATACCGCGTTTGTTTCACTGTGTAAAACTTAGTATTCATAAATAAATAAAGAAAGTCAGAATTGTATTTGTATTTACTAATTTCAAACAAACAAATCGAAAGAAATACTACTGACACTCCCGTACGTGTACGCGAGTCTACTACTACGTCTCTATATTATCAGGTGATATAACTATACTACGTTTTGCCATACGGGAGCCGTACTTAGCGCTAACTCCCAACTGTTAATTTTGAATGTTAGTTAATGAGAGTTAAGCCATCTGAGGTACTGAGACGGCGGCAATATGAGCAACTGGGTTGAAGCAGCGTCAGAATTTACTTATTGTGGACGCACGATTTTAAGGTGCGCTTACACGGGCAACTAAAATTGCTCAATTCCAGTCAATACTCGTCAACTATGACGTCACCACTACATCAAGCAATTTACGGCAACGGCAACAAGCATCAATACTGCGCAATACAATATTGAGCGATATGGCGCAACTTCATCAACTAGGCAATACTGTCATACATGAGCATTTCAGTATTCGCTCGCTATGGACGGCATTGTTCTTGCTACAGCGGCTTGCAGAACTTTTTTTATGATTAATCAAAAAAAAAAAGAAACTTTACTAGAATGTCACGAACCGACTTTGAATTACTTTTGAATAAAGTAATTAGAAATTATTGTTATTTAGACCTCTCGCTCTCCCCGCGGAAGCAAGACGACAAGCCGCAAAACAAACAAGTGCGAATGAGACATAGACAAAAATTGCTAGGAATTTCCAAGTCCATTGGATATTCGTCAATTAGTATCTGCGACATAGAGCGATATGAAATATCTGGAGCAATTATAAGCAATATCGCCGAAATAATTTATTGAAATTGCTCCATTAATTGCTCCAGATCGGTCCATTCGTGTCGCCGAGCAATTATTGCCCTCGTGTAAGCGCCACCTTAATGTCATCATGTGATCGGGTTTACCGTCAATCCCTAGGGAGTCCTTGGACTTAGGGAATTCTAATTCTAATCAATAAATTCTAATTAATTTTATATAGTTGTGTACTATTTTCAATAAAATGTAAAATAAAAAAAAACAGTTATATAATACGCTTTTATTAAATAATTTCAACCTTATACGATATTTACATTATTTACAAAATATAATTCCATTGTGCTTATGTACAATTAGTTAAACAGTCTTTAAATAAAATATTAAGATTTAAGACTAATATTTCAAATCTTCATTTCCTATATATCACTATGCAACAGTAAATTTTACTATCAAGTAGTAAATCTATTCTTACCAGTCGTATTTCTAACGAATCGTATATAGAATTCTACCATTTCGACTATAATAATATAAATAACAACGTAGGCAGATATCCCTATCTCGATTATTGCTTGTTTGAGGTTACACTAAAATTTCAGAGGGTAGTCTCAAAATTATCACGTCATACAAAGCTATTATTACTGTTATCTTAAGTCAAGCAAAAAAGATTATACAAAATTGCACTCATTAAATTATCTAAACTTAAAACTAACATCATGTTATAAGTCATGATTAAACGAAACTAACTTTTGAAATTCTTGTGTATTCATTTAAGAGACTTCGTATTTCATATAAATACAATTGCAGACATTTTAAAATGTCTATACAAATTAAACTAATTACAAATATCACCACGGCGTTTGCTAAACACTTGCTTTTTGGCTGCCCATCAATGTCATGTTGGACACTGAAACAATAAAAAATTATAACTACCCCCCTTTTTCATAACAGCGAGTATTCAAATAGATTGCCCTTACATGGGTCATTGCAATGGACATTATTAACCGTTTCGGCTTTTGGCTTTTAGTTTTTGGCTTTAATAACTAAATAATAATTATTACTATTATAAATAAAGGGGTAGTAGTTTGACACCTGTATGTCAAAAAAGCATTGGATTTTGTCATACAGGTTGACAGACAGAAGTTAACGTACTGAAACGAGGGACCTTCAAAAATTATTATCTTAAACTGCCTGCACAGGATAAAACACACTCGACTCGAAATGTTAAATTAAAATTGACTAGAGTCTGGATGAATGAAAGAAGATAACGAAAAAGCGCGGCAAATTCAATTTTTTTTAGTATGGTATCCCTAAAAGTTTGATATATTTTGTGGATTAAACTTACTTGATACTTGATTTTATTTTATTATTTTTACATTGATAGTGACTGTATTTCTATGAAATTAAATACTATTGATTCTCTTACTATTGATACTTAAAATGACTAGCATTGCATGGAAAACTTAAACTATATTTATTATAAAACACAACTTTATTCGTAATAATCAAATCCTGCGAAAGAAACGAAATATTCTATCAAATAAAACAATGTTTAGGTAATTATACCTGTTAACGATTCGGAAAAAATATATAATAGAAATAAAAATGAGTAATTGCATGAAGTATCAAGACAATAAATCATACTAACCTTAGAAATTCAATGACATTCTGTGTTGCCATCCGAAAGTTTTCAAATAATTCAATTATCTTCTTTTATTAGCCAGAATCTATCAAAAAATAAACCCAGAAACGAGTATGCTCCATACCTCACTTATACGGACGGACACCGGGACATCACACTTCTTTTCACTTGTCCATTGGTCCAACCGTGATTCGAAGGCAGGACCTTAGGGTACAGAGCACGGCTTATGCTAGCAATAGTTAATAAATTCAATATACCTCATCATGGGCCATGGGCGAGGAATGCGCAGCAGCGATGATATCTTGCAGACATCGGGCAAACTCGTCGATTACTTCACGCAGCGGATCCGCCTCCGCTTCCTCTTTCGCTAGCTCCCGCTCACCGCCTTCCGCCGCCGCCACCAGGCATTGGCACACCGCTTCTATCACCTCGCTTGTCATGAACGCGCAGGGTTGCCTATTAAGGTAAATTATAAATAAATAATAATAATAAATTATAATTATTATTGTATGTATTGTATGGGTACTTTCATAGCCCTTTTGGAGCGCTTTATACCATTTTTCCTAATATCTTATTCCTATTATTATTAATTACGAATCATATTTTGTGTTTAAATAAACTTCTTAACGGATATAAAAGCAAATTTATTACAAAATGTAAATAATGCGACGTTTCTTTTTAGATATTAATATGAAACTCTAATTAAGAGTTATACATCAAAATCGACACCAATATTTTTCAAATAGTTTTTTTGCTGCAGGCGTTGGTGTAGTCTGTAGTGTATAAAAAGGCAAGAACAATCCACGAAGCTAAATCGATACTGACAATAATTAAAGCATTACTTATACATAATATGTAGGTACTTTAAATTTATCAAAATAAGTCCATAGTTTACCTTCGCTGGCATACTAAAATTGATTAAAGGATAACAGCCTATGGACCGAGATTTAAGTCTGAAATTAATGCTTATCAATTCATGTCGAAGATTTTTTTTTTGTAGAAATACTTACTTCAAATGTGCAGACTGCGACGTGTGATTGGGTCTCGCGGCTCGCTCAAACCGACCTTGCTCCATACAATCAGTCACGTTACGACACCCCACACATTTGCACATCGCTGTGCAAGCTATGCGCGCCTGTTACAAGGAAAACAAATATATTAATAAATATATCCCAAATTTAAGTATGATATATGTACGATACAAATTATATAAGAATTGACTTTGATTAATAATGTAAAATGTAAAATTTCTTAAGACAAATTTGCGCACCATTGTGTGTGGCAGAATATTCGACCTTACGATTGTTCCACCAATACACATTTTTGTACCATAATATTCTTGCAATAAATAAATTATTATAATTATTATTATAAAGGAAATACTCTGGGGGTATGGAAAGCACAATTATACATTTTATTGTGATTTTTTTCATTTAAAAATTAACACAAAAAAGATTTAGTAATAACCAAATAAAATCACACGGCATAAGCATACCTTCACACCATACATAGATATGTATTATTAACAAAACTAGATTTTATCAACCGTTTTCAAGGAATTAAGTTATTCTTAATGTATATATGTATTTACCTCGTAACATTCACAATAGTTCTTGAGACAACCGCTTCTCTTACAATTACATCCCTTGGTATGCCGTCTCACGATCTCTGGTCCACCAACTTTTGATTTTCCTATTTTTGGTCTGAAAAATTCAAATATTTTAGAAATGTAATGTAATACGAGGAAATTAATTGAATATAAATTGTTCTGTCCTTTTAAGGGCAAGGTGGGTAGATACAAATTTCTCTACAAGTCTACCCTCACTCTCTCGCCTATATTTTTACATACAAAGCCATTGTATGGCTACGGTACTTCAATATACGTCTTCTCTTATTTCTTTAGGCAGAAACTTTTCATAGACATTCGCGCTTCATACCCTTTTTCCTATTTGTTATTCCTTTAGTAATTATTTATTCCTTTAGTCCGTGGCGATTTAGTACAAGTCAACCCGTCCTACAAAAAACTGACTTACCCCTTTATATATAAAAAATAAAACATGTCTATTAGACCGTTTTAACCACTAAGTGCAATAAGTTAGACTGATTTAGCTTTAGTTTACCTTTAAATATTATTTAGTCATATTTAATTACAATATTTGATTGTGTTTTTCTTCTAATGGCTCCTCTCTCTTGGCGAGCAAGAAAGCATCTGGAGCGGACTATCTGTTTCTACCGGTTTCTGTTCAGCACCTCTCTTAAGACAGAGTACAGTTTTGAGGACGACGGGTCTTTCACTTGATCGGTCCATCTGGTTGGTGAACGGCCACCTGATCTTTAGCTTTCTGTGTTACCAACGACAATCAGTTCCCCCAAGTTCTCATCACCTTTGCGCATCCTAATGGCTTATGTCACAAATAAAAATATATACTCACTTGAATGCATGTGGATTTCTATCGAGGCAACCCCGGATAGCCTTTTGTCGTAATTCTTCATTTTCCAAATTATTGTAGCAGTTATTACAATTGCATTGGTTACAAAATTCCCCATTTGCGAAGCAGTCACAATACAATTTTAAACATTGCGATTTAGTACAGTTACACGCCTTGCGCGGTCGCAGCCCTAGATCCGTTGTTTCTATTGCTGCAAAAATTAAACAAAATCGAGGTCCATTCTTATTACTATATTTATAAGTTTAAGGCCAAAAATGTAATGTTCAATAATATAGTAATTAATTCATATGAATACCAGCGCCTGTACTCTACAACTTCATATAACGATAGCGAATCTATTTTATGAATTCAATCATATGAATGCGATCCTTGTATGCGACCACAGCGCTCCGGACATTCACAGAACTACAAGCAATCGGATATTTGTATTCAAACTCAACTTTTAAGTATCTCTATTGGAAGTTACAGAGTGACGATGCAATTTTAGTAAAAAAAAGGGTGCGTGTACTTATGTACGCGCGTAAGAAGTTATACTTCTTTGGCATTATTAAAAATAGTTTTTGATTGCATGCAAATAATTAATTACAATTAAATAATCAAAGACTGGAAAAGGAGTCATTATAGTCAATAAAGTTCAGTTTATATTTGAAAAATTAATTAAATAAATATTTATTATTATTCTCTTACATTAAACAAATAAAACACTATTTATCTTTAAAACATTTTTATTTCATTATACTATTTATTTTTAAGTGACTCTAATGTCTTCATCAGAATTTCGGTTTGTAATTTTAAATTAATCATTACTTGGTTGTGCATCTACGAGGCTTCTCCAAAACTACTTGCTTTCTGCAACAAATAAGAGAATATTAATTTAAGCTCTGTCCATGCAAAACTTAAATTTTTTTATAATTCATATTATAAATTTTTTAACACATTTATATTAATATAATAATATAAATGTGTTAATAATATAATTTGTAGCACATGCTACAGACCTGGATAGCAACTTTCTTTTATTCTATTTAGAGATAGAGATAATTTAAATATAATACCGGTGTCTTCCTTGTAGGTTTCTTTGGAGTTGTTTGGGGATTCTTGTTGTTCAGTTCGACATGATTTTCTTTAACCTTTCTTTAATCCTACAAAATAATGAAATTGTTAAGTTATGTTGTCACTGTTGTGCACACCTTTGTTTGGCTTTTTTAGTATTCAAGTTATGTCAAAACTGATTTATTACCTTGTCATTGTTGGCTTTATTTGCTTTTGGGATATCAATTGTTTCCAAAATGATTTTATTTGTAATATCCTGAAATATATAAATAACATCTATTAATTTAAGTATCATGGTGAGTGGTTCGCACTCAGGTATTAAGGTGTATTATACCCACTGTCCATTATAAGTGGGAATGGGCTCACTTCTGGCAGGACAGAGTTTCGGTACTACAAGTGCAACATGGTTGTTTTGAGGTATTACAATATCTCTAACTACCCTGTAGGGGAATAAAGTAATGTTGTAAGCATATGCCTATGCTTGAAAGGTTGAACCTTGAACATCACCATACATCATATTTATAATTAACATTCCTACCTCGACACCATCACAATCAAATTCATTGAAATCTACTTCAAACCATTGTGTCTCGAGAAGGTGATGGTGGCTTTGTTCCACCTCCAGTTTTTGATGTTTCACGGCGATAAGATGACAACTCTTTTTTTGTATTCAATTTAGTGCACTTCCACTGATTCATCAATTGTTTTTTGTCTCTTGTCCTTATATTTGCTAGATTAAATCTGATGTTTAGATTAAATAATGTGGTAATTTTTTTGAGATGCAGGTACTTATTAAAATGTTTACTTCTCTGTTATATCGCTCCAAGCCTTCATTTTCTCCTTATTAGTATTCGTGCTTAAATCTTTGTTCTCAATTATTGATATATAGGGTCGTAGAATATTTCTAAAAAGTTGCTGTAACAAACGCAATAAACAAAAGCAATGAATAATGGTTCATGTTTCAGTTTTAATCAACAATAATACTCGATAATACATACGGATAGTTAACCTCAATTGTATTGAAGCACTCAGGAAGGTTAGCACAGTTTTTTCACAAATATTTTATATTATTTCACAAATATTTTGTATAATGAAAATAACTAGGTATATTAATAATTATTAATTTTAAACAATAATTAAAACTCCTATATTTGTTTAAAAGGTAAATGTCATTGTCAGATGTCAATTGTCATGGTCATTCAAAATTCTTGTTAAGCTGCTAAGCTAGAATATGCGTGAAGTTAGCTTCACGCATATTCTATTTCTTTTACTTGTAGTTTGTCTTATTCCCATCTCGCTCGCGCACGCTATATCACACTGCCAATTTTGTGTCATAGGTGCGCGCGCAATCGTATAATTTCACTCTCATCAATTTTTCATAACGCGCCTAAAGAAGTACAACTTCAAAAAACAAACAATGAAACTTATTTTTAAGTTAGGTATAACGCTTGTATAATCATTTTATACAAGTAAATGACCGTTGAATTATTTACTACAACTAGTAATAAATAATTGGACGGTTTCTGTGATGCTCAAGCGTAAGCAGTTTGGCCTAGATGGCTTCAGCGTGCGACTCTCATCCCCGAGGTCATAGGTTCGATCCTCGGCTCTGTGCGCAATTAACATTCGCTCGAACGGTGAAGGAAAACATCTTGAGAAATCCGGCACAAACAATAAACAAATGATCATGAAATAGATAGAGAAATCTGAGGCCCAGACCTAAAAAGGTTGTAGCGTCACTGATTTATTTTATTAATTTTTATTTATGATGTTTGATCATGATACTGGCTCATAGTACGCGGAAATATTCACCTTGTTCATTGAAAGAAAAGTTGGCATCTTCATAGGTGCTCGCTGAATCATTCTCCTCTTTAAGAGCAGCTGTTATATTTTCCGAGTCAATCTGTAAAAATAAGACGGGTCAACACAAAATTTCACTTTGACTTTAAAGCTTAAAATTTTGATATTTTAAGTAATTAAACGAACACGAAAAAATAATATATGACATGAAATGCATGAAAACGTACGGATTTTTCAAAATCGCTTTTCACCTCTACATTATGGTCAAAACTTGATGGTATCACTATTAAGGGGTGTTCCTGAGATTCCTGTTCCATTCGTGAACTGTCTCTGCTATTTTCCTCTTCTATTTTCTGAAAATTAAAAAACAATCAAAACTGGTAATAAAATACCAGAAAATTATCGTTCCTGTATTTTTATTCAAACGTTTTAGTTTTTAAAATTACTTATCGCGAAGTTAAAGATATGTAATAATATCGAAAAAGGATGGATGAAGAACCTTCTAAAGGTAGTTGTTTACCTTGCTTTAGCTAAAATGAGTAACTCTCTATCTACCAAATTGCATTTACGCTTTCAGTTTTATCAATACATACGTTATTTAACACATTCATCGGTAACGAAAGCTATCGTTCGGTATTAAATACAAAAATGTAATATCTAAAATTATAATTATACGAAAAAATATGAAATAATTGATGGATCATGGATATTAAACATTATTATTTTCAAATTCTCAAACACTTACCGAATATTTAAAATCCACACTAACTTCATCAGTCATGGTTTGTTCTATTAGAGTTTCTATTTCTTCCTTCGACTCGGTTTTAATAAATGATTCCATTAGATTGTCATCCAATTGCACCTTCTCTGGTTCAGTTAAGGGTGCCAATAAACTCTGAGATGAACGTACCTGGATATTTTTTATATATTTAGATTATTTGTTTTCGTTAAAGACGTATTCGAAGTTTCATTGACGAAAAAAAAACTTTTAGTAATAAAATTTGCTTTTAAATTGTGTTGCGTCAAATAAAAAGTCAGACCGTGTCGTGTGCTAAACTTAAACACGCCACCGATTTACTTTTTTCACAAATTTAGCACGAAACTTTTTCTTAACCGTAAAACCGTATAAGATCGACGGGGTGGCTGTATTCTAGATCATTACGGTAGCATTTTTAATTATTCTACGAGCTTGAGGAATTTGTGAAAAAGAATTTACAAGGCGGTATAGTCGTGACAAGTTAGGCGAAAGAAACTATTGATAATCTTGAATGTAGCTTTATTATCTTTGGTCAGAAGTCCAAATCTAAAAGGTTCTAGCGCCACTTCGTTTTTTAGTCTCGTCTTAGCAAAAACTTAACAGCAACTTTAAGCATCTAATAATATCCTAACGCGCGTTTCTTACTAATATAAAACTTGCTCTTGTGAAAAAAAAACTAAACGTTAAACAATAACAGAAAACCTCAAAAATAATATTTATAAATAATAAAAGCTAGCAGGGTATTTCCTCTGAATTGAAGAAAAAGATTTATTACTTTGAGAACATGTTGCACATGTAAAATAACCGACACGAAATACATTTGACAATAATTTTAGTTAAATATAAAAATTGTATTAAAAACTCTAAATATGCTTACGTGTTTTAATGGCGCAATCTTCACTAGTTTTGGCGGTTTCAGTTCTGCGGCTAAAAAAGTTTATACTATAACCAACAAGTTTAATAAATAACTTAAATCTAAGAGTTATTCGATGTATATGCAAACGCAATATTCTTGAATATTTTAATGACAACTATAAATTCGATATTTGTCATTAATTATTTGAATACAGAAATAAATTTTCAAACACAATTACGTAAAATTTAAATATCTTCCATTTTTAATGATTTATTTTCTTTTAAGGCCAGATATATGCTATGAGTTTTGTATATTTTAAACAGTTAAGAACAATATATGTGACGATATAGACATTTTTATTTATTATGAAACTATCAATGATAAACTCTTTTAATTAATCAGAATTTTTCCACTTTAGAGACAGTTTTTTTTAATTAACCACTATTTAAAAGTTAAATAATTCCGATAATGTATAACAATTTAATAATTTTTTTTTATGTGGATGATTCGTATATACAATTACACTATTTTTTTAAAATAATTAACTTTAAATTTTGAAATTATTTTTATATTCATATGGCATATCTACAAGCGACTGCCAGAGAAATTGACAACTGACATGTCATGAGAAATCAAGTTCTATGTGTTCTGTGCATTATAGTAGTCGTAGTCTCTCGCGTCGAGAGACTACGACTCGAGCGTCGTAGAGACCTATTGGGATGCAAAGCTTAGATGATAAGATTTTTTTTTATATGATATATAGACCTTTACATCGGTGGGGAAAGCGGCTATAGATTTTTAAATATGTAAAAAAAAACTGTTGCATGGACATCCTCGAGCGCGTCAGATATTGATAGCATCAATGCCCAACGTATTTTTAATAATGTACGTATGCTAATCTGATCGTTTGCATGATGCGGGTGGTTGTATTTAAGGGTTGAAAATGAAAAAAAAAAGTTAATCGAGCGCGTCAGATTTTCTAAGGGAGTGTTAGGTGCACCAAAAAAAAGCTCTCATTCACTAATCTGACGATTTCGATGGGACGCAAACCCGCGGCCATTTTCATAATGAGCAAAAAAAATTCGCCATTTTGAAATACTCAAGTGCGTCAGATTAAGATATACAGTCAAAACCGGTTATAACGACATTGAAGGGACCGTATAGTTGCCGACGTTATATCCGATAGTCGTTATAAGCAATGTCATATACACAAGTACAGTACATATGTATGTACATAGTTATCGATCTAGAATAGGTAGGTATGGGTTATAATATGGTATGTTAATATTATAATATGTAAACGAGTCAAAAAAGAAACAAAAATATTTATTACGAAATAATTAGGTACAAAAGTAATCAGTCAGTCTGTTTTTTTTAGCCCAGTCTCAAATATTTTTTGCATTTTACGTTTCATACTCCTCAAGGTATGAGTATCACCAGTATCAAACTGTTCGTTAAAGGCAACAAATTTTTGCAAAATCGTTACAGCGTTAAGAGCCTCGGAAATCGTTGTTGGCTGAAACTGTTCGTTGGGAGAAAGTGCGTAGGTAATAATATGCCTAAATATTCATTCAATGCTTATAAATAAAATTTAAAATCATTTGTATTGTTTTGTTTTACTGAGACAAGAAGCGGTTGGTCGTTATATCCGATGAATATCGATAAACTTTCGTCGTTGTAAGCGGTATGTCGCTGTATCCGATGTTGTTATAAGCGGTTTCTTTACTGAATAGTTTACTAGGGATTCGGACGGGACCATACAATCTGGTTGTAATAACCGATAGGTCGTTGTAAACGATGTCGTTATAAACGGTTTTGACTGTATATGGTTCATCTTTATGTTCTAAACGTACTGTCTCATAATCTGACGATTATCTAGAGGGATTCGCCTGATCTGACAAAAAAAAATTAGAAAAACGGTTCACCTTAAAGTCCATCCCTGCAACTTCCCGCTAATTCCATTCCTGGGCGCTTAAAATTGATATTTTGAGCTCGCTGAGTTCAAAGAAATAATATTTCTATGCATTTGAGCTCTCCCAGCTCGAAAGTCTGATAGAAGTTTGATAGAACACTATTTTTGGAATTTTCAAACCGCAATAACTTTTGAATGGATCAAGCAATTTTCACGCGGTTGGCGGCATTCGACGCAGTTTTATCATCCTCATAAGTAATTTTTAATTGATCGAACCACAAATTTCGGAGTAATCCCGAAAAAACACTTTTTCGGGTTTCTTTCGTTCACGATATCTCTCGAACGAATCAGGCTCTTTTGACCAGCTTGGTGGCGATCGACGTGGTTTTTCAAGCTCAAAGGCGGATTAGTTTCTGAAGTTGATCGATAAAGAAACCACTTTAAAAAAAAACTAATTTTTTTTGAGATTTTTCAAAATTTCTCAAAATCTATCGGTCCCAATCGGTTCAAATTCACAGGAAATGTAATTTTGAGGAAAATATTTAGAACGCCGTTTAGTAGATTCCGATCGGTTTAAGGAAATGTAGGCATCACGCAGCTGCACGCATTTAACTTTATCGACGAATTTTTGTGATTTCGGCTTGCGGAAATCGTCAGATTATATATTTTTCATTATTCTTGAATTATTTCATTCAAAATAAAAAAAAATTTTGCTACGCTCGAGAATATCGAGATGACGTTTTTTTTTACAAATTTGTTGCCCTCCCCTTTTTTTACGTCACTCTCAAATTGTCAGATTAGTGGAATATACACTTTTTAGGATGTAATTAACTCACCCTACCTTAATCTGACGCGCTCGAGAATTTCTGATGGTCAATTTTTTTTTACTAATCTGATCCTGTATCCTTCACGGGCGGCCTTATATATGGGCCTCATGTTTTGTGGAGGTACTTAACCGGGTACAAGGTATCCCCCTGTATATTAATCTGCCACGCTTTAGTAAATCCCGTAATCCCCGCTTGGGCTCCCCTACTATTATGAATGTTGTATCCTGTGGATTCTAGTAATCAACACCAAAATTTTTGTTAACTCTTTTGGAAAAAAATAATAAATTCATAAAATTTGTTTGCAAATTAAAAAAAACAAATTGGCACATGTTTTATGGTACAATTTGTATGGAGGTTCTTGTTAATACATATTAAACGAATTGTTAGTATATGAAAAACACTGCCAACAAGATATATCGGTAAATGCGCGATTTTTGAAGTGAAACTTCTAATGTGCGTGAAATTTTTTTGCTTTATGATTAATATAATCAAGATTATCATATAAACATGGAATTTATGAGAGTTTTAGAGCGAGAAATCAATCAATATTTAATTATTATACAAAACTTGCCTATGATTCAATCACACGCGTATTAAAATTTTATGGTTGGTCGAGTTTATGCCTGCCACATTAACAAAGGTCGCATATTTTCATCTTAACTGGCAAATTAATTTGAGACGAAGCAATGCCAAGAAATGAAATGAAATCGTATCTCAAAGACTACTGAATCGACTTTGATGAAACTTTTTTAAGCTTTTTATCTTGATGAAGCTTAAAATCGTAGTTTTTGAGAATTTCGAAAACATACTATATTTAAGGCACGTGCTTGGAAGGAAGCCTACTACATCATACACAAATATTATCTAATTCCAATAATATATTTATACACCACATAGAAGTCCGTTATAAATAACATATTGTCATTCACTAACCTCTACTACTATTATCCGTGACTACACTTGACTTTGGTATTGTTATTATCTTTTGCGGCTGTTTCACGACTGACTTAGTTGCCCCAGAATTTGTGACAAGTCGAATAAATTGAATCTGAAAAAATCATGGTTAATTTCTTTAAGATAAAAAAACCTGACGTAGACTTTTTCGTCTAGATTATTTAATAACTGATTTTTTTTAAACCCTGTGTACCTAAAATATTTCTTTACTATCCACTATCACAAATTAAAGAATACATATATTCATTCAATTTAATTAATTCTAATGAAAATTCTAGCAATGTGAGTATGCATGCCTCCTGTTAAATAAAAATAAAACGCGAAAAGTCGTAAAAGATATGAATTTAAATAAATTTTAAAATACATACCCCTTTTCCCGGAACATTTATTTGATGAATTTGTGTCCTTGACGAATCAGCTGTCGTGCTAACCTAGAAATTAATATTTTTAAAATCACTGATTTATAATACAAGTGATATGAATATTTATTTATGCGATGAAAAATTATTGTCTCGTGACCTTATGATAATTATAGATAAACCTTGTATTGAACAGATTTTATTTTCAGTAACACAAAATATTTAAATACCTGCGCAGGCGGCGCTGTAGACTTCAAAATCATATTCTGTGAAGACGACAATGCGCTGGTCGGCACTTTGCTGTCCGCTGATGTTACTATTAGAATAATATTTTAAAAATTATGCTCTAGCACCTATCATTAAATTTATTTTCATATAACGCATAAAGTAATATAAATATATATAAAACGCGTAAGCTACTTTCAAGACAAGAACATAGTTGATTTTATGTCAAGAAAGCAGGTCACAATTTTTAAGACCGTAATATATATATTTTTTTAATTTAGACTAGGGACTAGTTTATTTTTATTTTACCTTTTGGAAGCAGTTTGGCCATCGGTTGAAGCGATATTATTTCTTGCTTCTTTTTTAATTTAACACTTTGTTCGTTAGGTGATACTAATATTACCTGTTAACAAAAATAAAATTCTGAGTGCTTTTACTTTTCCTTTAATGTATTTTTAGATCGACGAATTTGTAATATATGTAGAGATACATAGATAAAAAAAACGGCCAAATAAAATGTAGTTAAAGAAAAAAATTTGATTTGAAAGTGTTGACAAATTATTTTGTTTACAAACAAACTCATATTGTAATAAATGCTAAGTACCTTATTCCTGACAGAGGCGGGTACACTACTGTTGGGTTTGATGGTAACATAACGTGTTTGCGGTTGAAAATTTGCATTAGGCAATACCTTTGTTATTACCGTCTGCTTAGAGTCCATTTTTGCTTGACTAGCTGAAAAAAAAAATGTTTTTTAAAGACTTTTAACTGTTAAAACAATATTTAATTTATATATAATAATACTAACCTGGTAGTGTAATAATTTTCATAGGCTTGCCGTGGGAAGAGACAGTTTTTGGAAGAAATTGAACCTGTAATCGTATATAAATGAAGTAATTTTTAATACACTCAAAACTTTAAATCTGTCTTACTATTTTACTAAACTAAGGCCTGTATTCCAGAATCTCAAACTTAAATCTAGTTTCAACTTACAACTCATTTTTTTTTGTGTGAAGTTTAGCATATTTGACAGCACTCAAAACAAGATTGCATGTAATACGAATTAGTATATGGACCTTAGTTTTAAGCTCTTATGATAAGAATTAAGCAAATTTTGTAATCATATAATGGGTAGACGCATCACTTTCCAACAATGCAATGTTTGTCGAACAGTAAAGCCTTGTATTAGGATTCATTATTTCGTCAGACCATTCAGGCGGCTAATCTCTATTGAGACTGCAAATTTTTTCTATGTGTGTCACAAGTGTCAGGCACAGATCATCTACTTGCCTATTCAGAACTAAAACGACACAGAAACAACAACAACAGGTATAGATATCTGAGGCCAAACCTAGAGATTTTAATGCTACGGTTTTTTAAATCACAGTAAAGTAATATGCCCCTAAAGACCTGTCAAACAAAAACTACTAGACACATTCTTTGACTGATTTTGAAATGCTTATGACTATAATGATTAGAATAAAAATCCCTCAAAATTATGTCTTATTATACATAATTTAGAAAATAAATTTTACATTTAAATTAACTCAAAATAGCAGAGTTAAAATTAAATTGTTGCTATTATCTTCGTTCAAAGTACTAAACTATCTTTAGAGAAGATTTAAATAAATTAAGTATAGATCATTTACCTGACTGGAATTTGCTTGACTTCCGCTGATTAGTTTAACCTTTTGAGTATTTGATGGCATCATTAGAATCTGCTTGCCAATTTGAGCTGTAAATAACAAATAATAATATTAAAATATATGATTTATTTCACAAATCTATTGACATATTAATTATTTGTGTCTTGATTAAAGTAAATAGGCAAGTAACAAGTCATGGCTGTTAATGGCTAGAGATACACCTAAAAATGGATTTCAAATACACTATCACTTATAATTTTATATGAAACTCATGCATATAATATTAAGTATTTGTTATTACATTATTTACATCAAATCATGAAAAACAAACCTGTGTATGATGATTTATGCTGAATAAGGTTTAGAATATTTTGTTTATTAAATTATTTTTTTGCATTATAACTAATTTTATGACCATTTCCCAGATGTAAATAAAGTTTCACTCACCTAAAAAAGTTCCTTTAGTAGAACCTGGAAGAGATCCTATTGTTTGAGTTTTATTGATATTCTTGTTCGAGACTAATGTCATGGGCTTTGGTACTATATTAACAAGTTTGGCCATTGAAGGTTTGGGCGCAATTGCAACTGGCTTTGGTAGAGATTCAGCTTTCTTGCGTGGTGATGACTGTAAATTATAAATCAATAATTTTAAGTAGATATTATATATAATATATACATTTTGTTTCTTGGAAAAACAAACTCAGGATGCTTTGTTGCCTACAATCAGTTTTTTATAGTTTAAAATTACTTAAGTTGTGATGTTATGATTATTTAAAAGCAGCTCAGAAGTTTTATTTTTATAGTATAGTATATGTTGTATCATATAATTAAATATGTTGAACATTACATTTTATAGCTGTTGAGTTTAAGTACTACATGTTTTCCATATAAAGCTATTACTTTTATATTATTAACTATTTTATTTAATGTATTATTCGTGCTTATTAAGATAAGATAAAGAAATAAACTGGTGCAGCTAGTGTCAGGTCATTTTTACAAGAATCTAAAATAGTGAAATTTATTAATAAATTAATATTCTGTACCTGCACAGTTGTTATAACAATATTCTTCTGTAGTTGTTCTGGCAGTGTGGTAATAATTGGTTGATTCAATTGCAAATCCAACATAGTATCCGACTGTGTTGTTAAATTATAATTGTCCTGAAAGTAAAACAATATGCTTGAGTTAGAATTACTGTAAAAACTATTATAAAAGTAGCATTTCAGTTCTAATAAATTTAATCTACACAAATACCCCAGGATATTGTGAAAAGGGCATAGAGAAAATACATTTTAGTGTATTTTTTTTAAATATAGATTAATTTCTAAACTATGGTCATAATTATTTTGCTTGGAGCCAAACACAAGATCTACTTAAACTCTTAAATTGTTAATATACTTAGCACTTGAAATATATATATATACATATTTACTGTGAACAGTCTCGACAAATTTACCTGAACTTGATTTAAAGTAGTTAATTCACTTTGATGATTCTGTAAGTCTTGTAAATTAAATTGGCCTCCTATGAAGTCAGAAACTGTAAAAAATATATGTACATGTATAGTAATTAAAAAACAATTCATCTGATATCTGATACAACATTTGAATGAATGAAGATTATTCAATTCAGATCAATTTAATATTGTATTATTTATTATATCTTACTTATAATTTCTTCTCCAGTTGTATCCATAAGCATTTGCTTCTCTTCATACACAAACTCCATGGGAATATCCTCTTGATCAAGGATAATATCATCTTGGTGGCATACTGTCTCCTCAGGTTGTTCAAAATCCACCTATGTTTATAAAAGTAACCAGGAATCAATACAATATGTTAATCACGACTTTAAATAAATAAATAATGATCAAGTTTTTTACTTTGAAAATTAATTTTCTGTATATCATATAAAAAAAATAATTAAAGCAATAAAATCTTGGTGTTGGACCTGCATTTTATCCAAAAATACTCACTTGCATTGTGCTGTCTAAATTCAGAGAATCATCTAAATTGGTATCCATAGCTGTTTACTGATTCTACTATTAAATCCTCAACGTCAGCTTAATCTAACAGTAATAAGAAGTTCTTTAAATAAAGAAATAAATAAATATCAAAGGAGTTCAAATGAGGCCGCCATCTTACGTTGTCAAATACTTTAAAGTGGCTCCCTTAATAAACATCCACGGTTAAAATCAAACTCTTAGACTTTCAAATATACTTTTAACATCGTAAAACTTTTTAACAAAAGGTTAATAAATAGATGTACATAAAATTAAGAATCAGCAACGTTTTAATGTAGGTTTCACGTGCGAAACACGAATATAAATATGAATATTTTTCAAAAAAAGCGCAAATATAATTTAATGGCGCCTCTTTGAAATTTTGTATTAGTGTCAAAAAGAAGAGACAAGTATGAGTACAACCAACATAATATAGAAAATTGTAAGCAACAGGTTATCACAAGATTATATAGATAATAAATTAACTCTTAAACACCAATAAAGTATAATATAAATTTATACGTCGGAAACATACAAATTAGTAAGCTTAGAAAACGTGTAAAAGCAAAAGTTAACATCTAGGTGCTAAATTTCAATTGTCAAATGGCATAGTAGACTAGTGTCTAGTAGTACAACAGCTATTAAAGTAAGTTCTGTGTTGCCAACTTCCAATTTCGAAAATGTGCTAGAAAACTATATATTATAGACTCGAAAATGAGCAAAATCTGACAGTTTTACCACAAAGAAGCGTCTCTCTAAGGGTCTGTTTCACAATGTAAGGATAAGTTCTACATAAGTTCCAAATTAGCTATTTATTACTTATTGGTAGCATAAACACTATTGTTGCGTTCCACGACTGTCAAGATAGCGCTATTCGTCACATAGTCCATCATAAGTTATGAGTCCGATGAATGTTAAATAGCACAATTTATCTAACAAATAATTTATGTGTTGCATAGCTATTTGTTACTTTATCCATACATTGTGAAACAGACCCTTATTCTTATTAAGGTACTCCATACTACTTCTACGTTTTTAGGTCAATTATATGATAATCTAGATTACTGTCACGTAACTGAATAATTTAAAATTTCTAAAGAGGTTATGATTTTGTTGCAGTGACGTGGTTTTCATCGACAAATTCGAATGTAAGAACTGAGAGAAACTAAAATCGTATTGCTAAGCTTGGTATAACTAACCCCTTAGGGCCGGTTTTTTGATCCGTAGTTAACTCAACTATTGGTAAAAAATCGTTACTATTAGTTAAATATCAGCAAAATGCGTTTTTTGATCCGTGGTAAGAGCATCCAATGGTAAAATATCTAACCATTAGTCAAAAAAGTTAACTACTCAGTATCGGAGGGTTAAAAAGATGGCCGCTGGTAATTTATATACTAACAGCTGTTTGTCACAGAAATCAAACTATGATAAATACGTTTATTACTATCTAATGATGAATTTAAACATATTGAGATACTTTAATTAATGAGACGATGAAGAAGACGATAATATTATATGAGAATGTGTTAATGAGTGACCAAAAATATTTAGGCAATGTCATCCGCCATTAGAAACCTGGGATGATGTAGATTTTTGTCACTGTTACCCCCTATCGAAGGGAACAGTGCTCTGGATTGTTACTGAAATTGGGAATGATCTTAAACTGCCAATGAACAAGAGTATATATAGACAGCAGCTCATACCAACCTATTTTGCTTCATTACTAACTACAGAACCGCAGCAGTATATAATTAAGTATATTACTAATTCATTATGTGTTTTATTGCCTATAATATTAACTTATAATTATTATAATTAAATAAAATACAAGAACAAGAGTATATATAGACAGCAGCTCATACAAACCTATTTTGCTTCATTACTAGCTACAGAACCGCAGCAGTATATAATTAAGTATATTACTAATTCATTATGTGTTTTATTGCCTATAATATTAACTTATAATTATTATAAGTTAATATTATAGGCAATAGAATACATAATGAATTAGAGTTAATATTATTTATATATTACTAATAATATTAACTTATAATTATTATAAGTACATACAAGTATGTACTTATACTAAAAACTACAGCTACACATTAGTTAGGGACCTATGATATTCTTTAGGGCTTTTATTACATTTGTGAGTTAGCATCTATCTACTTTATTACAAGAATTTATAAATAAAACATTTGACTTGATTAATAAACTGTTTAATTATAACTTAAATACAAACCATTTTTATTAAAAAAACATAACAAAATTTACATGAAACCCTAAAGTAGCAATTAAATATTTTCTAATTGTTTCTTCTTGCATTTCACCTCAATTTGATGCAACTCTTTTTGCTGCTACATATATTTATTGTGCTTTTCTTCCATCTGCTGCATCACTTTTTGGTGCACCTCCTCTTTATGCAGTATGAATTTTTGGTGGGCCTCTCATTGGTGCAGCAAATGTTTTTGATGCTCTTCTTAAGCATAATTGAACAAATCATCCTCTCTTATTTGTCTTTGTTTCTAAACTCAATTTTTTTTTATCCGTGTGGATCATAATCCGCTTCCTTGTTTCCAAAGGGTTAAAAGATTTTTTCCTTTTGTTGTAGGACACAGCTATACAAGAATAAATATAAAAATGTGCCTACACCTTCATTAAATGTATATTAAATTTAACACTTCGGTGTCTAGACCCATCTGAGTTGAAAACGTCACAGAGATTTCCAAGCTGCATTTTTTTGTAGATTGCTGCAGTGATCAGTTGTTTGCAGGTTACGACTGTGTAATCCTTGAGAAGCATCACCAGTTTGGCAGTTTCTTTTTTGGCGAAGTTAGCAGTATGGTCCCTTTAACAAAACATAAATGTATTACTTTCTATTACGAAACACAAGATAAACCGGAATAAATAACACGAAAATATGTTTGAACTTACTTATTTGACCGTTGGCTGTTTGCGGACATCGTTATTTATATATTTAAGTATCGTAAAAAGTGTAAACCGTATTAAATCACAGAAAAACAACTTTATTTATATCGTGTTATTTAGATTAATTTGACACTTCAAACTCTTCAAAGCGCAAATAACGAATGAAGATGGCAAAAATGGATTTCATTCACTCAATATGTCTAGTGTTGTCATACAAAATAAATGATCCCCACAAAAAGAACCACATTTTTTGGGATGTCATTGCTCATTGCACTGGCAACAAATTGACAAATTGTTAACTTTAACTATAGTTAAAAAGGCATTGAAAAACGCATTTACGATTTTACCAATGGTTATTCATTTAACTATAGTTAATGTAACAAATGGTAAAACCATTTTTTACTACGGATCAAAAAACTGGCCCTTAGTCATAAGAGGTTAGAGGAACCTATAAATTTAAACACTACGTATACTGTATACTTAGGTAATACTATTGTATCTCGCAAAGAATCCATTAGACACTTAGGGATAATATTTTTTATTAGATGTTATATATCGAGCACGTTGAAACCCGATAGGAAAGCTAACCAAATTCTAGGTTTCATATTAAGTACATATTTCAAAGCCATTTAAATATCCAAAAATTTCAATAACCATATAAGGAACATTTTGGAATATGGGAGTCTTTAATAGAACTCTTCAACTTTAACTTCAAATATATTTTTTATCAACCATGCCCCGTGCCTAGGGAATGCAATCCCGACTCGAGATCATAAATTCGAGATCCCGCGGGATTAGAAATATCAATCCAGCGGGATCCCGAGATTTTCGAGATCTCGTCTAGTTAAAAAAAACACATGACTGAATACGATGAAAACTGCTTGTTTGTGATAGTGAAGTTAATTAAAACAATATTATTTGAAAGAAAACAAAAGCCTTTATCCTTTAATATTTCTAACTAAATAATTAACCCTTTTACTAACATGAACATTAATACACAAAAGTAGGCATAGCTCAAGGAGATTAAAAAGTAGTAAAGGGGGATTTTGAAAGTTACTTCTTAAAAAACAAAGTGTATTAAGAGCGCTATCTGCTAACTGGCATCTTATGTCCGTTGCAATATACCAGCTGCTGAGAATGTCCTCTCCGCAACACTGGTTGGCAACAGCGTGACTAAGCAATTATATGCAAATTGCAAAAATCTCCCCTTTGTTCCTTCCTCCACACTCAGATTAATCGGATTTTTCAAATATAACAGCGCTGCAGTTGCTTTTATGCGACGCTCGGAGATACGATTGTTCATCGAAGAGACCAACTTTTCTGAGTTTTTAGGTCTTCTAGCTTTTGAATCATGAAACGCAACGTATGTTTTGCACTAACTCAATGAGTCTCCTAATCCCGTCAATCTCGAACGGGATCTCGTCATATTATGCTTCGGGATCGATCCCGAAAAATTACACGGGATCTCGCCAGATCGGGATCCCGCGGGATCGGGATTGCATTCCCTACCCGTGCCCGAGCCAGTGCCCGTCTTTACTTAAAAGATTGGCATTAAACCTACGACTCTCACCTTAGAAGATTTGACCTCGATTCACTTCAATTGCGACATGACGTCAATGATGTATCTTTACAAAACAATACATGATAATCTACTATATAAAAATAAGTCGGGTTTTCCTTCCTGACGCTATAACTCCAGAACGCACGAACCGATTTCCACGGTTTTGCATTCGTTTAAAAGGTCTCGGGCTCCGTGAGGTTTATAGCAAAGAAAATTCAGGAAAAATTTCAACAGAAAAGCGGGATCACCAAACGTAATGTTACATAAAACGAAGCCATCTGGTGGCGAAACGGAGTTCGCCGAGTTTGCTAGTATTTATATGGAATTGCTTGCTTAAATCCCTATCTACTGAAGTACACAGATGACTTGAAACAAATATATATCTATTTTATTTTATTTATTAAAGTTGACCTCATCATACAACAACCTACGTTGTTACCTTTTTCGTATATAATATGACCTTTGTAACGGTTGTTATTTACTTTTTATGCTGTCACTCTTGCAAAAACTCTCGGAGAAATCTCTTGTACGAAATATTGTTTGATGGTTTTAATATATTTCTTTATTGGTTATCATCTCATTTTCCTCCTTAATTCCTCCAATATACAACTCACCCACTACATAGCAACAAAACATCCCATTTCAAGTATATCTATTTTACAGACCTGTCTTACGATTGTGCACGTCGTTTAATGGTCCTATTAGATAGTGTCGAGTCTACAATAAAACTATGATCTAGTTAGCGCTGCGCCTGATTCGTAGGTTCTCATGTCATATATATCTTAAACATACATCTTATTTATTACATTTTTCATAAGTGTTTGATTGTCTTTGTTATATATGTGATGTTCGAGAGCTTCAGTAAATAAGATATGTATAAATAATTATGCCCTTACAGGTTTTTTATCTGTGTTGTAAACGTTTTTGTCATTTAATAATTCACAGAACATTAAGTTTTGGTCTCATTAACAGGCCACTGGCCAATCAATCTTCAAAAAAAAAACCCTAAGCATCAATACGTGCTAAATTATACTTGAATTATTATTATTATTGAATTAAAAGAGGACCTGCTAGATATTTTATTTTTATCGTCAAAAAATATCGACATAGGAACGATCTAGTATCGTCTCGGAAGAAATCTCTTATCTCATTCCAACTGATCCAACAGTAAATTAAGACACGACAAACATTGTTTGTCTCATTTTTACGTATTAGGATAGTGTAATATATAAACATCTTACATATTTCGTCATTGCTTGATTCTATATTACTTCTTATTAGATCTTATGTTACAATAGTCTTGTGACTTGTCAAAAAGAAACATTACTTTGATTGGTCAATTTGTTGACAAAAATTACCACATTGGTCGATTCGCAATTTGGTATAGCCATTATAATTTCTTAAATAATACGAAAACTGGAAGACAAAAGTGGCACTGGCTGTTCAAACTTCAAATCACAGTTCAAATGCAGTGTTGATTTCTGTCATTAATTAGTTCTTTAGCTAAGTTAAACATATAACGCGAATAGAGCTGAAAACGATATACAAATTTAAAAACTAAGTTTTGCTAGAGAAGCCCAGGCCCCAGACGTTAACATGCCTCTCAATTTGCAAGGGGTACGACAATACTTAAGTGAATTAAGGAATTCTGGCGGCTTGCACAAAGATCAAGCCGAGAAGTGAGTTTTATAGTTATATTTGATAGTTTTATTTGATATTATTTTTATATTCTAAGTGCTTTTTTTATATTCTAATTTTATACTAGTTTCGGCTCTTTTATCATAAAGTTTTTCTATTTTTTTGTACATAACTATTATATACCTATTGTATGAATAGCTTGAGGAAGATAAATAAAATAATATTCCCGTGTGTCTAAAAAAACTTAAGACGTCATGGTGTTAAAGACTTATTAAAAATTGTTTTTGTCTTTGACTGACTACTTTCAACACACTTTAGCGCTGAGATTTTTTAAAAGTAGATTGTATCTTATTCATTTGTACACATTTGCAGATACCGGAATGTTTTATTAGAAATAATAAAAAATAATGATAATGAACTTGCGGAAAGCCTAAAAGCCTTTATAGAAGCAAGTAAGTACTTAATGTTATTTATCAATTATTAATTTATCTGGTATTATTTTTGATACTAATAACATAAGTGATAAACTCATATTACTTATGTTATTAGTATCACTTATTTTACACACTTATTTTCTTAGAGAAGTAATTCATCAGTCTTTTATTACAGTTGTAAATGAGAATGTAAGTCTGGTAATATCCCGGCAACTTCTCACAGATGTCAGCACTCATTTATCCTTACTACCTGATCCTATCTCGCAAGAAGTATCTCATTTCAGTTTAGATGTTATCCAGCCTAGAGTTATTTCTTTTGAAGAACAGGTATGTACGTTTTACCCATATGGAGTGAATTTCTAGAAAACTTAAAATATTTATGTTATAAATGTGCAAAAGGCTTATTATTATGGTGTTATATACCTATAAATATGCATTATTTTGCATTATTTCCTCCTGTAACTTAGCTAGTATTAATAGCAAGCTTTACAAAAAATCATAATTCCTGTAGTTAAACATTAAAAACCTTAGAAACAATTTAATTTTATGCTAATAATAATTATTATTATCTATTAATATTAATTATTATTATAAATATATATTTCAGGTTGCTAGTATTAGACAGCATTTGGCAGACATATATGAGCGTAATCAAAACTGGAAGGAAGCTGCAAATGTACTGGTTGGCATTCCTTTAGAGACTGGTCAAAAGTATGTTATTATGTCTTATTTTAAAAATAAAATATTGATTGATTACAAAAATTTTATTACATCAAGGGACATAGGATATACATATTATATCAAAAGGATGTTAAAAGAACTGGCAAAAACTTCTACTCAGGCAACATCACACTAATCTTTAATTTTTTTAAATTAATTTAAAGCTTAGTGATAGATACTTTATCTATTATTGTTGAGATTTTCTGAATTTAAACATATACAGAGATAAATACACTTCGTAAATTAATTTATCAAATAAATAAATTGTTTATTTGCAAAGAAAGTGGTACATTTAGATTTTAGATTATAAACATCTGCACAATCAGCCATAAATAAATGTCATAATAATTAACTAAATGTCATAATAATAAGTTAATTATAATTGTTGTCATACTTATTATGGTCTAAATACTTGTTTTGATATCTCAGTCAAGTTTGTGAAGTTTTTTTGAGCATAGAGCAAACAACATTCACAAGATTTTTTTAAATTAAGTAGATGAACTCCATTCACCTACAAATAAGAATGATTATTTCGCCGCGATCCAAACCAAGGTTTTGTGTTTATCACTGGTTAATTGGTGGATTATACTACCTTTAAATTAATTTAAGTTAATTATATTTCAGACAGTACTCTGTTGACTACAAACTAGAGACATACTTGAAAATTGCCCGACTTTACTTAGAAGTTGATGACCCCATGCAGGCTGAGGCATATGTTAACCGAGCATCGTTACTACAGGCTGAAACCACTAATGAACAATTGCAGATTTATTATAAAGTATGTTATGCTCGGGTACTGGATTATAGACGGTAAGCTTAATTTAAACTATACAGTATATATAAACTATAAAGGTTTTTGTCTGTTTAAGGACTAAACTCAAAACTTGGCCCTGGGTAACAGGTTTTATTTCCAAACTTTTAGAAAAAACGTGACAGATATTCTTGCATATAATTTGGGTATACCTGAAGCTGCTATTTAATGATGCTACTCTCTCGACCATCATTACTGCAGTATAATGTCTATAACATAGACTTTATGATTAAATAAATTTATGATCATATAGCTAGAAGATGTATGAATGTGTCAATGGATTATAATGAAACTATTTATAACTTTAACCTTAGCTGTTCACAAAAATAATATAAATAAAAAGTTTGGTCCCTATAGCAGAGTAGATAGTATGTTGAGCGAGGAGTGCACCAGTACAATTAGTAAAACTTTCATTAAATGATGATATTATTTTCTTTATATGCAAATGACTGGTGAGACGGGTTTTTATTAAAATAGATTTTCCATTATTTTAGAAAATTTATAGAAGCAGCACAGAGATACAATGAATTATCATACCGTAATATCATCCATGAAGATGAGAGAATGACTTGCCTTAGAAATGCACTGATTTGTACAGTTTTGGCTTCGGCAGGTATGTAATTTTTATTAAAGATTGCCTTCTGCATGATATATTTCAGTCAATTTACATAAAACCATAATAATGTGATGGTGATAACCACACAATACCATAGTTTTTAAATTTATACCTCATCTAGATAGACTTCCCCTCTCGTGGCGTATAAGCTAACCTAACCATGGCGTTCCCTGGGATTAATTCTCGGCAAAGAATATTACACAATACATTATTTAATCAGGCACAGGAGGCTGATCACCTACTTGCATATTAGATTAACAAATGATCATGAAACAGATTCAGAAATCTGAGGCCCAGATCTAAAAAGGTTGTAACGCCACTGTTTTTTTTTTTAATTTTCAGTATTTAATTTTTGTATAATATGATTATTTAGAAAAACATTTTAAAGCAACTTTTATGGTTATTCAGGTCAGCAAAGGTCACGAATGTTGGCGACACTATTCAAGGATGAGCGGTGTCAACAATTGCCAGCATTCTCCATACTTGAGAAAATGTATCTTGACCGAATTATTCGGAGATCAGAATTACATGAGTTTGAAGCCCTAATGCAAACTCATCAAAAGGTAATCATATCATTTTAGGAATTTCATTTTAATAAAATTATATTCATATATTATTATTCAAGTTTTAGTAAGCATCCCTAATTTTTTTGAAAATAAAACATAGTCTATGTCACTCGGGAATAGTGTAGCTTGGCACTGGTGAAAGAATTTTTGAAATCGGCTCAGTAGTTTCGGAGCCTATTCATTTCAAACAAACAAACAAAAAATCAATTCTTTCCTCTTTATAATATTAGTATAGATATGTGTACATATAAGTATCAATTTCATTTACACAAACATACATAAATGTGTTAAAGAACATGAAATAAATATTATTAATAATGTGTATCTTGGTTTAAGAATAATAGAATAAGAATTCAGGTCAAAAAAATTCAATGTTATTGCCAAAAATTTAATGCTAAAATAAAAATAATTATCAAATCAATGTTTTTTCTCTAAAAATAATTATCAATGCGACAAAAATTACACACATACAAATTACACAGTCAATAATAAAAAATATTAGATTGAAGTTATATTGTACACACTTCTCAAAACATAGTCAAGAAAACGAGTTCAAATTTTAACCAATATGTACTTAAAATAATTGATGGTTCTGATAAAAAAGTCTATAATATTACAATAAAAAACAAATTTTAACTAATAATATTTAAAAATTTGTCTCATAGGCCACAACCCCAGATGGATCTTCTATCTTGGATCGAGCAGTATTTGAGCATAACCTGCTATCTGCAAGCAAACTGTACAATAATATAACCTTTGAAGAATTAGGGGCTTTGTTGGAGACTCCGCCCTCGAGAGCGGAACGCATTGCGAGTCAGATGATCAGTGAGAAAAGGATGAATGGACATATTGATCAAATTAACTCCATTGTCCATTTTGAAAGTAAGATTTTTAATATCTGCTGTGTCATCCGCGTTAGTTTGAGCGGGATACAGCCAAATCTAACAAAATAAATAATCTTTTAATTCGAATCCGAAGAGATTTCGAGGCCAAACGGAAGATCTCAAAAGGAAACAATTTTTCCCAATCTTTTAAATTGATGGTCCACTATCATTGATCGTATTATATAGATCAGTTTTAGCCCTCATCCTCGAGGTCGTAGGTTCGTACGACCAGTACCTCGGCTTTGTACTTATCGACATTCTATTCAACACCATTTTGTCCAGTGAAGGAAACTGGCATGTCAGACACAAAATTCGACATGTGTCACACACACAGAAATCTGAGCCCCAGACCTAAAAGGTTATAGCACCCCTGGTTTATTATTAAATAGTCTAGTTTTTATGTAGTTTAAATTATTAAATTTGCGTTTTAACATTGCTGTTGTGCCTATATTTTTGCTCCTTGCTTTTATCCTTTTTTTATCTTGCTAGATTGTTATTTTAAGTTCTAATAACTCGCGTTTATTACCGACACACGATAGTAATAAAACATTAATTAGTTGATACTTATAGTATAACCATAACAAACTCTGACTGCTAAATAAAACTACCTAAGTAAGCAGCAAAGTAGTTTTTACCTTGACTTCACCAATCAATTCATTCTAAAAATTACCACCTGGATTATGGTATCCTGGCACTGGTTTTTATTTTAAATGTTATTTTAATTTAATATTTAGTAAACAGATTTTAATTAAATTTTACATTAACATATTTATAATTTTCCAGCTCGTGATATATTACCTCAATGGGATAAACAAATTCAAAGTCTTTGCTACCAAGTTAACAGTCTTATTGAAAAGATCGCAGCCGCTGAACCAGAATGGATGGCGAAGCTCATGGAAGAAGAAATGATACAATAGATTGTTTTTAAATTAAATTATATTTATAAAAATCATGTGTTTATTTGTTATCATATAGGTATCTTAAGAGTAAGATTAAATAATGTACTTTCAAAATGACTACTAAAAGTATGTTATCTATCTTCTATATATATATATTATATATATATCTTAATATATATATTTCTTCTGTGCGTGTGTATGTGACTGAACTCCTCTCAAACGACTGGACCGATTTTGATGAAATTTTTGTGTGTGTTCAAGGGGATCTGGGAATGGTTTAGATTCACAAATCAGCCCGGCAGATGGCACTGCAGTCGGTACTTTCATACTTTGCTTAATATCCTAATCGCTTTAAATATCATGCAGGACAACGTCTGTGGGGTCCACTAGTATCTATCTTCTATATATATAAGAAAAATGGTCTTCTTTGAGGCTCCTTCACGCCTAAACCACACATGAAACTACTGCCATTCGATGCGAAATTTTTCCTAGATGGTTTATGGCTATTTATTTTTTAAATTCCAACGTTCCTTCATTTTTTTATTGCTGTTTTACTTTTATGAAAATTTATGCATAAGGACTTCACCGCGGAAACATTCGGGGAGGCTTCCTAGAACCTCAAAACGTCATCATCTGTGAAAAACTCGATTTTCGAAATTTTTCAATTTTCTTAGCGGGAACTTAAAAAGAAGAATAATAAAAATATGAAAAAATAATAATAATGAAACATAAAATTTTATTTATTTCCTATTTTAATTCGCCCAGCGAAGCGGGCGGGAAACGGCTAGTGTTTATATATAGTAAAAATTATTGAAGACAGACATTTTTCAGTAGGTGATAAGCCTACTTTGAACTCGAAACAATTACTTTTCTTTAGTTTCATCGGGAAATAAGGACCTTAGGACTATGAGCGTAAACTACTTAGCTATGGAGGGCGTTGAGTAGAAGTGATAAATGCCAGATATAACCAAAAAGTAATAAGGAATCTTCCGTGTCAGGGAAGTAGGTACACAAAATTTTTCGGTGATATTTTTTTTATTGATTCAAGATGATCAGAAAACAATTATTTTATTTATGACATTGTGCTTTAAAGGTTCATAAAAATCTTATAACATAAATGTTTAGAAGAGGTGGATGTCCGTATAACCGCTAACTCTTCCAGGAAACCTAAAAATACGACAGGTAAAGTGAAAGAAGAATATAGTAGTGCACTAATACACGAATATAGGCAGCGGCACGTAAGTCTAGCGCTGGCCGATACGTGGAGGGGATTGCTGCGCATTATAGTCTAGTCGACAAGTTGAAAATGGAACAAAATAGAGATACTGCTCTTAAAATTATGTGCGATAGCTCATTCGAACCGGAATGACGCCTAGAAAAATGTGCTAAAAGCGTGTATTAGCACATAAAAAATTGCAAAAGTTATAGACCATTAAAGATGAAAAAAAATGGAATTTAGTTTTTGCCAATATTTAATAAACTATTAATATTTAAGAAATTTCAAATAAAGATTCTGAAAGAGGAGGAAATTTCCAATAAAAAACTCTCAGCTCCCGGAACTCTATCTCCATTATTTATAACTTTAATTTAACGCTGAAAATAGGTCTGTGCGTGACATTTTTAGGATTCGCGCGTGGCGTCAAAAGCGACTACGGCACATTAATTAATTTATTTAAGGTATTGAATATTTTTTTTTAAATTTGAAAAAATTATGGTGTGTTCTGAACACTATAATTAATTTATTCCCGTTGGAAATTTTACTTAAAGTTAATTTTTCAACAAGTTAAATAATTGTTAACTAACGAAATTTTCTCGAACGACCGTCTTAATTGTAAGTGAAAAAAATGTTTTAATAATGGTCGTAAAAATATTTCGCTTCGTAGAGCCTTTCTTACATACATACTTAACAAGATCGTGCCATAAAAGTTAAAGAAATATTTATACTTTGTTTATAACAATTTTTTACTTAAACAAAAACTTAAAAATCCAAGTAATGTTGTTAAAAAATTTTTTTTTTCTAAATCATCAAATTATCGTTTTTATATTAATACAAGATATTTATTGATTTGCAAAAAAAATTTCCGCCATTGTTAATAATTTTTTTTAAACAAATTGATTAAATCAATTGTTTTAAAAAAAAATTTCTAACTTTATTACATTACAAATATTATGATTGTTTAAAAAAAAAATTTCCTTAATAACATATTTTAATTGTTTATAATCGTTTTTTTATATTTCTTTTGTTTAAATAATTAGTTAAGAAATTTTTTTTTTTAAAAATCATAATTCACAATCCTCTATAAAGTAACAGAAAAAAATTTTTTTTTAATCAACAATTCTATTGTTTATTAACTTACCAATTTGTTATAAACAAATGTTCAACTTTTTATATTTTTTTCTAAAACTTCAAAATTAACAAAAACAAACATATATAACAAAGTCTATAAAAAAAAAAAAAAAAATTTTTTTAATAAAAGTAATATTCATGATAATCAAAAAATTTAAAAAAATGTTTTTCTATATTTTGTTATATATGGTTGTTTTTGTTAATTTTAGAAGTTTTAGAAAAAAATATAAAAAAGTTGAACATTTGTTTATAACAAATTGGTAAGTTAATAAACAATAGAATTGTTGATTAAAAAAAAATTTTTTCTGTTACTTTATAGAGGATTGTGAATTATGATTTTTAAAAAAAAAAATTTCTTAACTAATTATTTAAACAAAAGAAATATAAAAAAACGATTATAAACAATTAAAATATGTTATTAAGGAATTTTTTTTTTAAACAATCATAATATTTGTAATGTAATAAAGTTGTGAAATTTTTTTTTTAAAACAATTGATTTAATCAATTTGTTTAAAAAAATTATTAACAAATGGCGGGAAATTTTTTTTGCAAATCAATAAATATCTTGTATTAATATAAAAACGATAATTTGATGATTTAGAAAAAAAAATTTTTTAACAACATTACTTGGATTTTTAAGTTTTTGTTTAAGTAAAAAAATTGTTATAAACAAAGTATAAATATTTCTTTAACTTTTATGGCACGATCTTGTTAAGTATGTATGTAAGAAAGGCTCTACGAAGCGAAATATTTTTACGACCATTATTAAAACATTTTTTTCACTTACAATTAAGACGGTCGTTCGAGAAAATTTCGTTAGTTAACAATTATTTAACTTGTTGAAAAATTAACTTTAAGTAAAATTTCCAACGGGAATAAATTAATTATAGTGTTCAGAACACACCATAATTTTTCAAATTTAAAAAAAATATTCAATACCTTAAATAAATTAATTAATGTGCCGTAGTCGCTTTTGACGCCACGCGCGAATCCTAAAAATGTCACGCACAGACCTATTTTCAGCGTTAAATTAAAGTTATAAATAATGGAGATAGAGTTCCGGGAGCTGAGAGTTTTTTATTGGAAATTTCCTCCTCTTTCAGAATCTTTATTTGAAATTTCTTAAATATTAATAGTTTATTAAATATTGGCAAAAAACTAAATTCCATTTTTTTTCATCTTTAATGGTCTATAACTTTTGCAATTTTTTATGTGCTAATACACGCTTTTAGCACATTTTTCTAGGCGTCATTCCGGTTCGAATGAGCTATCGCACATAATTTTAAGAGCAGTATCTCTATTTTGTTCCATTTTCAACTTGTCGACTAGACTATTAGTACTGTCGCGCGGGGGACGGAATGCGACTGGAAGGGAAATCCCTTCCCAAAAATTTTTTTTCCTGATAAGCAAAGGATTTGATGGTTAGGAATTCGGGTTCTTATAAATAAAGCTACCTTCTATTCATAATTACTCTTAGATTTTTTTTGAGGTGTATAGTTTTGATTAATTTAATAAATTTTCGCGCCCAAATCCTTCATCTTTGTAGGGTAAAAAATGTGATGAAATCTAAAATAATAATTGGTGGTGTGAGGTGTCAAAACTGACCACCGAAGCAATAATTGATTCAGGCTTTTGTTTGTTTAAGAAACTATAGTCCGTCATGTGAATAACATTATTCTAGTGATAACACAGTATGAAGTTATTTATAATCATTGCAGTTGGATTGTATTCAAGCTTTAATATGTTGCACTCACCATCAACTCATAAATTATACAATGCGTGAAAATGTGAAGGTAATAAGATCAAAAAAAGGGTGCGTGTACTTATGTACGCGCGTAAGAAGTTATACTTCTTTGGCATTATTAAAAATAGTTTTTGATTGCATGCAAATAATTAATTACAATTAAATAATCAAAGACTGGAAAAGGAGTCATTAAAGTCAATAAAGTTCAGTTTACATTTGAAAAATTAATTAAATAAATATTTATTATTATTCTCTTACATTAAACAAATAAAACACTATTTATCTTTAAAACATTTTTATTTCATTATACTATTTATTTTTAAGTGACTCTAATGTCTTCATCAGAATTTCGGTTTGTAATTTTAAATTAATCATTACTTGGTTGTGCATCTACGAGGCTTCTCCAAAACTACTTGCTTTCTGCAACAAATAAGAGAATATTAATTTAAGCTCTGTCCATGCAAAACTTAAAATGTTTTATAATTCATATTATAAATTTTTTAACACATTTATATTAATATAATTATATAAATGTGTTAATAATATAATTTGTAGCACATGCTACAGACCTGGATAGCAACTTTCTTTTATTCTATTTAGAGATAGAGATAATTTAAATATAATACCGGTGTCTTCCTTGTAGGTTTCTTTGGAGTTGTTTGGGGATTCTTGTTGTTCAGTTCGACATGATTTTCTTTAACCTTTCTTTAATCCTACAAAATAATGAAATTGTTAAGTTATGTTGTCACTGTTGTGCACACCTTTGTTTGGCTTTTTAGTATTCAAGTTATGTCAAAACTGATTTATTACCTTGTCATTGTTGGCTTTATTTGCTTTTGGGATATCAATTGTTTCCAAAATGATTTTATTTGTAATATCCTGAAATATATAAATAACATCTATTAATTTAAGTATCATGGTGAGTGGTTCGCACTCAGGTATTAAGGTGTATTATACCCACTGTCCATTATAAGTGGGAATGGGCTCACTTCTGGCAGGACAGAGTTTCGGTACTACAAGTGCAACATGGTTGTTTTGAGGTATTACAATATCTCTAACTACCCTGTAGGGGAATAAAGTAATGTTGTAAGCATATGCCTATGCTTGAAAGGTTGAACCTTGAACATCACCATACATCATATTTATAATTAACATTCCTACCTCGACACCATCACAATCAAATTCATTGAAATCTACTTCAAACCATTGTGTCTCGAGAAGGTGATGGTGGCTTTGTTCCACCTCCAGTTTTTGATGTTTCACGGCGATAAGATGACAACTCTTTTTTTGTATTCAATTTAGTGCACTTCCACTGATTCATCAATTGTTTTTTGTCTCTTGTCCTTATATTTGCTACATTAAATCTGATGTTTTGATTAAATAATGTGGTCATTTTTTTGAGATGCGTACCTGCATTATTAAAATGTTTACTTCTCTGTTATATCGCTCCAAGCCTTCATTTTCTCCTTATTAGTATTCGTGCTTAAATCTTTGTTCTCAATTATTGATATATAGGGTCGTAGAATATTTCTAAAAAGTTGCTGTAACAAACGCAATAAACAAAAGCAATGAATAATGGTTCATGTTTCAGTTTTAATCAACAATAATACATACGGATAGTTAACCTCAATTGTATTGAAGCACTCAGGAAGGTTAGCACAGTTTTTTCACAAATATTTTATATTATTTCACAAATATTTTGTATAATGAAAATAACTAGGTATATAATTATTAATTTTAAACAATAATTAAAACTCCTATATTTGTTTAAAAGGTAAATGTCATTGTCAGATGTCAATTGTCATGGTCATTCAAAATTCTTGTTAAGCTGCTAAGCTAGAATATGCGTGAAGTTAGCTTCACGCATATTCTATTTCTTTTTACTTGTAGTTTGTCTTATTCCCATCTCGCTCGCGCACGCTATATCACACTGCCAATTTTGTGTCATAGGTGCGCGCGCAATCGTATAATTTCACTCTCATCAATTTTTCATAACGCGCCTAAAGAAGTACAACTTCAAAAATCTATGAGTAAGTGTTCCACTTGACTTGCGTTTGTCCTATGGTAATATAATGAAATAACAGGTGTCTCAAAAGAAAGTATACGTTATGTGAAAATGTTAGACGACTTCTTGGTGCCTGAACTTCAAAACTTTCCTGGCTATAACCAAAGAACATGATTCCAGCAGGACGGAGCAACGTTTACACGTCCAATACGTCTCTGCCACGAGTTCGTGAAATTTTCTCAGGCAAATTGACCTCCAGAAGAGGTGACATAAATTGGCCTCCACGCAGTCCTGATTTAACCCCTATAGATTTTATCTTATGGGGTTGTCTTAAATCTAAAGTCTACGCAAATAAGCCGACTTCTCTAGCGCAATTGAAAGAAAATATCCGTCACGAAATGACAGCCGTCACTGAGTCCACCTGCCGAGCCTGCATTAGTAAATTTATTGTTCGATTAAATGAGTGCCGCGAACGCGAGGGTCTACATTTGGACGGTATTATATTTTAAAAAAAAATCCCAAAATGTGTACTTTAATAATGAATAAACACTTTTTTGATACACGACTTACTTTTTTTAAAATCGATCAACTAAATATGAACTTCCTTTTAAGACACCCTGTAGTATGTAATCTGCGGTTTTTACCAAATTAATTCAGGCATAATGTTAGGCCTTCGTTACGTTAACTGGTTAATAAGTGTTTCTTCCTTGACTAATAGACTAACCATTACCTTCATGTTTATATTGAACTAGTTAACCCCGAGTTTTAGCACATCCAAACTTCAGCTTATTATTACACATATATATAATATTTTATTTATAAGGCATAAATAAAACCACACAATTGATTCCAACAGACTATTCATTATTTATTCTCAATCAAGGAACACACCATAGGTGCTTATTTACAACGCGATATGACTTTCATTTGAATGTATATTTAGCGACAATATGCGTGCTTACTGAAAACTATTAAGAGCGTTCGGCACAAGTGAAATCTGAAGACAATTTTATTGTTCATTTACACAGAGCGCACGAGTTTTGTTTGATTTTGCGGTATACATTTGTTATATAACAGTAAGTGGCATTATCTACATGTCTAGTGAATGTCAAAGGAGGCCTAGGGCTCCAGCTCTAGAGCGACTCCGACCTTGTGACCGCCGGCGTTGAAGTTCTGGCCGTCGACGGCGGCGGACAGAGTTAGGGTCACGCCTGAAAAACACAATTAGATCAATTCTTGTTTTAATTACAAATATATAATTAGATTACGTTATATTTAAAAATGTATATGGGTTAATTAATTAAAGAATCAAGACCACTGGATAAAACTAAATTAGTCCACCAAACAACAATTTATTTTCTAATAAATTAAGTTAGAAGTCCGTAACCCATTACCGTTTCTAAAATAAATATCATATCTGAATTAATATTTGCAATGGATTTGCGTGTGTATTTCATCATCTTAATTCTAGATAGGGTAAGATAACGCAACCATGACAAATGATAAAAAGCAAAAATTATTTTGCTCATATAAAAATTATAATTTATGTACTTCGCGTTTTTGTAGGATGTAATACTATTTGATACCAACCAATTTTAATAAAGAAAAAATAAAGTGTTTTCACCATTTCTGATCATTTTATAATATTCTTGGGTCTTAGTTAGCAAGAAATATTCATGTTTTTAAAATAAACCTCAATCTTTGATGAGTAAGATACAGAAATAAAAACGTTGTTACCTGGGCGCAACTTTTGTTGGTAACCAAGTCCAATGAGGGACTTGTTGTTGATCTTAGCATGAAGTGAGGCATCTTGGTCCAAGGCAAACTTGGCACCGACCCCAAAGAGGGTGTCAGTAGAGCCAGAAGACCACTTCATGCTAACACCACAGTCCAATTTGTCTGACACCTTCTGGTAGATGGAGCCACCAAAGTCCTTGCCATTGTCGCTGAAATTTTAAATAATACATCCTTTCATTTATATATATATATTATATAATAATAACAAAGGGTAATCTTCATATAATTTTAGTCAAGTTTAGTCTGCAATATCAGTTCAAAAATATATAATATTTAAATATCTTATTATCTTAAATGATATAAATATAATTTTAATACAATATAAATTGTCTTCATTAGTGAGTGTTATTTTTTTTTATTTATTCAGAATTAAAGTAGTATAAAAAATTATCTATTTATCCACTACTTCTTAAGTTTCAATATCAAAGTTAATTTTAGCATGCTAGCATCAGTAACAATGACACACAATTCCATGCATTATGTAATCATAATATGTTCCAATTTCATGAACAATAGGACATTAACCTTGTAAAAAGTTAATAGTAATTTTTCATTAAGTATTTATAAGATCTTCTTTATTAGCATACTTACACATTGGTGTGCAGAGCAAAATCATTGGTCTGGTATCCGAAAGCAAAGTTGTTCTTTGAGAACTTGGCCTTTTGTGTATCAAACTGTGTGTTAGCTCCTGCTAGCCAGCCTTGGTACTTCAGAACAGCTGCTACATCAACAACTGGGCCAGCCAAGTCCAAATCTACATTAGTGTTGACTGCCACTGTTTCATTGGCGAAGGACGTCTTCAGCTTGCCAGTTTTGCTTCTATAATGATAGAACTTGTGAACATAAGTTATAAGTAATAAAATATAAGAAGAAAAGCATGTTTTAAATTGCTAATGCGTTAAATATAAATTAAATCTGAAATTTACAATGCTCCATTCTCACCCTGTCTGTGGTGCAAAAGTGCCCTCAAGAGTAACTTTTAATCCCTGGGCAATTTTGTCCTGGATGGTGATGTCAGTGGCAAGTGTGTTGTCTGTGTTCCATTTTTCTGTAAATGTTAGTCCATAGTCCTTTACTGCATACTTTGACGAAAGGCTACCAAATACCTAAAAATTTTAGACAATCTTTATTACAGATACAAAATAAAAACAACATTAGTTATTTTATTTATTTAAAATTTCAATAGCAAAAGGATTTTTAAATAATACATAGAAACGTTTACTGTTAATTAACTAAAGCCCACCTTTCCACTTTCTTGATTGGATGTGATACCACTGGTAAACTCAACACCTGATTCACTCTTGGTCTTCAGGTCAAGTTTAAACACACCAAAGTGGTATCCCTTGGAGAAGACATCATTCGCCTTCTTTCCAAGATCAGCATAGTGAGGGGGAGACATTCTCTACAAAAATATCAACCAAAAAGTGTAAAAACAATATTTATTACATTTCTTAAACTAGAATAATATCTTTGCTCAGAAAATCAATGCCATACGAGTTGGCAGACTGAATTGAATTTACACATCCCATTTAACGTTCGACTTCATTCAAGGTATTACTGATTACATAACGTGCGAATATTGGAATTGCAACTTTGTCAGGCACCTGATAACCATGGTGAAACAAGTTGTTATGTTCAACGAAAAAGAAATCGATGAGAGAGACGTATCATATGGAGGCCATAAACTTGACCTTTCACCAAAATAATATCTAAAATAGAAGCCGCTTCGAAACAATTACCTACTGTAAAGTTACACCACTTTTAATTGGATTATAAACACTTGATTTAATCAATATTACAGTAAAATGTATAATAGGTAGTCTAACTTATAATAAGGAAATATTAACTTATCGAGGAAATCGGTGGATATACAAAAATATCAAAATCACGTGTGTGACGTAGACCCGGCTATTACGTACAGCTGCCATTAAATCTATTTGCATGCAATATGACTTATAAAATAATTCAAGCTTATTCTACAGCATAAATGTATACTTACTATCTTAAATTAATTCACTGATTGTAATAGGACAAAAAGAATTCTGAGAATTCTCGGCAATAACTTCACCTCCAGCACCGCACCACAAGACAATTCTAGTTTACGCCTTGCGGAAACGTCAGAGGAAGAGGGCGTGACAGTGCCGGATGAGGTGATATTGATAAATCGTTTTGTTATTAAATTATTTAAAGTAAAAGAACTTCAACGAATATTGAAAGAATTAATTGTCTTTTTTTATTTAACTTGTCTTTACTGAACTAGCTATTTATTTAGTTACATTAATTTAAATTATAAAACATAAAAGAATAGTCATTGATTAAACGATGCAGTGTTTAAAAGGTCATTGCCCTAAAAAATATAGTTTTCAATAGACAAACCATTCCTCTAAACTAAATATAATCTGTGCTGTATGACATAAACTTTGGTCAATATTTTGGCGGCAATTTTTAAAATCTAGTATTTTTTAGCGAATCCTAGACTTGGTTATTTAATTCGGCCGTATCGCAGAAGTATAACTTGACTGCTTGTATTATAGTTATTCGCCATTCCTATTAACCACAACGCGATGTGATTATTTATAATTTATTGCTAGAATTATATTTTATGTAGTTGTGTGTAATAGAGAAAGTAGACATAATTAAGGGAAAAGTACTTACCGAACAACTTTGAAATGTATATTTAGTCAACTCATCAACATCATCACCATCATCGTCATTTTCAACCGGACAGTCTACCCTTCGACCCCATTCATCTTTACATACATCCATCTGGCCCATGGAGCCATCCTTCATAATTGTCCCAATACATATTACAATTAATTAATTTAAACACGCAAAAGTTAAGTTATATTTGATTTAAAAAATGGAAAATGCAAGATGATTTTTATTTATTTACACAATATAATAGATAGGAATTGAATTTGTGTATGTTTATTACGAATAAAATCAAAAACTACTAAACCAATTTCATAAATTCTTCTACTATAAGAATGCTTCATTATCCCTATGTAGCATACGCTATATTTATTTCTAAAATATATAAAAAATCCTACTGTGCGATGCCGGGACGGGAGTATTTTGTTACTTACAGAACGAAGGCAAGGCACTTTTTCCTTTGTAATAGCTGCAGAAATCGTTGGTAAATGTAACACTCCCTAAAAAACCACTAATACTGTTATTACAAACAGTAGATAAATACTCTAAAATTGACATGATTTTATAAAATAAATAATACGAAATTATTAATATATAATATTGTCTGTCACTTAGGGGCTGGACCACGTAGAATTTAGGACAGGTACATAATCAGTGTGGCTTAATCATAATAAAATTTTAAAAGAAAACAATGCTATTCTTAGTTCCAAAAGACGTTTGATTTATTAGTACAAAGCATGTTTAGGCATAAAATATTCGCTTAATCATCGGGAAAAATAGATTGGACAGACGAAATTCCAAAAATTATATATTAGCTTTATCCCGTGGGGGGAAATATAAATACAACTTTTTTTATTCATGCACACTTGTGTTTGTATTTTTATGGAATAAAATAAAGCTATATTATTATTATATTACGATACACAGTAGTACTTAAAGTAAATCAACAAACATAAAAACAAATATACAACAATAAAAAGTAACTCTCTTGTATGAATCATGGAAGTTAACATATATACTTTTTCTCAACACATATTCTTGACATGTAGCACAGACCCAAGAAAAATCAAATTGAACAAAACTTATAATTAAGCTATTAAAATGTGATACAGTAATTCCCGAGATGCGTGCCTATGTTTGTCACTTTCATTACAAATCATAGAATTTTAGCTTATTTACAAAAAATGGATATATGTTTCTATACCGCTAAGCATATAAAGATAGACCAGTGAAATTTCGGCACCATTCTCGACGCTTTGAGATGTCTTATTTTAGCCGCGTGGCCGCAAATACGCTGCAATCGTCATTAGCTTAACTAAAGCGAACTGAAAACAATATCGACATGGAAAAACATTGCGATATATTAGAAAATGAAAAATTCGGTCGTTATCTAATTGCTAATAAAGATTTGGATGCCGGTGAAATAATATTTACAGATACTCCTTTTGTCTTTGGTCCAAAATCAGGCAAGTGTTTCAAGCTAAATATTACTGGGCTATACCGCACTACGGAATGTGCAAGCCTATTTGAATTTCTCTCGTAGAATGTAGATATATAATAGTAGGTAGTTTAGTCAGAAATACCGAAATAACAACAGGATTGTAATGCTGATATCGTAAGTACTTTTAAAGTTGATTTATATTTGCGTATAATACCTATTGCATCTCACTTTGTTATTGCTTAGATACACCACCTCTTTGCCTGGCCTGCTATTGTCCAGTCGAGAATACAGTATGCTCTCGGTGTGGGTGGCCTATTTGCAGTGAAGCTTGTGAGAAGGCAGCGCAGCATCAAGCAGAGTGCGATGTCTTTTTGGGTGCTAAAGTCAAGTTTCAGCCACCAGAAGATTGGAGTGCACCGTCTCCACAACTGGACTGTATCACTCCCTTAAGGTATATTTCCTCCAAATAGTAGATATTGCAGGAACATCAAATTAAGTAAACGCGTGTTTTACTCATTGAATGTCTAAATATAGACATGTCAAGAAGATGGATCTTACGTCTCAAAATAAAATAAACCGTTACCAGTAAATGATGGTTCATTTAATGTGATTAATTTAGAAGTTTTTCAGAAAACCAATGTTTCAGTTCGGAGAGGCAGAGCTTGCTACTTCAAGTATTTGTCGGAGATTGTATTTGGATTTTTATCCGTTATGTGTCTTACAAAATATTTATCAATGGTTCTCCAAAAAGACTTACCTTAATAAATACCTATAGATGTTAAATCTTATTTATGTTATTTGTTTGTTTTACTCTATTAAGATATTCATGATACTCGCGTTTTTGTATTTCAGAATGCTCATAGCAAAAGAAAATAACCCTGATCGCTGGCAACACGAACTAGATGTAATGGAAACCCATACAGGTGAAAGAATTAAAAGACCATCATGGGAAGCTGACCAAAACAATATCGTAAATTTTTTAATTAATCACTGTAAACTCGGCGCAAAATTTAATCACGATTTACTAGAGAAAATCTGTGGAATATTGGCGGTGAGTATTTTTATTTTACGCGATATAAAAGTCTACCTTATGTTACCGAATACTTATTCCTTACTTTATTATACACTATATTGAACTATATAAACTTATCCTACATAAAAAAGAAGCAACTTTTAATAAACATATTATTATTAAGTACAAATGAGTCTCTCATCTAAATCTATTAAACTGGGTACCTAGTGGAAAACAGCAAATACAAGTTCATTTAATTTTTAACCGGTTCGATTCCCGGGTTAGTAAACGTAATATACAAAATAATTGTATGTCGCTTTCTTTGTTTTAATAAATAAAGTATCAGCTTTCTCCAATTACTATACACCTCCATTAAATTTAATGTGTATTTGCGCCGATATATCTACAGGCGTTATTATATAATTCCCAGGTGAATGCAGTTGAAATACCCTCCCGAGGCGGTTTCAGCTCGCGCGCCATATATCCGTATTTGGCCATCGCAGCTCACAACTGTGTACCTAATATTATTCATTCTATTCAATATGATGATTTGACGTATGTATTTAATTCATATATAAATGTAACGGTTAATTATGTTTGCACCAAAACAATTAGAAATATTCTTCAAAGGCACGCAAAGTATTGAGAGTGGGCACATAACATAAGGTGAGCCATCGGCCCGTTTGCCCCCTATTCTATAAAAAAAAGTAATTCTTAAAAAGGCATACTTGATCAATTATATAACAATCCAATACGTTTTGAACAACTCTTATAGATTCTTTCAGACGGAACTTTTTTTTGAAAATGTTTCCTTACAACGCCTAAAACCGAGTTAGGAAGTCCTATTGTCTGTTTCACGAATTAGATTGAATACGTTTACCCTTTTGTTTACTAACACGGCACAATAATTCTAATTTATAATTGATATAGGGTTCTAGTCCGCGCAGCCGTACCAATAAAGTCCGGCGAAACTTTATACCTAAGCTACACACACGCTCTGTCACCAACTATAATTCGACGAGAATATCTATTGGAATCTAAATACTTTAACTGCGAATGTCATCGGTGTGCTGATACGACAGAGTTGGGGACGCACCTTAGTACAATCAAATGCAGTAAATGTGATAACGGTGTTATATTATCCAGCAATCCATTAGGTATGTCTTAGACTTGGTAGTAAAGACTTTATTAGACTTTTAATCAATGATGTCAGGTCTTCAGGGGTTATGTTGTTCCCTAAAATATTAAATAAATTGATAGCTGCGTCGGTTCTTTGTAACTTCTAATATTATTATTAAGTTTTTGTAGCCTATTTAGATGTAGTTCTTTCCATATCCGTAACGTCGCAATTTGAGGTCAAAAACACAATATTACAGTCGGGAGCGCTTTCGCTATTGAAGATAAATCACTAGCGCTGTATTTGTTTGAAGCATTATAAAATGTGACCTTGACTGATGATTAATCTGGATTATGACAAATATTTATACAATGGCATTAGTTTAGTTGAGGCGTCTTAAGCTATTTAACTACTAAAATTTGGAGGATAGGTTTCTAATCATATTTTAAAAATTCTAATAATATTTTATTTAAACTCCGGGTTTCATAATTGAATTTTAAATCACAATTGATTCTACTATGTGGTTATTAATTTCTATATCAGATTCTGAAGCACAATGGAACTGCACAGACAAAAATTGTGGATTCAAAACATCAGCGGCAGCTATGCGAAAAATGTTAACTGTTATTCAAACAGAAGTAGATCAATTGGATTCGTTGGAACCGGGTCCTCTAGCTATTGAACAAAGAGAGGCATTCATTAACAAGGTAGATCATTATTCTATTTTACATTTTTAACGTGTACACTTGGGCAATTTTGTTTTTTTTAGTAATTAAAACCTGCTACAATACACAATAGGTAAAGTATACACCGTAGCGAAACAATGGTAATAACAGGGTCTATGAACCCAGAATCGAAAGAGGGCAACCAGTGCTACAGCCCCGGGAATCTACACTTGATTTCACAATAAATTATTTATTATTTTTATTTCATTTTATTTGGATTAATAAAAAAATAATTTGGGGCCGGGGGCCTCCTTTGGTGCCCTGAAACCTCCAGAACGATCCAGCATTGTCTAAGAAGTCGCAAAATAAATATTTTGTGTTATATTTATTTAACTTCTTTACGTCTTCGTCTCCCTAATATTATTTACGATATCTAACAGTAGCATGGGAGTCTTTAAAAAATGGTGAGACTTTAGGATTACTATTTGTTGAATAGTAATTGAGTACAGTCAAAAAACGAAAGTCAAGAAGAAAAACATACTATTAGTGATAATTAAAAGCTTTATTTAATTTTCAGTACAAATCGGTATTCCATCCTCGTCATTCGGTACTTCTGTCTGTCAAATACACTCTAGCTGAGCTATATGGCCGAGTTGAGGGTTACACTATTGACGAGCTGCCTGATCTGATGCTTGAGCGTAAAGTCGAAATGTGTCGACTTGTTCTGAACACCTTGGACGTAATTCTACCAGGGGACACAAGAATGCGAGGTAAGACACGGACTGCAATGTATAATCATTTCCCAAAGGACTGAATCCCAGGACTACTTATTACACGTAACACTGCCGCTTCCAAACCAAATGTCATAGGTTTATAGTTCGTAGAATAATAACTTTAAATGTGTGTTTACACACAAATACACTGTAAACTTTGCTTATGCCAAACTAAATTGAGTTCTTCTTCAATGTACTACTGGATTCAGGACGATAACCTCTAGGCTAAAAATTTACTTAGTGAATGAAAGAGCTCAGGCAAATTACTTTGTTTTTTTTCATGTCATAATTCATACTTAAGTGTTAATAACGTCGAAGTACGCGTTAAAAATGTCAGTAAGTAATGACTGTAATCATTGATAACACTATTCGTTTCGGCTACGGTGACAGTACACATAAGAGACACCGAAACTTTATAACTTCAAATAAGAAGAAGGAAGTTTCCAATCCGACGCGTTTTATCTACAAACATGTTTTATTCATTACAACTGTTCCTAAAAATTAGTGATCTAGGTAGTAATTTTCTTTAGAGTATAAAAACAAATTAGATATACTATTTAATGCAAGAGCCTAACTCGAATTTTTGGTAAAGTGAGATTTGTTGCTATCTGAGATCTGTGGTAAGAGCATAAAATGTTATTCTCTAGCGGTAAGCGAAGAGAGAGTGAATACTGAATAATAACTCGGTATTCGGTAAACATATTTGAGCCTCTCTTACACCCCTGCCACGTTTCCATCCATATTTGAGAATTTACACTATTCAAATGCGCACTTCGGGTTTGTGCCCTTCTATGTTCTAGTTTTGTTTCAACCATTTAGGATTCTAAAGATCACTTCGTATTTGATTCGTTATACATATGTATGACTATAGATTCAAAATATTATTTCTATTATATGTAATATATCCCTATATTTCCAAAATCTGCCATTGTTACAGGGAATTATACCTGTCTGATTCTGTATATTACATAATTTTTGGTACTATATTGTCCCTAAATAAAATTATTTGTTTTATTCATCGTAATTTATAGAAGGTATTAAAATTGAAATTAATTTTCAAAGTTTCCTATAGTGACATTAACAAAGAACAAATCTCTAATGTTTCATAATCATGACTATGAAACACATTTTTTTATAATAAAAGCATTTTATTAAAAAAAGCCAGAGTGAAACAAATCAAAATCTTTTAATGTGACTTTCCAAAATTCTCCTTTTTATAATTTCGCCATTGTATTACTGACCGTGCAATAGATACTTAATTTTTTTCAGGAATTATGCTATATGAGCTACATGCACCACTTATGTATTTAGCAAGGAGTGAATTTGGGTCCGGATTACTAATAAAAGAACAACTTAAAGAGAAACTCCGAGAGCCTTTACAATGCTTGGCTGATGCTGCAAGAATCCTGCAAAGGGAAGATCCTCAAAGTCCTGAAGGAATTATAGGCAATATTGCCTACCAATCCATGGAACAACTTAAACTTAGTTTAGAAACCCTATGAAACATGTTCACTAAATCATTGGAAATGTATGTTTGAATTAGTTTCAAAGATGTTGTTGGCTTCTATGTTTTATATTAGATTTGTTTTCAGGCAGAAGCATTATTTTATTTGTTACTATGATCTATTTTGTGTTTGATACTAACAATATTTAAATTTTTGTAATGTTACTTAGAATATTCGTTTTTTTCTTAAACAAAATCATTAAATTTATTAAATGTTTTATTTAATGCTTTTTTACATAATCTAGAACTTTATTTTCTTGGGTTTTTTTGTTTCTTGCACTGATGTTAGTGTGGATTGACCAATATCTTCTATATTATCTGTACCATCAAGAGTTGACAACTTTATTGAAGTGCTTTCTTTTTTCTCAGCCACCTGTAATTAATAGATTTAAATTAATTAATATATTTGTCAAGTCTTCCAATGCAACCTTCGTCAAGAAAGCACTAATAAATCATAGTGACTATTTGAGTATTTAATAGAGTAACAAAACTACATTTAATTTTTTAGTAGGATTAAATTTCAAAATTGATAGAAAATCTTGATTTTGACTTGATAAAGCCACTGATAAACTAAACTGGGTTTAAATTGTAAAAAAAAATTTGACCTAATTAACATCCATAACAATCAAAGGAGGATATTCAGTGTGAGTATCATAAACAATATAAATAAATTGTTATTCTATTTGTAAATGTAAACTTACAGTGGGACAATCCTTGCGCAAGTGTGTGACATCACCGCATAACTTACAACAACCACCATTTGGATAAAGACCCTTTGGATTATCTGGGCACTGCCTAGCTAGATGACCCTGAAGAAGAATTATTTTTGTAGACCTTTTTGTATTTTCTCACCTGTATAAAGTAACTCTTACTCATCTTAAAAATTGAAATTAAAAAAGTTAAAAATAACTGGCTTGTTACCATGTCTGTTCAAAGTTGTTAGTTTGTTGTAATAATAGAAAGATTTTTTAACCTATATAACAAATATAGTATATATACACACCTAGATCTTTGGGTAGCTATGTAAAATAAAGTAATTATTTTATGTAACTATAATTTAGTTTACTTACGGTTTCTCTACAAATAAAACAAGTGGCAAATCTGAATTCCTTATCTCTCTGTACTTTACACTCATTCTGCCTGTGTTCAGTTGAACCACATTTAAAGCAAACACCATCTGCTGAATCAACACCTGGAATATTTGATCTTAAGTCAGGGCAGTCTGATAAATTATGCCCTCCTTTTCTGCAATTATAACAAACATCTCTCTTAACCCTTGCAAGAGCTTTCTCTGCCCTTCTCCTTTCCAACTTAATTGTTCTTTGAACTTCACTTTTAGGTATACCTTTTTTGATCATACTATTTTTAAGTTCTTGTAACCTTTCAGCATCTTTTTTCATAATAGGAAATCCATCAAATCTTACCAATTCGACATCTTTGCCATTTATAATAAGTTTAAAACTCTTTTCTGTTATTTCTTTTCTCCGTACAGCTTTATCTCCATATTTTTTATTTTTCTTTGTAGATTCCACATTTGATGGTTTTACAGGTTGCTGGTTAAGTTCTTGGCTTTGTGCCACATTAGATTTACTACTAAAATTTTGTTTTTTTTTATTCTTCTTTTTTTTGGTATTTTCTACAATTTCGGTTTTATTTAAATTGTTTGATGTAATTACATTTTTCTCAGAATTTTTAAATTCTTCAACTGAGCCATTATTTATATCATGAGATATTACATTCTCAGAAGGTATTTTTTTGTTCTTCTCCTTATTCTTCTTAACTTTTTTAGATAAAACTTGAGGTGCATTATGATTTTCCAAAACATTGTTGCTTCTTTTATTTTTCTTCTTTTCTACCTTTTGTGAAGCATTTTCGTTTTGTGTCTTTGCTGATACAGTTTCAGGAAAGTCACACCACTCTACCTTGCGTTTTTCCACCTTACGTTCTTTTAGAAAGTTTTCATAATTGTCAATCCTTTGCTGTTCAGCCTAAAAATGTATTGAATTATATCAGAGATATAACTATTCAGATAATGAAGTACCCTATAATAAAATAGACATCTTATACATACCTCTTTGCGTTTTATTGATTCTTCGTTATCTGCTTTCGCCTTTACCATTTGTTCTTTCATCACTTCCCATGGTGTACTATCTTCTGGATCTTTTAGGTTAGAAGCTTTCGATCCTTTAGCACGCGCAAAACGTGTCATTTTAAAATGCTACTACTATATTTAAAGTTTTGTAATTTAATAAAGTAAATTGTAGACTATTTTTTTATAATTTTTATTAAAAGACAAAATTCAAATTTCAAACTACGTATTTAACTTGGAAATCTGAAAAAAAAAACACAAGTCAAAACATTAGATCAAAATTAATCACAGATCAAATTAATGTTTAAAGTTACAATTTATGACACAACTTATACAGACCATCGAGGAAGGAATTATTATCTTTGGTAATATATACAAACCTTTATGTCAAGTTATACTTCAACTTCAAAGGCAACATTGCTTCCGAATGCACAGACTACAAAAAACCTCTTAAATATACCAATATAATATTATTCAATAATAATTATTGTCATGCGTGTATTTTTATTGTAATATGTATTAAAGAAGTAATTTATTGATGTATGCATGTTATGAGCTTATTTGTTTATGTAGATAGATTAATTTTGTAACAATAAAGTTCAAAATATCCAGTTACATTAATATAATATGCTATTAGCAAATTCAAATATTTTTTAGCTTTCGTTCCCGCTAAAATGCTATATATGTATAATAGAATATAGAATTGTGCTTGCATTTTAAATTTTAATCTTATCTAAGATAACAATAAACAAGACATTTCATATTTCTTTATCTAGAGATTTTATGTTTTAATTTTAATAAAACACAACGATGGCCTAAAGCTAATTAGAGAGGTAATGACGCGGCTGCGACGGCGCTAAAGCAATCAAAAATCGAATTATGCCAATTTTGCGTTATTCATATTGATTAAAAAAATAATATATATTGAATGAACGTTCAATGAAAGTAAAATGCACTTTTAAATTTTAGAATTAATAAATGAAAATGAGGGTAGACACATTAATTATCATACTAATTTAGACAGAGGATTAGCGTACGTAGTCGAGCACGTTTATAAATAAGATACTTAAATTAATTTAAATTTTAGTACATATTTTATTTTATACAAGAAAATTAGCTACATCTATAATACAAAACCATTTCTTATCGAAGTTTTCAAGTCCTACTTCCTTATAAAACAATTGAAATGGAAAAAAATGAAAGTGAAAAGCCGGTAAAGCTAATGCGATTCAAACGATACCATTGTCATACGTGTGGTATTTTTACAAACTCCGCTAATCAATATACACAGCATTTGGAAGGAATCCGGCATAAACAGCGACTAATAAGCAAATCTGCGGAGAGCGACACAAACTGGGTTGGTTCTGATGATGGTTTCAATTCCGGTTTTTACATTCCTGCCTTGCTCATTACTTTATTTACTGCCTTTACGTTCTTCTATATTTGTGAGATGTTATTGGGTAACTGTAAATAATTATAATAAAGTATCTCATTAACGACGTCTTAAATTTCGCGCCATAATTTTAATTGGTGGAGAAGTCGTCCCCAAGCGTTCACGGCTTCTATGCGCACGAACGAACGCGCAGAACAATGAGGTAGCAGCCATTTTATGTCGCTGGCTAAGAAAAACATAATTCGAATGGCCAATCTTATCGGAATTGTGTAATTAGTGTTCTAATTTATGTGTTTCTGCACACGCCACTTTTGTTAGACGTTTCTTCATATAAGTGAGTAGATTGAAAGATTTGTTATAGTATCACGATAGATAATAAGTGTAAAATGTAACTTTACATCTATTTTAAACGGTAGAATTAGTCGATAATGATAATACTTCAATTATCCTGAAATGCGAATTTATTGTTTATAAATAACAATTACTTTCTGTAAACAAGTCTCCTAGTGTTTGTGTTTACATAGTTCAAACAACCGAATTTTAATATCATAAACCGCTCCAATATATATTTTTAGGCTCGAGATATGACATAACTTTCCATACAATTAATATTAGTTCGATCAAGCTTATTGTTTACATTATGATTGTAGTCATTAATTACTCGTGCCTAACAACCGGCGTCGCGCAGCCTCAGGCTGTAAGTTGGGGACAAAATTCAATAACGAATTGGCCATTTTATTGATGCGGGGGGAGGTTGGGTGGAGACATTTGGAGGTGGTGATTAATTTTTGTGAATTTAAAGCTCTTGTTAGAATTTATTTGTATGAGAAATCCAGAAGTGTGTACAGACAATATTAATGTAATATATACAGACTTGACTATAATTATTGTGTTTAATAGATAAGAATAATATTTTTAGTGCAATGTTTTGTATAGGTATGTATGTAGGCGGATATCATCATTGGGTTATTTATAATTAGTACATAAATGTTTGAATTAATGTGATTCTATATAACCAATTAATTAATTATAATATATAATTAATTAATAGTTATAATTAATTATAGTATATAATTAATTAATATTATAGGAAATAACTTTATGTATGCCACCTTACCAACCTGCTTTTATTACTTTTACTTCACTAGTTAGTTTTTACCCAACTTCATCTTTGCATGCTTTAATATTGTATTGTTACCAGTTCTAATTAGAAATATCTTCATAGTAGAAATAAATTTTTGTTAATTTAGAATGCTTTGTTTTATTTTCGAAAGTTTCATCTTTTGTTATATCATTTCTTATACATATTTTGAAGTTTCATAAAACCAAGTAGTCCTTACATTATTGCTCTAATGGCTTGCTTATATTAAGTTAAAGTATTGCTTAAATAATCATTTTCCTTATTGAAAATAACCCATATAAAGGCTCAGCTAATTTAACATAAATTGAGAAAGAAAACTCCTTAATACAAAATAAATTATGTAAATATTAAATAATTATATATAATTTAGAATTTGTAATTTTATAGACCATTGTCATATTTTTTAAGTTAATTAAGTTTTATAAACTTTTGGAACATGTAACTGTATTACCAATAAGTATCTTATTTGAAACAAACTTTTTCTACTTCATCATCTTCCCACAATAGTAGTATGACATAAAACTGAATAAGAATTAGAGGTGTATATTTAAAAAAAATATTGTAATTTATTATTAATTGTATAAAAAAAAGCAGGTTTTAAAAAACAAAATGCACTAAGATTATATCTTGGAATTATGATGAATATAAGAATAACAAAAGGATTGAAAATGACTAATTGAAAAGTATTTACCACTGTTTTCAATTCGTCATTCAAATTTTATGTTATTGTTTTAGATAGAGCTTAATTTCATGTTTTATAAGTCTTAATTATAAATCTATGTCTCAAGCATAGACAACACAAGTATACCATACTATCACAGTCTCTTTCATACTAATTCTGATGTTTTTTTAAATCTGAGAATTTGTAACAATACAATCATGATAGAGAAAATCCTATAAGTCATACTCAATTAAGAGCATACATAATTTCATTTCAAGATCTTAAAAATAAGTTTAATAATAATATGTGTTTATCAAACAAATTAAGTGTGGCCCTTGGTAAATTATCAGAATATCAATGATAAGTGAAGTAGTTTTTTATTTTTATTTAATTAACAAGAAGGAAATTAATGTAACTCTTATGTCATTGTAGCAGTCAGGGTCAGTCCAATAAAAAAAAAAGTGAGAAATAAGTATTTCTGTAATTGTGTGGTGAAGGATACCTGGTTTATCGGGCTCGATTTGTTTTGAGACTAGACTATAGTCAACAAGTTCGTATGGTGGGTATGGTGTAATTCCATTGCTAGGTTGTATGTTGGTAGACCTAAGATGGTGCATTTTAGCCTTGGCCTTAGCATTTTCCTTGTCAGCCTGGGTCACTTAGGTGGAGTACCTAAAGTGACCCCCCACCTTAAGGCATCATTCATATTGTTGGAGAGACTTCAGCAGGCTAAAAAATATTTTTTTGTAGGTTGGGGCAGGGTAGCCGCGATGGGGTGCAGCAGGCACCATTAGCTTTCCAGCGCATTGGGGCGTGGGGGGCGTGGCACGGGGCGTGGGCGTCCCCGTGCCGCCCCCCGGCGACCTCCTGGCCACCATCTCCATGTTCGAGCAGCAGATCAAAGCTGAGCCTATGAAGTATGTATAAGTCCCGTAACAATGGCTGAACAATTTTAGTGTTTATTTTACCGAAATTTTCTTAGGGGACTGGTAGGATAGAATTTTTCACAGAAACTTGAATTCAGGACCAAGATTTGATCGGGTATGCGTTAACCACTCAGCCACAGAGGCTGTCGATATTTACAGTTCTATAGCAAAATAATTCAAAAGTATAATATAAAAATCCATGTTACAGTTTCTACACATCACATTCACATATAAACACCGGCCCGCCTACAATAGTCCGTTCAGATTCACATGGCATCATTATGAACCAGCATCTTCCACAAGAGGACTCCAAAGACAGCCTCATACAACACCAAGTACACCAACAGGAGCTGCTGGAACAGCACCAACAGGATATGCAACATGAACAGGATGATGATGATGTTGATAATGTTAGTAATTTTTTTTATACTGTCTATAGAAAAGGTACATTGTTGTCGAGGAATAGCATATTGAAATGATCCATGCATAGACTTAAAACGGAAATAAAAAAATTTAAGATTTTTTGGTCTGGTAAATAGTAACGAACCATGAAACGGTAAGGGTTTAACCGGTTGTTATCTTTGATTTGATCTCGTAATATTTTAAATAACGAACGAAAATGCCAACAACGAAACAATCGAATTTAAAAAAAATATAATAAGGCTATGTTCAGATGGCAAAAACTTGACGCACGTTTTCAAATCCCCCGACTAGACATTGTGGTATTTACATACAACTGTTCACATGAGCGCGCGTTGACGCGCGTTAACGCTCGTTACATGTGAACATAGCATAGGAAACAAAATAATGTGTTTTTCGTGATTAAAAAATCAGTTGAATGTTTTATATAATAATAATAAGCCTTTATTTATCCACATATTATTTACATACAATGTACAAAAAGAATATATTTTATTATTCTAAGATGCCTCCCTACTTTTTCCACCCTTTTTTTACCGTGATCATCCAATGTGTGCCAGTTATCCTTTCAATCTCGTTGTTATATACTATAATACCACAGTGCTTATAAATGTGACAAAATATGGTATAAGTAATTCTAGCTAGGGTCTGGCTAATGAAAGAAGATAACGAAAAAGCGCGGCAAATTAAAATAATTTTAGTATGGTATCCCTAAAAGTTTGATATATTTTGTGGATTTAACTTACTTGATTTTATTTTATTATTTTTACATCGATAGTGACTGTATTTCTATGAAACTAAATACTATACGTATTTAGTCTTTTACTATTGATACTTAAAATGACTAGCATTGCATGGAAAACTAAAACTATATTTATTATACAACACAACTTATTCGGAATAATCAAATCCTGCGAAAGAAACGAAATATCCTATCAAATAAAACAAAGTTTAGGCAATTTTACCTGTTAACTATTCGGAAAAAATATATAATAGAAATAAAAATGAGTAATTGCATGAAGTATCAAGACAATAAAACATACTAACCTAAGAAAGTCAGTGACATTCTGTGTTGCCATCCGAAAGTTTTCAAATAATTCAATTATCTTCTTTCATTAGCCAGACTCTAATAGTATGTTTATAGGCGTATTATTTTCGCGCATACACATCCAGGACATCCAGGTCCGCCATGTACGTTAAGCTCAGTTACGGTGACAGGACAATTTTTTTTTATAAAATGGGGGAATTAGCCTACGGTACGCCCAAAAAGGGAAGTCATTGTAGCTCATAGACTCTCATTTAAACTATTATCATTATTTTTATTCCAGCTAAGTTTCAAAGGTATGGACGATGAAGGCGTTGAAATGGACATGGACGGACGGCAATGCTCTCAGGTGAGTCAAGTTACTCGCGACTTCATTTTGGAAGGGAAATAACCTTTTGTGGTTAAAATATGAGGATGAGATTGATTTTTGTGTTATTGTTGGTGTTGGATATTTAAGTATGATGATTTTGGTTTATGTGTATGCGTGTGTGTATGTTGGTTCTCGGAAACTGTCATTCTAAATTAGGGAACAGTACAAGTTTCATCAAAATCGATTCAGTAGATTTGAGATATCTAAAAAGTAGGTGAATAATGTAGACAAATTTAAGTGTTGTTTTTCAACATAGAAAGTGTAATATTAATTCTTATTCTCCTAATCTAGAACATTAATCAAGTTTAAACCTAGTTTAAAGACCTGTTAACCCATTTTTTTGTATGAAGTTTGTCATATTTGACAGCGCTCAAGACGAGATTGTGACTTGAGACCTAAAAAGTAACTAAATGATACGACATATACACTTTTTTTTACCTTATTTATATTCGAAGTATTACTGAAGATTCTTAAAATATTTGGTGACAGGGTATGGGTGTCGATTTGGGATCGGTTCAGACGAAGATGGAAGTGTCTAACGGTCAAGGTGTGCCACGATCTAAACCTCAAGCTTGTAAGGTAAGTCATAGAGAATAGAACATAAACAATAAAACGATTTATACTGCCAATACCAAGAACAACAGATGGCGTTATTGTGATATTTCAACACACTATTAACCTGTTCGAAAAGCTTAGGTTTCCTAGAAAAGCGGTGCCGTTATCTTTAGGCCGTAATGTAGCGTTGGGTGACGTCACCCATACGTTGTCTATAAATAACATCGGAGTAGGTTTCCTAGAGAACGTTGAGTGTCACCGTAACGTCAAATAGAGGTGCTGTCATTTGCATGACGGCCGTCATAGCGGTGATAAACATTAGTTCAACGTTTTTCGCGTGTAGCGGTGCCCATATTTAATTAATACCATGAGTGGAAACGTGACTTGGACGAGCGAAAATGATGTTTTTTTTGCATTATGTTAAAAAGTTAAGACGGCCGTTATTAACAACCGTAAAAATGACGGCCGTTAGTTAACGGCACCGCTTTTCTAGGAAACCTAAGCTTAAGAGAAACGACAGGTGATTTGAGGTCGGAGGTGAATTACATATTGTTGACAAGACGTCATTATATTTTGACATTAATCCCCATGCTTAATATGAAAAAAGAGAAAAAAGATTTTTTTGTGCTGTATCATAAACAGATGTCATATATTACTAACTACTCCACGTAACAAATTCGTCAATAGGAACGTATGCATTTTAAAATAAAACTAAATCCCTAGCTTCAAGAAAAGAACGTACCAATTTCTAAACAGCCGGCAACGCACTTGCGAGCCTTCTGGCAGTCCGCAGTGTGTATCACAGTATGTATCACTTAACATCAGGTTAGCCTCCTGCCCCTTTGCCTCTGTTATATAAAAAAAAAAACTAAGTACGAGCTTATTTTAAATGAAAAATTATTCGGCTTGAATACTTTTTTTAAATGATTCGCCAAAATGGCGGTGTTTTATTTTATAAGCAAGCCTTTAATGTGATTTACCAAAATGGCAGCGTTTTATTTTAGAATCTTTAATGTGATAAAGTAATTGATTTATGCAAGCATTATCAACCATGAATTAAATACATACTTAAAAAATAATGAAAAATACTCAAACCGCCATTTTCAAGTAAAATTATATGAACGATAACTACTCTAGAGGCCCGCCATGAGGGTATTCGATTCCCGGTCAGGATTAAAAATATTTCTAACATTACTAGTACAGTTGTTAAATACTAAAATCTTGTAATAATGAATAACAGTGAAGATGTTTTCAGGTTTGCGGCAAAGTGTTGTCATCGGCGTCTTCGTATTATGTCCACATGAAACTACACTCGGGCAACAAACCTTTTCAGTGCACGGTAATTAATTTCTAATATTTTTTAGGGTAAGATTAGGTCAGGTCAAAAGTACCTATAACCGACGAGCATGGTAGCAAGTGGTAATCTGTGGTATCTGCCTACCACTTCGGAAAAAAGGCGTGAATTTCTAATATATAAAATTCTCGTGATACAATTTTCGTTCCCATACTCCTCCGAAGCGGCTCGACCGATTCTTATGAAATTTTTATGCATATTCAGTAAGTCTGAGTATCGGCTGCTATCTATCTTTCAAACTCCTAAGTGATAAGGGGTGGCCAACCCTTAAAATTTTTTTTTCTGATACAGCGTACAAAAATACATATAACCCCTATTTTTCATTTGTTGATTAAAAACTTATGACTTGAACTCAGGTTTATATAGAGAAAAATTTACTGAACAACCTAATAACTTTCACTCTGGAAAACCGAACAGTCTCTGGGGTACCATAGCAAAATGTTCCATGTTGGTATAGGTATGTTAACTAAAGCTGGCGGCTTCAACACATTTACACTTTGTGCTTGTGTAGTGTCTGTGAATAAGCGCGAGACGTGATGTCAAACTGAAATACAATCATAAATACATCATGAATAGACTGTCCGTCGTGTATGAGTGGACTAAAATGTATAGCATGGCAAAAAAATCATATTTTGAAACATACTGTATGTGAAATTGCATTAGTGTGAGTACTGTGAACCCGCCAGCTTTCGATAACCGACCTATATATACTTACTAAAAAATTCAAAATTTCACGAAAATCGGTCGAGCCATTTCGGAGGAGTTTAATTACAAACACCGTGACACGAGAATTTTATCTATTAGATCTAATGCGTTATTTAGCTGAGACCTGCGCTAAGATTGTTCTGAACTTGGAGGTAATAACAGGCCATTTACAGGTATGCGACGCAGCGTTCTGCCGCAAGCCATACTTAGAAGTGCACATGCGCACGCACACAGGAGAAAGACCTTTCCAATGCGATCTATGTCTCAAGAGATTCACGCAGAAGTCCAGTCTCAATACGCACAAACGTGTACACACCGGTGAGTTTATTTTGAATTTATTTAGATTGATCCATGTTCATTGCTACTCTACATTAATTCAACGCAAATGAATGTTATAGCAAACATTACAGAACTCTTAGAGAACGATATTATTCATGACAATCAAATATATAATTTTAGTGACACAGATTATAATTAAAAAACCATTTGACAGATATTTATAGTGTTTATGTCAATGTCATTATTTGCAAATGTGGATCAATCTTTCCCCCTAGCCTCTAGTCTATAGATATCACCATTTGTTAAAATTTTATCTTTTAAAGTTTAGCATCGAAATAGAATATTTTTTTGCTAGGGAATGTCAAATGGAATTTGTTAAATATAAAAAAAAGCTAATTTAAAACGAATTGACTGATATATCTTTGAATGTAAAATTCCGAGTTGCCATTTACAATAATAGGGATAATATTACCATGAGGGGATTACTTAATAATTGGTTTTTACATTTGATCAAGTCACCCTCCTCCTGTTTTCGCGTTATCTGTATTTTGTTGTATTTTTCTATGTCTTCTGTAGAACAAGTAGTATATAGTAATTTTGTTGGTAGATCGTATGTTTTGCCTTTTATATTTATTTTGCTGATATATAAACCATTGCGACGAGATAGATTAGATCTCCTATCAATACAAAAATCACTATTCGGTGCTGAAAAATAACACTCTACGGTACTCTGTCGCTTCCGGCCTCTGGACAAAGCTTTTTAAAAGTAATATTTGTACACGTTTATTTTTCCCTAAAACATACCGTAGTCAATGAATTAAGACACTGGTGCGACTCACAACATGAAACATGTTATTATGCAGATGTGAATAGTTTTTGAGTTATCGGCGGGTGTTTGTAAGGTTAACAGGGGGAGGTAGACACACACTGGGCATCCATTGTGTGTCTGTGGCTTCGATCAATGAGGAACTGTAGATCGAAATGTGGCCTGGCTTTTAGATGAGCACCTTCGCGCATTGATGGTGAAGGAGCGGCCGTACAAGTGTGACCTCTGTCAGATGCGCTTCACGCAGAGCTCCAGCCTCAACCGCCACAAGAAAATACACACGGGTGGGTTTCCTTCCGCACCGCCTTGTGCTTATTCTCCTTACTAAGTTTTATCAGACCCCAAGCCCTTAACTACACTTGCGTCTCGTTTATTCCCTGTATATAATTGTAAATATGTGTTGAACGCGGCGACGTTAACTAACCTAATCGACTTATGCGTGACGATCTTTGAGGCAGCGCGGTTAGTTTCGTAACCTCCCCCTGAGTGTGAGTGAGAGTGAGACCGTTAGGTTAATTGAAGTTGAGAGGGAACAAATTGCTATATCGATACTCGTGTAACTTATAGAGGAGCACAGACGAGCCCTGTTAGAGAAAGTGCGGCCGTACCAGTGCCACATCTGTTTTATGCGCTTCACTCAGAAGTCCAGCCTTGGCCGACATGGAAAGATACACACGGGTAGGCATTTTGCCCTAAGATCCTTATGTAGACATTGAATGTAACTTAGAGTTGACGTCACTAGGCATTAACGAAGTAGCGGCGGGAAAGAGGATCGTTTTTGTAGCTGAATTTTGTTGCTATTTCTAGAGGAGCACATCCAATCGCTGATCAACAAAGTGCGCCCCTATCAATGCGACATCTGTGACAAGCGCTTCACTCAGAAGTCCAGCCTGGGCACTCATAAACGTATACACACCGGTGGGTCCCTTAATGTATTATAACTTGTTTAGGTATCTAAGTCACAATCGCAATGGGTATCTTTTCCAATTCTTATTGTTGTGGCTTTGACGCCTTCTTTGTGAATAGTTTTAAGGGCTCCCCAAAATTCCTGTTTTTTTTAAAGATTAGCGATTCGGAAGTGTTTCTCGTTTCAAAAGGAACACCACTGCTTTTTCAATACGTATACTTTGGCAATTGTTTATAGGTGCGCGCTCGAAAACTATTCACAAACTGTATCAAAAGCATGTGAACGTTGTGAAATTTTAAGTTACCGTAGGAGAAGTCTGATGGACAAATAACACGTTAAAATTCCCTCATGGTAGCTAATCAAACTAAGCAGATGCGGTTTATTGGGACAGCAGTATTAAGTAAAATTATTTGTCCATCGTCCATTATGTTTTTTTCTCTGTCCCCGCGCGTGTGGCGGCGCAGGCGAGCGGCCCTTCCAGTGCACCGTCTGCCTCAAGTCCTTCACGCAGAAGTGCGCGCTCAATTTGCACGAAAAAATACATACGGGTTAGTAGCCCACTACTACATTTTAATACATAGTGGTTCTTTCGATACGTTCTGCAATTTGAAACGTCACGCACCCACTTCATTTAGCGTCATGCTTTTTTCCTATTTTCCGTTGCCTAACAAGTTAATTTTTGCACTTTGTCCATAGCTTTCATCTCGTTGCTTAACTAACATCTTCATAATCAATAACTCATGAAGCGTGCTTTTTCGTACTTCTGCACTCATCGTTCCCCGATCTACTCCGGTCGTTTAATTTTTATTGCTCGACCATCATTCCGAATAGATTTGTCATTGTCAAAATCATCATAATTTCATAAATATTAATTCTATCACAAAAGCGGTAATGCAATCGCCGTCAAGACGCAATCGCGATAATTTTAAACGTTAAAACTGGGGTTTGAAAGACTAAAATAGTCGTTGTCTTTGATAACGCGTCGGAGATTGGCTGGGGGCCGCCGAATCAAGGCACGCGAGCCGTATTGCGTCGGCGACGTGCGTTACTCGCTTTTGTGTGTGCACTGGGCGCAGTGCAAGGGCGTCCATTCGCGTGCGGGCTTTGCCCGGCGGCGTTCGCCCGTCGCCCCTACCTGGACATTCACATGCGCACGCATACAGGCGAGCGGCCCTATCAGTGCGACGCGTGTCTGAAGCGCTTCACGCAGAAGTCCAGCCTCAATATCCATAGACGGACGCACACAGGTGGGTGTCAGTCGGGTCGGACTGGACCCCGCCCGCCCCCAGCCTCTCTCCGTTCGTTCCGCCGCGTCCTTTCCGCGTCTCGCCTCGTCCCCGCGTTCTAGACCTCGCACGAACCGAACTGAGGAGCGGAGTTAGCGGCGAGCGTCGACCAGTCCGCGCCGCGACTCCGTAGCTTAGCCGCTTCCGGACCGCCGCTTCTATAATGTAATTTGGGCACCAGTCCAGGGCAGACCGTTCCAGTGCCTGTCGTGTCCCGCGGCCTTCACCTGCAAGCAATACCTGGAGATTCACACGCGGACGCACACGGGTGAGCGGCCGTATCAGTGCGACATCTGCCTGAAGCGCTTCACGCAGAAGTCGAGTCTCAACATTCACAAGCGGACGCACTCAGGTAAGTTGCGTCTCGAGAGCTTAGGGCCGCGCGGCGGTATGCGGGCGCGGGCGCGGGCGGGGGCCTTCCGCTCTTAGTTCACTACGCCGGAGCAGCCTCTCGACTCTGCGCTCACGAAAGGAGACGCAAGTCCCTCCTCACTCGCCCCGAGCGAGGTCGGGCGTAGAGTCGGGGCGCTGCTGGAACATTATCTACTCCGCTAATCAGACCGGCATACAGTGCAGGGCCGGCCCTTCCAGTGTCTGCAGTGTCCGGCGGCCTTCACTTGCAAGCAGTACCTGGAGATCCACAATCGCACGCACACGGGCGAGCGGCCCTACCAGTGCGACGTGTGCCTCAAGAGATTCGCGCAAAAGTCTACGCTGAACATACACAAAAGAACGCACACGGGTGAGTTCTATTATGAATATGTCATTACCTCATTTTATTTCCATCTCGTTTTGTTGTCGGTGCCACATGTGACGATAGGCCGGCATGTATTAACGTTATTGGTGGGTAGTGCAAGGGCGGCCGTATCAGTGCATGGAGTGCCCGGCGGCGTTCACTTGCAAGCCCTACCTGGAAATACACATGCGCACGCACACAGGCGAGCGGCCCTTCGAGTGCGATGTCTGTTACAAACGCTTCACGCAGAAATCTACCCTCAACATTCACAAGCGCATTCATACCGGTATGGAAAAGAGTTCTGTACTGTAAGCCTAGGGTTGCCATCTACGGTGCCAGTACAATATTAATGAACTTGCTATGAAATATTTTAATCCTTTTCATATTTATGTATGGCAACCCTACCTAAGACCTTAAAGCTATCGGTTCGTTTACAGTACCGTTCTCGATTCCTTTTCAAAACGTTGAATTAATATGATAGCAATCAGGACGCAGCTGAAAACGAATCGATGGTCTTAGTCGGGTCTAATCGTTTGCTGTTTTGGTTAATAATTGAATGTGGTTTGTGATAAGGGCTTTTGTTATAATAAGTTAATTTTTTTTTATTGCATAATGCGTTATTCTTTGAGATTCACATTTACAATGAGAGTTTTCTGAAATTTTGAGCCTTAGCTTACGTATTTTCGCTGTAATTAACGATTTCTTGAATATTGGACCCTATGTCAAAAACCTTAAGTTCGTGTATTTCCTTAATACGTATACAGTTTCTCATGTAAAAAAGATCCCCACTAATTAAAGATCGAAAATATCGGGTAGCGAGAAATTTTCTGAAAACCCTTATTGAGATATATAGAGGCAATAGATTTTTATATGCAGACAAATTGCCGGCTTTAATCTATGCTTCAAGGATCGTTGATTGCTTCATGCTGTAGAACGAGAGACGGCAAATTGCGATCAATATGATGTGGCACCGACGACACCATAGAATCGCTGCATCATCTCAGTTACATTAGCAATTCATTTTCAGACTAAATCTTATTGCATCTTGCCGTCTTTTTAATTTTTGCTTCAATTTGCATATTTTTTACTAACATATCGGCTCGCTAATCGAACAATTCCCTTCTAGACGCAGCTGGGCCATTGCTCTGTAACTTCCAATTGGAATAACTACAGCGATTCCGATGATGAACAGATTCCGCTCGATCCAAAGCTTGCGACGTTAGGATGTTGATCAACATCGAATATTAGAACAGTACAGGCGCTGATAGGGACTAAATAATATTCGCTCTATTTTTCCAAATTATTGTATGAAAAATATGTACTGCGATGGGGAATTGTCCGACTAATGGCTGATTTCAATATGTTTTATTATAAACTTTTATAAACTTTAATAAATTTTATAAATTTCAGGGGAACGCCCCTACGCATGTGATATATGTCAGAAAAGATTCGCTGTGAAGAGTTATGTTACGGCTCACAGGTGAGAAAAGGATTGCTTTTTGTTTGAAAAAATTTAATAATACTTAAAAGTAAGTATTAATGATAAGAAAAGTAACAGAACTTATTACACATAAATAAAATAAGAAAAGTAACAGAACTTATTACACATAAATAAAATAAGAAAAGTAACAGAACTTATTACACATAAATAAAATAAGAAAAGTAACAGAACTTATTACACATAAATAAAATAAAAAGGATAAAAGTTCACTAGGATTCCCTGTGGCGTGGGCAGCTAGTCTCTTCCATTTGACATATAAATGATTTTAGGTTCTTGACGTAATTATTTCTACGTACACTTACAATTTTATAATTAAAATACCGTTGCACAAGAAGAATACTTTCCGTTTAAGCATATATGGTTCTGATAGTGACAGACAGATAAACTTATTTTGTAGTTATTTTTTAATCTATATTGTTATTTGCTTGGTGACGAAACAATTTTTTGTACATTACTGTAGAGGTGAACAGTAGGTGCCATGGTTAATTATAGAAATATACGTAAACAATATTTTTGTGTATGCACACTTAAAAAATAAAAATATATCAGTGGCGCTACAATCTTTTTAGGTCTGGGCCTCAGATTTCTGTACCTGTTTCATGATCATTTGTTAATCTAATAGGCAAGCAGGTGATTAGCCTCCTGAGCCTGACGCACGCCGTCGACTTTTTGGGTCGAAGGTAAGCCGGTTTCCTCACGATGTTTTCCTTCACCGTTCGAGTGAATGTTAAATGCGCACATAGAAAGAAAATCCATTGGTGCACAGCCGGGGATCGAACCTACGACCTCAGGGATGAGAGTCGCACGCTGAAGCCACTAGGCCAACACTGCTGCACACTTATTACGTCAATATTTATAAAAGAAACCCTTACATACTCTAATATGACGACATTATTTCTAATATAATAATTATTATAGGTGGTCGCACGTAGCCGACAAGCCGCTAAGTTGCGAGCGTTGTTCAATGACATTCACGTCCAAGTCTCAATTCGCGTTGCACATTCGTACGCACGCGGCCGGACCTTGCTACGAGTGTAGCGTGTGCGGTCGCACGTTTGTACGGGACAGCTATCTTATACGGTAAGATTTTGTGCTAGAGGCTTCTTGAAGCTCCATTACTGATGTATATTTAAATGATTAAAAGTTGTCTGAACTGAGCATTCTTTAAGGCACTTTTTGCCGCGCACCACCGGTGTTTGCAACCAATTTAAAAGGTCACCAACGCACTCGCATTCTGGCATTGTAAGTCTCCATATCACACTTAGGCGAGTGTCTTGTGGGTGCCCGTTTGGCTATAGGCCAAATTTTTTTGTCATTAATTTAAATACGTCAAGATATTTTATAAACGTTGATTTCACAATTTATTGCCATACAGTTGTCATGTTTGGTGTTAATAAGAAATAAATTTTTCTCCTAATTTAAATGAATGATACAAAACAAAATAATCCTTACGTTTTTGTTTTAATTAAATTAAAGAATACAGAAAATAATTTGTTAAAATATCTACTTCCTTACAATCATATAATAGTAGTTTAAAACAAAATACTAGAATTAATTACTAAAAATTCAAACATGGCGTGATCATTGGTTTATAATCTTAAACAGTTAGGTACAAAGTGCGACTGTAGGAACTAATTGTTAAAAATTAGAAGAATCAAATTTGCCATAATCCTTCAATTTATATGAATGCTCTTCTGGACACCGTCCTTGTAAAATTATAAATAGATGTATATTCTATAGCTCATATTTTGAACTTAATTATGTTTTTCAGTCATCACAATCGCGTGCACCGCGACAGCCACAGTAATATGTCTGCTAATAGTGGTGTCATAAGCAACGCTGGTGGAGCTGGAAATTCAGGCAACTATGACTCGCCAGGCGTCTGCGATTTGAGGTAAATATATAAAAACCCAATCTTTACAATAAATATATATATCTATAATCTGCGTTTGCAAGTCACTCCGATGACGTCATACCCTGAAACGCGCTAAAGATACATATGTCACCGTAAAATAGTAAATACCGTTAGATTGTATTCTATCTCGCGAGATTGTGAAATGTCGAAAGATTGTGAACCTCAACGCTTACAATTTAACGCATTATTATTCGGTAGATTGTAATCTATCGAAGTGAAACCGTCAAATTACAATCTTAAAATTGTCAAATTGGTCAACTGATTGGTCGGCTTTATAGTAGACCGTTCTATGTCCATAGAGTTAGGAATAAAACACCTGTATCAGTCAAATAAAATGAATGCACTTCAAGAATTGTGACATCAAGTATTTATTCATTACTTAGTAGGTAATCAATAATTCCGACATAAATAAACCAGTGGCTCTAAAACCACTTTAGGTCTTGGCCTCATATTTTTGCATCTGTTTCATGATCATTTTTAAATCTAATAGGTAAGTAGGTGATCAGCCTACCTTACGTTACCGAATAATAATACGTTAAATTGTAAACAATACGTTAGGTTCACAATCTTTCGATAGTTTACAATTTCGCGAGATAGATTACAATATAACGGTATTTACAATTTTACGGTGACATATATACAACTTCTCGATCTTAGAGACTCGGGCCTTACCACCATCCTTCCTCCACAAATACTGTGTCTAGTACAAATAAATATTTGAACTTTTATTTTATTTTCTCTTATAAGTTTTTATCTACTATTGTCATCTGACAATATTTATTTATTTGACCTTTTTTGCACAAGAATTAAATAATATTAAAAACGAACATAATATAATTTAACGGTGCCCTTATACTAGGCAAACCTAATTAAACGTTAAAACAATTTTTTTTTAGGAGTGTAACAATCAATTAACCAAAAAACGAACCTAGGATCTTTTGAATATTACCTCATGTACTTAAACCTCTAAGTAAGTGTATTAGTATAGGTCATGTTATAATAAAAATGAAATGTATTTCAGCTTCGTGCCTATGGTGAACCGTTACCTGACGTCACAGGGCACACAAGTGTCGCTTGACGGCTCCACCAAGATGTCAGCCATGTCACCACAGTCCATCGCTTCTATTTGTGAGTCGAAATAATAGCTTTTAAAAGTCTCTTTGGGATAAAAAAGGGTTTTAATATACCACTGGGTCATTAAATTTTTTTGATATGGAATTTCTTAATCAGTATATAAAATAAATAACTGAGGCGCTGAATTAACTATGATTATAGCAACACTAGCAAATTTATTGTTTCGATAATTTTTCGCAAGATGGCGTGTTTTTTTTTATTTTAATGGTCAGTCTTTATATCTATGAAGAATGAAAGAATTTAGTCACCGCAAATATTGTTTATAATCATACTGTTAACCATTGTGTGTAACGTGATAGCGTTTCACGCGGTGTTTAAAAGCTTACCATATTTAGCTATTCGACTGGTTCTATCTTTATATATATAATTCTTCTGTGAGTGTGTATGTCACTGAACTTCTCTCAAACGACTGGACCGATTTTGTTGAAATTTTTTGTGTGTGTTCAAGGGGATCTGGGAATGGTTTAGATTCACAAATCAGCCCGGCAGATGGCACTGCAGTCGGTACTTTCATACTTTGCTTAATATCCTAATCGCTTTAAATATCATGCAGGACAACGTCTGTGGGGTCCACTAGTCTTAATATATATATTTCTTGTGTGCGTGTGTATGTGACTGAACTCCTCCTAAACGACTGGACCGATTTTGATGAAATTTTTTGTGTGTGTTCAAGGGGATCTGGGAATGGTTTAGATTCACAAATCAGCCCGGCAGATGGCACTGCAGTCGGTACTTTCATACTTTGCTTAATATCCTAATCGCTTTAAATATCATGCAGGACAACGTCTGTGGGGTCCACTAGTTACTTATAAAAATTGATTTTTGATTTAGTGTATAGTGGATTAACTCTTAAACTACTGAACCGATTTACCAACATAAAGCTACATTAGTAAACCAAATTGACGAATGAAACACAGCTTTATAAATAATAAAAATGTCTGTTCGTTAGCGTCCCCCCCTCCGTCGCACACGCCTACCCCCCAGCCCCAACAGATGACGTCAGGGATGCGACTCTCGGACTGATCCCTTCTGCATATAGGTATGTGGCTTATATAATATAAAGAAAAAAAACTTAGGGTCCTTAGGTCTATCTACTATTAGTATCTTTTAAGCCCGTATTCTAGAAAGACAAACTAAAATCTAGTTTCAAGAGTTTAAAGAGGTAGTTATAAGTTGAAAATTAAAAAATGCGGGTAGCTGCAAACAAAAATTATTTGATTTTTTTTTCCAGCTCTCGATTGAAGTCCGTAGCCGCAAGTGCAATAAGGCCAGGAGCAGCTACACACATTATATTATATTTATTTATACATTATGTATGTATGGTCGGCCGTCACTCGTTAACGGATGGAGAGGATCCCTCGGGCCGAGCACGTGTCGGGTTTAGTCAGTAGGGCTGCTACGTTTTACTTTATTGCTTTAACCAACTTCTAAAAAGGTTTAGACATGTATGTCATAGAATTGGAATTGAAAAATACTGTAATGTCATCTTTTTATGTATGTCTACGAAATAATGTCAAGGATATTCCAACTTAGTGATTATCAAGTTTCATGAAAATCTGTTCAGTAGTTTTTTAGATATGTCGAAATTTGTTTTATATTCAATGTTTGTAATAATAGGACTAATAATTCATTGTTAACCAATAGACAAAACCTCTATAGAATATAATGCTTTGGTAATAATTTCGCTGATAAGAATGACAACGCATGGCCACATGACCATGCCCCCTAGTAGTAGCAGCCCTAGTAGTCAGTAGTGTGGTAGCGGTACCGCCTGGTACGTATTGTGATCGTTTATCCGCTGTGATTTATCTACCATCACTCGTGGTGGGAAACATGAATCGTTACTTAAAGTTTCATAGATTGTAGGCCTAAATTTTTGATCTCATATTCTAATTTGCTTAGTAATAATATCTTTCGGAATTGTTAATGGTAAATCCAGAAATTCTAAATTTGTGGTCACTCGCTTGTCATCCCCTGTAACGTGCGACAAGTGCACAATTGATATCTGACAGCTGACAGTTGACACTTGACAGGTACTCAAATCACAGACATTTTTACTTATACGAATCGAAAGTTTTTCTTGTCTGCAAATTGGAATCTCTAAAAATGCGGTGAAAAAGTATTTTTGTAGGCAAACTTTATGGGAATAATTTTGTATTGGAAATTGTGCACTTGTTGCGCCTATCGTACGTGTTAGAGTAGTGGAATAAATCTTATTGCGATGCTTTAACTTAGATGTCTGTAAATGAGTAATTTTATAGAACTGTTACTGAGAGGTCGAATATTTTGATTGCTGGAGGCCGATGGGCATTCGGCGGGAACGCTTTAAAGAACAGAATTCATATGAAGATAATAATTACGAGTACAAACGTTTGAACCCGCACTCAGGGGCAATAAGATGGATTCACAAAATTATCTTTTAATATGATGTTTATTGGAGTAATCCAGAGAAGTGCCTGTTGCAACATAAAATTGGCAATATTTTTTAATAGTATTTCGTTGGTAGGAGTCACGTACGGTGTTCACGGTCACTGTAGAGGCGTTAGAACCCGTGTTCTGTGTTCTCGAAGCTTCTCTTTGTGTGCCTTCTAGCAGTTAGCGCGGTTAGGCGATATACACGACTCCATTTCATTGTTTCGCGTTCATGCTCGATCTCTTTTCCTTCCGTTCCGCGTCTCGGGACAGTCGGCGTAATAGGGTTACGAATAGTTGTATAGCGGTAGTCTTCCAATTCCTTGAGACGACGTGCAGTGTCCGCTGCGGGGGTTCCTTTGGGTTGCCATTGTAATATCAAAGATAGATTGGTGCCATTTCGATGTACATGCGGTAGACGTAAGTGTATAGTTAAGTTCGCCGGTCAGGGTAGAGCAGAAATAAAATATCGTATCTCCACGAATCTCGGTTCGCGCCGCGTTTGGTCGGCGATGCGATGTTTTATTTCCGTGTTGTGTCCAAGTGAAGGTCAAAATTGTAAATATTCGTAGGGTTTATTTATTCGATTGTCGTGGGAGTGATGAATCAAAATTTTATTGTGAAAAATTAAGTTTTCGTAGAATCGTAGTTCTACGAGCCTAGGTCGAACTGAAGCTATAATAATGGAAGTAATCGTAGAGTATTAGGTCAGAAGTATACTTTCGTATTTAAAGATCGAAATTTCCTCGTAGAGATACATAATAATAAATATATACATGCGAATGTTGTTTGATAGTCCTAAATATTTTTTTATTTTGATAGTTCTGTATTTTGAAACACGAGAAAATAAGCCAATATCATTTATCATTTATAAATAAATACTAAATATTGATATGTATGTACTTTAGACTAACTTACGGACGGATGCATTTAGTCGCCCAAGTGAAAGAAATAGAGATAACATCCAAAATAATTTACCGAGTCTTTTCTAAAATAACGTTTTTATTAAGTTTTTACCAAGCCATTGAGAACAGTATTATTTAGAGAAACTAGATGTTCCATAATTCGGATAGTATTTCTCTATCCTCTACCAACTTAGTGATCACCAATGAAGAATATTATTTACCTACGATATATATTTAGCGGCAGCATCGGGAGCTCTGAGCGATGTTGTGAAACCATAGTTTACGTGAATGGAATAGAGACACCAACATAGTGAACTAGTACATAAAGTATATACTTATAAATGTATATTATCGTGTGTCCGCTCCCCGACGCTCCGCAAGGATGGCACTCCTATCTTAGATTTAGTAATATATTTTTGTTATATGTTCTTGTTTTTATTATTGCTTCGCTGCGGTGTCACCCTGGCCGAGTCGGGAGGGAGGCGGAGTATAGAGAGCGGTCCTTCTTCGTTACGACATGTAACTCTATATTTACAACCCTTACTTGTGTATCGAAAGGGAGAGATATATATCGTAAGACGAGGGCCCTACTAACAGTTAGGATGCACAAATTTCACGATGATCCACAAAAGATATTTTTGCAGGCGATTCTTTATCGGGTCGGGAATGTGTGCGTCTTCGCTGCCCCAACTATTTTACATACAATACGATGTTAGTTACTAAACTAGAGTGTAATCGAGATATTTTTCAGTTACGTAATCGTCAAAGTTGTATTTCCTACTTATTTCCAACCGTAGAAAAGACTGAGTCGATATGGATCCACAGTTTACACCGAGAATACTCAATGGGAGAATTGGCAGAAATTTATAGGTTTGTTATGTTTTGTTAATATCGGAGCGGTTGTGGTGTTGGACCAACCAGTTTCTTTGTAAATCATAAAATTTTGTTAGGAAATCGTACATATCTTAGCCGTTGATGATAAATGTATACCTATATCGGTTCGAGGCAGCGCTGGCCCTTCAAAATCGGGTCAGTTCACCTCCATGTGCCGGTTTATTGAGCAACAGTGAGCCTTGTGTAATCATTATGACTAAGGTACATAAATATTTAGTTCTATAGTACGTTAGATTTACGCGAATATCTGCTTTGTCAACTTATTGCGTTGCTTACATTATAATCATACGGAGTACAGCCTAAGGATTTTAACGTTTTTTTATATACTGAGAGCTATTTCTAAGTCGCTGATTTTGTACTATTTATAGTTGTATAAAAATTATATCGGCTTTAAGCCAAATTGAAGTTTTGGAGTGTTTTACATACCTACTTTTAATTCCTATTTTATTAAAATTCACAACAAACATCATGGCATGATGCGTTTTCACGGTCATTTAGCGATAGCTCTACAGAGTTTTATTGACCAATATTTTTAACTGCAACTGTTTTTCTTTTATTGTTAAAATTTTTAGGCTAGTTATATTTTATGACATAAGTTAGGTTTGTTAACTGGTGTATTACATTGCACGTTATTATGCCTTTACAGCCTCATTTTCATATTTATTCTTATTAATTCTTGTACTCTGTTTCTATTTGATTTGAGTTTATTTTGATGATACCCGAAATGTACTGTTTAGAATATTACCAGTTCAGTCATTTTATACTTTTATAAGTAGCATTTTTATATTAATTGCAACCGCAAGGGTTCCTTTGACATATATATTTTACGTTGCCTCTTGGGACTGAATTATTTTATATTGAAGTGACATTTTAGGTATTATCGTTTACATAATTATGTTATTTTATACATATTCTTATACAAATTATTATTTAACGTTGATTCTTTGAGAGTATACCATTACAATTAATGTACAGAGGCTGTAAGGGAAATTATGTAGTCAGCATTATGTATATGCTTTAATGTGATTTTTTAAATGTACTCTTTATTATTATTAGAATCATCAATCAATATAATTAGCGAACTAACAAAGCGATTTTTAATAAATTTTTCATTTCATAGTGATTTATATTTAGATCAAAATAAATACAGAGTTTATTTAATTTTATGAAAAGTATACATTGTAAAATTATTCGATAGCGCTCGGTATGTCGGGCCCTTATTAAAAAAAGAAATTATATGAATGCAAAATAACGAGTCACGATTCTTTTAGAAGTCGCCATGTAGTGGAGAAAAATAAACGTGCCATGATATTTGTGGCTAAATACCTTGTTTCTTTTATAACTTTCCCCAAAAAGTATTTTGTTCCTATATATCTAAGGGCCGCCGTACACGGACTGCTCGAGCAGTTAGCGGCTGAGTGAAATACACGGACCGCTCGAGCGGTCGGCGTCGACTGCTTGAGCTGTCGGTTGTTGACTGCTCGAGCTACGACTCAACTGCTCGAGCAGTTGATTTTCTACCATAGTCGAGTCATGGATTCTGACGAGGAAGCACTGCTTTTGCTGCTCCTGCTCAGGCGGAGACGACGGCGGCGACGTCAAAAGAGAAAATTTTGGGTTCATCCAATTTTGCAATTAAGAGAACAACGTGGACAATTCCATCATTTGTTTATGGAACTTAGAAGTGATGAAGAAAAATTTTTCAACTATTTTAGAATGTCAAAGTCTTCGTTTGATGAATTGTATAATATACTAAAGTCTCACATTAAACGGGAAGACACAATTATGAGGAGAAGTATCCAACCTGAAGAA